GGGGTCCCCCCTGGGGATCAGGGTAGGAGGAGGCCGGCTAGTGGGCGAAAACCTCCATGTTTCCACTTGGGGCCCTCTTGAGGGCAAAGGTCTGCTCTGCTCAGGAGGCCCTCCAGATTAAAAGGAGGATCAAGTGATTCTTCTCGGAAGGAGAGAAGATCACGAATCGGGCAATGAGCGGAACGAATCTTCCTCCAGGAGGGCACGACCACCTGGGAGAAACTTTAGGGATCTGCTTCTTCCTTCCGTGTTATTCCCCTCAGGTCTTCTTCAGTTCTTCCCCAAGCCTTTGACTTGATCGGCCGCCTTCCGCCATGAGGACTAGAAGCTTGTCGCAGAGAAGCGGGAGGAAGGAGGGAGGTGTAGGAAAGCAGCAAACCCCTCCCTCTCCGTTTTTGGAATAGTCCTTTGACCCCATGTTTTCCCCCCCTTCCCCCTCCCAGGCGGTCGACGACGTGAAGAAAGGCTACATCAAAGCCGAAGAGAAGTCCTACCAGCTGCAGAAGCTCGGTGAGCAGAGGAAGATGGTCATGGTAAGCGCTAGTCCACTTCCGGTGGGTCATCCAGGTCACGCTTGTCCCAAAGCTGCTGTCTTTCAAAAGGCAACTGGACTTCCTTGTTTTTTCTTTGAAGAGGTTTCGCTTCCCATCTGGGAAGCTTCTTCAGGTTCTGGCTAAATGACGGAGGGAGGGAGGATATGTATTCCTGGCAGTCATCTGAGAGGCATTGAAGCCACCGGGAGGTCACCTGAATCCAGACCCCAGGATTCAGGTGACCCTGAGGGCATAGATACGCCTCCCAGCGCCCTCAAGGACTCTCAGGGAGAGTGCCCACGACCAGATGGCTGCAAGGAGCATAAATCCATCCTCCGCCATTCAGCCAGAACCTGAGGAAGCTCCTTGGTGACGAGAAGCGAGACCTCTGTGAGAGAAAAAACAAGAAAGTCCTGTTGCCTCGCGAAAAAGCACCTCTGGGACTTCTGATAGGGAGCCTTTGAGTCACGGGCTCTGGGCATCTCCTTCCCACAAGTCTGCATGCCGCCCAGAATCACAGAATACAGGCAGTCCTCAACTTACAACAGTTTTGTTTAGTGACAGTTCGAAATTACAACGGCGCTGAAAAAAAGGGACTTAATGACTGTTTTGCTGCCCGAGGTTGTGGGTGCTTCATCACTGGAGGTTTTGAAGAAGAGATCAGACAACCATTTGAGCAGGGGGTTGACTGGATGACCTCCTAGGTCTCTCCCAACTCTGTTAGTCTGTGATTCTATTTATTATTATTATTATTCTATTTTATTCTATTCCGTTGCAGAGAGCCAAGTAAGATTCCTTGGGGGCCTGGTTGGGAAGGCCTGGTAGGTGGAGAGACCCTCCCCAAATCTTTCATCCTCTTCTCTCCCCCCCCCCTTCCCCGCAGTACCTGAACATGTTGCGGACGTGCGAGGGCTACAACGAGATTGTCTTCCCCCACTGCTCCTGCGACTCTCGGCGCAAAGGCCACGTGATCACAGCCATCAGCATCCAGCACTTTAAGCTTCACGCCTGCACGGAGGAGGGCCAGCTGGAGGTCAGCCCCAGGGGACGGCCGGTGGGTGGGTGGGAGGTCTGGCTCCTTTTCCAAGAGATCAGACCGCCGTTTGTCTGGAATGGTATAGGGTCTCTTGCTTGAGCAGGGGGTTGGACTAGAAGACCTCCGAGGTCCCATCCCATTCAGTTACTCTGAATGGGAATTAGATGAGTGGAAAAGGGATTTCGGTCTGGGCTAGGCGGGTTGGTATCTAGAATAGAACAGATTTATCTTTATTGTCCTTGTGTAACTCAGAACGAAATTAAGCCAATTAAGCTACAAGGTAGACCAACGTTTAGCTAGTGGACTTCAATTCCCAGAATTCCCAGCAGGGCTGGCTGGGGAATTCTGGGAGTTGAAGTCCACACAAAAGTGGCCCTAGGTTGGGAAACAGTTGGTGCAAACAGACTTAACCTGGGAAGTGTCCGACCTCCCCCACCGCTGGATGCCTGTGTGTGTGTGTGTGTGTGTGTGTGTGTGTGTGTGTGCCCTTGTGGATCCGCACCGATCCTGCGGGGATCCCTTCCAGAATCAAGTCATTGCTTTCGAATGGGACGAGATGCAACGATGGGACACAGACGAGGAAGGGATGGCCTTCTGCTTTGAATACGCGCGGGGAGAGAAGAAGCCGCGATGGGTCAAGATCTTCACCCCTTACGTAAGCAGAGGGGGGGGCGGCAGAGGGCTGGGGGGGTCCGGACCCCTGGAAAGAGGATGAAGCTGGCTAGTGCCTCAGGCCCTGAATTCGAGTCTCTCTCTCTCCCTGCAGTTCAACTACATGCACGAGTGTTTCGAGCGCATTTTCTGCGAACTGAAGTGGCGGAAGGAGGTGAGGGTGGGAAGGGGTGTGGGGAGGGCTGGTGCCGTCCACTGGGAGCCCCCTCCCTCCCTTTCCTGGAAGCCAGGCAAGGCGCCTTCCTCGGAAGTCAGGCGCGCTCTGGGTTCTGGCGCTAGAAGTCCCCGGCGCCTGCCCTGCCGTCCTCAACTTGCTCCCGTACCTCCCTTCGACAGGTGGAAGAAGAAGCCACCGACAAGGACAACAAGAATTGCGGTAAAGACAGTCTGTGCAGCAAGGTGAGGAGGGGGGAGCGAAGGGTTAGCTGTTCGTTTTTATTTGATTAAAACTCAGCAGCCCTTTTTCGTGCGGCTGCTGATAAAAACAGGATCGCCAGCATGATCGCCAACGTCCGATAACGGATATGGCACATGAGGAAGAAGAAGATTTTATTTCATTATTTTATTTTACCATACTTTCCAGCGTATAAGACGACTTTCTAAAGCGCGGAAATTGGCGCCAAAGTTGGGGGTCGCCTTATACGCCAGCAAATACGGTATTTTATTTTATATTTTATTTTATTTATTTTATTTTATTTATTTTATTTTATTTTATATTATATTATATTTTATATTTTTATTTTGTTATTTCATTTTATTTTTTATTTTATTTCATTTTATATTTTATTGTATTATTTTATTAATTTTATTTTTATTCTTTTATTTATTTATTTATTTTATTTATTTTATTATATTTATATCCTGCCTTTATTATTCTGTTCTCCCTCAGTGAGGTGTCCCACTTTGAGGAGGAACTGGGGGGGGGGGGAAATAGTCTGTCTCAGAGGAAATAACACACACACACACACACACACACACACACACGCTCGTTTTCAGTGTCTTCCCTTCATTCCCTCCTTCTTCTCTTCTAGAACATCTTCCAGTTGATGCGGACAGAGCACCGAGACCTTGTGACTTGAGCCGCCTCGGACAGCCGACCGGCCGACTGAAAAGCGTATTATCCTTTTTCTCCCCCCACCCAAAAAAAACCTTTCCTGAAAAAACCCACACAAAAAAATTAACACTTTTCAAAACGAGGAAAAGAAAAGAGAGAAAGAGGGGAATGGTTTGCTGTATTAAACTCATATTAATTCCATTCGTGAATGTCCTGTTAAGCAAGGGGTGGGGGGGAGGGAGGGGGGAGGGGGGTGCAGGGAGACCACCATCATCCAGATCGAGGCTTGTGGGGGGCACCCGGTTGGTTGTTGCCAGCAATTTTTTTTTGTTTCATTTTTGGTAGTTTGATCTCTGCCATTTTCGGAGTCGCCTGTGGTCGAAAGGTAGACGGCGCTGAACATTTTTTTCCGGTCGTTTCCTTTCTTTTAACAACTGGATGGAGACTCACACATCCATTTGCACTGTCTGAGATATATCTGTATGTATGTAAAAACAAATATATGTAGAGAGACAAACTTATCACGCCCGTATATATATACATATATATATATATATATATATATACATATATATAATTTTTTTTCATATTGATGGATTAGAAGGATTCCTAAGTCAGCTTGTGTGTTCCATATCTGAGCTCCGGGCCAGGGGTGGTGGTGGTGTGCTGAAACACAATTTGAACCCTGTTGTGTTTTTTTTAAAACAAAAACAAAAAAAAAAAACCAAAACCACCCAGATTTTTGCGGTCTTTCTCGTGAGGAATTTGAATTCGCAGCTTTAAGACGGCTCAGCGCTGAAGTTCAAACTTTGAAATAAAAAATAAAAATAAAAACTGGAGCTTTCTGGCCCAACCCTTTGGATTTAAAAATATATATATATATATGTGCAGCGGTGGGGAAAAAAAACTCTTCAATCCTTTGCAAAATTCAGCTTCCGTGCTTGTCCCTTTCCCCTCCCTGCGGCCTTCAAGCGTGTGCCCACAAAAGCTATTTTTCCCTGCTTAAAGCCCTTTTACTCACTCCTTACTCGGCAGTTGAGGCCTGCTTTGTCCCTGGGCAGCCAGTTGCTAACCACAAACACCGTCCCGCAGCCACACCGGGTTGCAGGAAGGGAAAAACCGGTGGATCCATTCCCATCCTTAGAAAAATGTGGGTGCTTTTTCAGTGTCAGGGAGAGCCACTTCATGGCAACACCTGCCTGGGGTGGCAGAAAAGGCGTCTGCTGCACCTCAGCATGGCAAGGGAGTAACGGTAACCATGTGCCCCCAACCTCAAGAGAGATGCTTTCAATTGCACTAAAAACTCTCCAGTTGCTCCTGTGCAAAAAGACCCTTCTGGATGTTTTAGGATTTTCTGGAAGGGCAGCGTAGCTCAAAAGCAGCTCGGGGGTTTTGCATTCGACTCGCCTCCGTCAGGACTAGCCCCTTGCTTTAACCCAAAGCGGAGAGCACAGGAGTTCTCATTTCTGAGCACAAACTTGGCGACTTTTTGGCTGCGCAAAGCGCAGATTTGGTCACACTAGTAGACGGAGGGTATATACGCCGGAAGTAATATATCTTTGGAAGGTGCCGAAGCAGAAACGCCTCCTCATTCTTTTAACAAGGATTTGGGGAACGATGCCTTAGGGTTGATTCACAAAATCACACTTGTCAGTTGCTGGGGGCGCAAGCAGTCGCAGGTTTCCGAGGGTAGGGGGGTGGGAGGGGTCCGAAGACACTCTCAGATGGGGGGGGGGGAAGGACCAACAACTCAAAGCTGCTTCCTAAGAGTTTGTTTGCTGTTTCCCCATCAGAGCCATTTTTCGTTTTGGTTTCCCCGCAGCCTGTGCGTGAACGCGTTTTGATTTGCCAAAATTACCCCATTTCTGAGCAACTGGCTTTTCTTACTTTTGATGTGTGTGTGTGTGTGTTCCCTTCTCCATTCCTCTAAGGACGCAACACATAAAAAAACCCCAGCATTTTGCTGCAAAGAAGAACTGACTATTGTTTTTTCCCCTAACAGCGATAACTTGTGTTTCAGGTTTGATTCTTTTGTGTTACAGGATTGTGAAGTTGTTTTAACATCCCAGGCTGTTTATCCAAAGATTACAGGCTGAAAAACTTCTGTCTTCCCTCAAATTTCCTCTTTTTTTTTCTTTTAAAAATATGATTGGTTCGGGTCAAGAGATATATATATATTTAAGCCTTGGGTTCACTGGTGCTCTCTCCACGTGCGTCTCTCTCTCTCACTGTTTTAATTTATTTGACAAAATTCTAATTGTAATCTTCACTGCATATTCCCCTTATCTTTTTTTATTTTTTATTTTGCAATTTTGGGCTATGAAGAAGGAATATCCTGGCGAAGAAGGAAGAAAAGGCTTGAAGAAATTTGGGGGGGAGGGTGGGGGGCGCAGGGCGAAGCGGGGGGCATTCTTCATCTTTAGAGCTAACTACTCTAAAAAGAAATTTGTTTGGTAAGAATCAATTAGTACAACTAATTGTAACATATTCTTTTAAATAAATTGATTTATTCGATGAAACTGTCCAGCTTTCATGTGTGTGTGTGCATATGCATATATTGCTGCAAGATTTCAAGCTTTGGGGAGGCAGAATTTCCATTAAACAGACACACACACACACTGTGCCAAGAATCTACTTTCAATTAAGACTTTCTTGCCCACGTGGGGATCCTTGTGCCACACAGGATGAAAAGCATTCAAGGAAGCTTCATGGCCCCAGATCCTTGTCAGGTGGCTGCTAATTCCAATTCTGAGCTGAATGGGGGGCTAGACTGGATGACCTCTAGGGGATCCCTAGGCTGGCTTTGCCAGGCTTCGAGGAGCTTCCTGCTGGGATGGCAGCCTGGAGGCTGACTCTGCGGTCAGAGATGGCTGGATAAGGTGAGGGGGCAGATGGAGGGGGGGCAATGGCCGGTCCTTTCCACCGTGGACCAGCCTCCTCCTACTCCTGTAGGCTGGCTGCAGCGTCCCCATCTTGGCTCCATCTTGTGGATCCTCCTGCCCCCCTCTTGCCTCTTCTCCAAACCCACCCAGCCCTTTGCCTGCCTCTCTCATCCCTAGGGGGGGCGTTCCTTGGAAATGGGTGGGGGTCTCCAGCAGAGAGAGAGAGAGAGAGAGAGATGCTGGAGGATGGCTGGAACGCAATTCCTTTAAAATGCATTTCTTCCTCCATTTCCTTCCTTCCTTTCTTCTTTCCTTCCCTCCCTCCCTCTCTCCCTCCCTCCCTCCCTCCTAAATGAAGGCTTGGTCTGCTAAGCTGCCATTCATCTTCTGGTCCAAAGCAGGAAAAAAGGAAGAAGGATTCAGGATTTTAAATCCTATTTTTCCAACCGACATGGACACGGATTCCTCCGCTCGCCTCCTCGCCTTCACCTTCTTCCTTCTCTTCCCAGGTAACGTGCTTCCTTCCTTCCTCCCCTTCCTCTTCCTCCCCTGCCCCCCCCCACCTGTCCTGCCCACCTCTCCGGCACAATAACCCCCGCAGTGGCAGGTGGATCCCCTCAAAGGGCTTTGAAGGGGGGGCTAAGAATCCCTGGGGTTTGGGAAAAGGGGTTTTATAGATCTTTGCTCTGGAGGCTGCCTGGTTTTCAGAGAGGCGGCGGGGGGGGGGATTCCATTCCCCCCCCCCCCACTTCAGGTCCAGTTTGAATGGGAAATTTCCAACTCTGTAATTCTCTAAATATTGTTCGGGGCTTAAGGGCTGTCATCCACAATAGCCTCGGATGAGGTGTGTGTGTTTGTGTGTTTCTCTGTGTGTGTCTGTGTGTGCTTTATTTTGCCATGCTCTGCCTTCTGCCTGTTGGTGTGTTTGTGTGTGTTCTGCTTTGCGGGCATGAAAGCCAATGCAACTGTCTTCCCTTGCTCTCTTCTCTGCCTTGCTCTCTTCTCTGCCTATGGAGTTAAGATTTTTGCATGTTGCGTTGCTGCTTTGCTGAATGGGGAAGGACGGGGGGGGGGAGGCTGGAGGGTTCATTGAGAGCCTCCAAGGGGGGGCACCTTCTCCTCCCCCCCCCTTCCATTCAAGATCAGCCCTGCTGGCAGATTTGCATTAGCAGAGCCGGCTGTGGGTTTTCTGCCTCTCCTGTGCTGCAGTTTGAAAGGGGTGGGGGCCGATCTCTGGGTGGGGGGATTTAAATCTGGGCCAGATGCTTTGGGTTGAAAGGATCAGGTTGGGCTAGAGGCAGGGGATTATGGATGTCACGGCTTGAAGAGAAGGACAGTCTTGAAAAAGCAGCAGAGCAAATCATAGAGCACAGAATAACAGAGCTGAGGGGGGACCCTGGAGGTCTTCTAGTCCAACCCCCTGTTCAAGGCAGAAGACCTTATACCATCCTGCTCAAGTGGTTGTCCAATTTCTTCTTTAAAATCTCCACTTTTGGAGCACCCACAACTTCTGAAGGAAAATCCCTTCCACTGATTAATTGTTCTCCCAAACAGGAAATTCCTCCTTCATTCCAGGTTGCTTCTCTCCTTGATTAATTTCCATCCGTTGCTTCTTCTGCCTTTTGGGAGCTTTGGAGAATAGGGGGACCCCCCCTCTTCTTTGGGGCAGCCCCTCAAATACTGGAAGGTATCATGTCCCCCCCCCCTTATCTTTCTCTTCAATAGGCTACATAGACAGAGCTCCCTCAACCGTCCATCCTACGGATTTGTATCAATGATATAAATAGAATGATATCAACAATAACCACCCTCTTAAAGGTTGAGAAACACCCTTTAAGGGCTCAGAGGCACCCTTGTCTTTAATCTTCTGTGCAAGCCAAGCACCACAGCACAGAGATGGACATCTAAAACTGCTAAAACATCTCCCCAAATTCTGGATCTTGATGTTCTCCTCAACATAACCTGTCCAACTCTTGGTTTCCAGACTCCGAAGGAGGCCCCCACCAGCGGCAACTGCTGAAGGACCTGATGGAAGACTACATCCCCCTGGAGAGGCCTGTGGGGGATGACACTCAAGCCATCACCATCCACTTCACCCTCAGCCTGATGCAGATCATGGACCTGGTAAGTCCTGGAGATGACCACCAAAGACATGGAGACGTCTTGCCGGTTCCTAATTTTCCAGCTGAATTCATCACTCTGTATCCCAAGATATTTTTTGGGGGGTGGGGGTGGGGGTCAAGCGTTCCTCTGCTATCCTCATCCTTGATTTTTTTCCCAAACATAAAAAAATGAAAATCAGGAATTTAATCAGGAATTAACTCCCAAAACAAGCTATCAGAAACGCCCAGGCACGTGATGGTCTGGAATTATACACGGCCTTCGTTTTGCAAGTGGGGGGTTGTGCAAATGCAGCATCTGTAAGACCAACACGACGGTCGCAAAGAAAATGCCACAATTATTAAACAAGCCAGCGAGCCGTGGTTGTGCCCCAAAGTGGAAGGAGCAAAACTGACTCCAGGATGGAGGTCACGACGATGATTAAAACGTTAGGACCATCTTATAACTCCCCCTTTCTGGGTCGTAAGTGGAGGACTACCTTATTATTAAACAAACTCATCTCTGGCTAAGAGTGCTTTTGAATTTTTAAAGAGAGTGTGGCTTTTTAGATGTTTCTAAGAAATATTCATTATTATTATTATTATTATTATTATTATTATTATTATTATTATTATTATTATTATTATTATTATTTCTGTGGTCCGGGCAGGACGAGAAGAATCAAGTCCTCACCACCAACGTCTGGCTGCAGATGGTACGTTTATTTTTGTCTAATTTAAGGACAATGTAAGATAAGGGCATCCCAAAATCAGGCACCTTATAAAGAGCTGCCTGCTTTTTTTTTTTTTAAGTACTGGTACGATCACTACTTGCGTTGGAACGAATCCGAATATCCCGGAGTGAAGTCCCTACGTTTCTCAGCTGACCAGGTGTGGAAACCAGATATCCTTCTCTACAACAGGTAAGGCAGGGGTCCAAAAATCGGGGGCAGGGGACTTTTGGGGTCCCTTAACTGGTGATGCCAAGCCAGTTAAGACAGATCTTGCACAAGGAGCGTCACAACAGGCTTTAAATAAAACGGGAGAGTTTAATTCTTGTTTTTTTCCCCTCTCCATCTTGCAACCTTTGCTAGATTTTGAATTGTGGGTCAGGATTATCCTGGGCCAGGGGTCACCAAATGTGGCCCCTTTAAGACTTGTGGACTTCAACTCGCAGAATTCCACAGCCAGCCCTGGTTGGCTGGGGAATTCTGGGAGTTGAAGTCCACAAGTTTTAAAGGGGCCACATTTGGATGGGGGGGTCCTTTATGCTTGCCAGAAGGGGTGAGAAGTGTGAATGTTTTGATCACAGCTTGGAAATTTCTGCCTCTGGAGTGTGTGTGTGTGGGGATCCTTCTGTCCTCTTCCCCATTTTTTGTTCCCAGTGCCAACGAGCAGTTTGACTCCACCCTCCACACCCACGTCTTGGTGAATTCCAGCGGTTACTGCCAGTGGCTGCCCCCAGGTGAGATGGGAAGGGTGCAAAAAATAAGATTTATTTATCTTTTTTAAAAGAATAATAATTAAATATTTCAAAAGAAGTCCAATACGTTGCGCAGGTTTGAATAGCTGAGCAGGATGGATGTCTTATTTTACACACGGGCTCCTGAGTAATTTTTTTTTTTTTTTTTAAAAATAGTTCTACATTTTAGAAAAGGAGTTTGAGATTTCACTGCTGCCCAACCCATTGAGGAAATATTTTAGTCCTAGCAGTGATGGTGTTACCTAGTTGGGTCATGAAACATCTGCGAGGAAATAACCAAGCTCAGAAAGAGCACCAAGGACCCCCACTTTTAATCCTTGCCCTCCTTCCACCCTTCACCCCCTTTTCTCCCCTTCCTGCAGGGGTCTTGAAAAGCACCTGCCGAATCGACGTCCGTTGGTTCCCCTTTGACACCCAAAAATGCATCCTCAAGTTCGGCTCCTGGACTCACGACGGCTGGCTGCTGGATCTCCGCATGTTGGAGAGCGACACGTCGGGCTACGTGTCCAACGGCGAGTGGGACCTTGTGGGTAAGGGTTGGGTCGCCCTTCCTGATCCGGAGGTCCGTCTGGAACCGCCAGGGCCCCGGAACCCCACGGCAGTTGACCCTTCCTTCCTTCCCCTCCACCCCACAGGTGTCCCTGGCAGCGAGAACCGGGTTTTTTACGAATGCTGCCGGGAGCCGTACCTGGATATCACCTTTGTGGTCATCATGCGCCGCCGGACCCTCTATTACGCCCTGAACATGCTGGTGCCCTGTTTGCTCCTTTCGGCCGTGACGTTTTTGGTCTTCCTGTTGCCCGCCGATTCGGGGGAGAAGATTTCTCTGGGTAAAACTCATTGGCACCAGGAGGTGGTGAGGTCTGGCTGTGTAGCCGGGCGAGGGGAGCGAGAGAGACAACGGGTGAGCAAAGGTTGGGGATGTTGTGCAGGTAGAAAGAGGGAGATTTGCCTGCCAAGCAGGCGTCTTCAAACAAAATAGATTTTGTAGAACAGGGGTCTTCCAACTTGGCCCTTTGATGACTTGTGGACTTCAACTCCCAGAATTCCTCAGCCAGGCACACCTGCCTGGCTGAGGACTTCTGGGAGTTGAAGTCCACAAGTCATCAAAGGGCCAAGTTGGAAGACCCCTGTTGTAGAACAAGAGCCCTGATAGTCTACAACAGAGGTGGGGAACGGTGGCTCTTCTAGGACTGGTGGACTTCAACTCCCAGAGCTCCTGAGCTGGCAGGGCTGTTTAGGGAATTCTGGGAGTTGAAGTCCATACATCTTAAAGTTGTCCAGCTTGGAGACCAAACACAGCTGGCTGAGGAATTCTGGAAGTCCACATGTCGTAAACGGGCCATAGTTCCCCACCTCTACAAGGATAAAAATTCTCTTTCCTTGACAGATTTGGAGATCAGTCTGAAACTATCCCCATTTTACAGATGGGAAGACTGAGGCTGAGGCAGGTGGGGTTGACCTGGGGCTCCCTCCTCCTCCTCTTCAAGGAAAGTCCATGGGACACCCCCATGGACCTTTTGGGTCTCCTTTCTCCCCAGGCATCACCGTGCTGCTGTCGCTCACCGTCTTCATGTTGCTGGTGGCTGAAGTGATGCCAGCCACCTCCGACTCGGTGCCTCTGATAGGTGAGGCTGGAGACGGGGAATTTAATTTCAATGGAGCACCCGCCGGCCTTTCTCCCTCGCCCAAACTCGGGGTGTATGTCTGTCACCTCTGATTTTGGACCTTGCAAGGAGTGGACAATCAGTAATACGTGGACGGGCACTGTCAAAATCTGGCCTGAAGGAAGAAGCTGGTTGGGCTGTGGAGATTTTCTGCTTTTGGGGGGGGGGCTGGTTTGTGTTTAGGGGTGCTAATTAATCTGCTTTCCTCTCCAGGGCAGTACTTTGCCAGCACCATGGGCATGGTGGGTCTCTCTGTGATGACCACCGTTTTTGTCCTCCAGTACCATCACCACGATCCCGAGGGAGGGTCCATGCCAAGATGGGTGAGGGCCACCTCTTGTTTTGGACTGGCTCGCGTGCTTTAAGAGGGGTGGACTTCAACTCCCAGAATACCCCAGTTCGTGTGCTTAAGAGGGGAGGACTTCAACTCCCAAAATTCTGGCTGGCTAGGGAATTCTGGGCCTCCCCCCCAAATCCTCCCCTTCTCCCTTGCCCCTTTCAGTAGTCCCGTTCTCTCATCCAACCGCTTCTTCCACGCAGGTCCAGGTGCTGGTGCTGAACTGGGGCGCCTGGCTCTTGCGGATGCGCCACCCCGGAGAAGAACCCTTGGAGCGCCCCCCCTGCACCCCCAGTTTGCTGAGCTGCAGCTCGGACAACAGTGACGGAGGCAGCCCCCGTCCAGCTGGGCCCGTGGCCAACGGCCACCTAGTCTACGCGGGGATCCCCACGGCTGCCATCGCTCCTACCCCCTTCCCCACCAAGCCCCCCAATGTGCCCCGGCCCTTCCTCTTCTCCCCGGAGCCCCCGTCCTCCTTCCCGGAAGACCCCCTCTCTGCCCCCCGTCTGAGCTCCATCCTGAAGGAGCTGAGATACATCGCTCAGCGCTTCCGCAGCCAAGATGTCTCCCGGGCCACCTGCAGCCAGTGGAAGTTTGCCGCGGCCGTCATTGACCGCCTCTGCCTGGTCCTCTTTGCCCTTTTCCACATCGTCTGCTCCATCGCCATCCTGATGGCGGCCCCCAACTTTGCTGAGGCCATCACCAAGGACTTCCTCTGACGCTCCGGAGCTGGACTTCCTCCGAGGACCTTCTCGAGATGGTGAGAAGGTCCCTCCTGGATGGAGAAAGACGGGGCTGGCCGGAGACCCTCCCGTGCATGCCGACAACCTGGATTTTTTGTGGTGGACAATAAGGTTTGCCTGCAATAGTTGTGGAGCTCCTCCTGCAAGGGAGGTCCTCGTTGGCCAGGGAGGACATGGTGGCGGTCTCGTCTTGGGCTGGTTCTCCTTCAGAAATCGTGGACGCTCCAACACTGGAGGCTTTTAAGAAGAGACTGGACGGTCACTTATCGGAAATGGTATAGGTTCTCCTGCTTGAGCGGGGGGCTGGACTAGAAGACCTCCAAGGTTCTATTCTATTCTATTCTATTCTATTCTATTCTATTCTATTCTATTCTATTCTATTCCATTCCACTCCACTCCACTCTACTCTATTGCTATTCTAATTCTATTTCTATTCTATATTCTATTTCTATTCTATATTCTATTTATATTCTATTTCTATTCTATATTCTGTTTCTATTCTATTCTGTTCCATTCTATTATTTCTATTCTATTCTATTTCTATTCCATTCCACTCCACTCCACTCTATTGCTATTCTAATTCTATTTCTATTCTATATTCTGTTTCTATTCTGTTTCTATTCTATTCTATTCTATTCTATTCTATTCTATTCTATTCTATTCTATTCTATTCTACTCTACTCTACTCTATTCTTCCTCCGAACATCTCAAGCTGTCCTCTTCAGCCCTCACTGCCATGTTGAACGTTCAGACCCTGGAGTGTTTGCACCACGAAGGCGAGGGCGCTTCCAGACCTGCAAAGTCCTACCCAGAGGGAGCTGCATTTGGGGCACGTTCTCCCCCCAAATGTCCACTTTCTCTCTTGTGAACTGTGACACAACTGCCAAAGACCCTGCCTTGACTCTGGAGCTCCCAACACGGGTCTCTTCTCAGTTCCTTCCGGCAGGGCTGATCCCAGACCGAAATCCAGTAGAAGGGCTGAACTGGACACCTAATTTCTGCCCGAGGAGCAGAGATTACAGACCCTAGATAAATAATCTGTCCTTGTAGACTAGTGATTTGTTTACAGACGGGACAGATTCCCCGTTTGAAAAGAGTACTGTGAAAGACAGCTGCAAAACAAGTGTTGCACTGAACTAAGCCCGACATTCTGAGATGAAAGTTGTTAACTGCTGTTTTATATATATATATTCTTAGTGTATAATTCACTATATCACTCTTACAAGCCAAGGGGTATCATCTCATTCTAGTTTTTCACTTATTTTATTGAAACAGAAAAAAAAATAAATTATTCAAAGTAAACAGCAATAAATAATCAATAATTTAAGCCTTGATATTGTCTGAAAATTACCACCATCGCCCCTTTGTCACTTCTTTCAACCCCTTCTTCCATTAGTCCTGCTAAACAAAATCACTATTAAACCCACCTCCCAGCTCCACAAAATGAAATAATAAAAGAAAGAAAAAGAAGAGGACAAAAAAAAAAAAGAACGGAGAGAGAGAAAGAGAAAATGAAAAAAAGAAAGTAAGTCTTGAAATTCTTCTAAGATCAAAAACGGGAAGAAGACCAAAGGATTAACACCCCCCCTTTTTTTTCCAAAATATTAATTGCCGCTAAATCGCAATGGAATTATTTACAATTACTGGATCAGCAAAAGAGACTGTAAACATATATTTTTTTTCCTGCTCTTTCTGGCGTGTGTTTTGTTTTTTTCTTTCTTTTTAAACGGTGGGAACCTCCTGCGATTCGGAGGCCTTAAAAAGACAAAACGTTGCCAGCAGAGACACGGAGGTGAAACATTTCCCGGGAGGAATGGGGCAGAAATCCGAGCTCTTAGGGTGCAATTTTACACGCACCAAGCTATTCCAGAAAGTGGGGAGCAGAGTTTGGGGGTACGTAAGAGTGTTGCAGATTAAGGGTTGAGAAGAATGGGGGGGGAGGCGTTGTCTGGTAGTGATGCAATGAACTTCTGGACCCCAGAGAGGGTCTTTGGAACGGGCCAGCCACCTCCTAAGGGCCAATCCGTCTCGCCCATCCAAACTTTTGCCTCAATTTTACGATGGAGCCTTGATGGAGGGAAATATTCCAATAATCCAAGCTTTGCTGATGGGACTTTGCTTCCCTTCATTTTTCTCATTCTCCTTCCCTTTGTTTCTTGTTTTTTTTGTTTTTTGTTTTAAAAAAGACACGTCCGTACAAAGGGAAAAAAGGATGGATGGACTCTTCTGCTCCATACGTCGGGCCAGCCAAGATTTCTTAGCCAAAAGTTTTGGCTGCGCAAAAGTTGCACAAGGGAATGGATCTCTTTAATATCTCCAAAGAGCTTTCCTTCCTGGAAAGAAGCGGAGACTTTTAAGAGATGCTCAACCACCTCGGAAGAAGAGGAGAAACAGACTCAGCCAGGCTGGTGAAGACCCCCCCCCCGTCTGATGAAGGATGCAGAAATCCAGGTTGTTCTTTTTTTTTTTGCAGTCCGGGATTCTTTCTCTTGGTTCTTGGTGCGTCAACAAGGAGCAGTGGACCATGGGCTCTGTGGTCCTTTAGGTTCACAACCTAAAGAGGTCCTGGACCGCTGTAGCAGGAATCGCCTACTCCCGTTTCAGCCCGGATCTTGTTGGTCTTGAAAGAGACGATGCCAAAACAACCTCTGGCCACTTAGAGAGAGTGTGTGTGTGTCTATTTTCCAATTTGGGAGAGGGGAAGCCACACTAGTTCTACCACCCCCTCCTCAAATTCCCTCCTCCATCAGCGTCCGATCCTCACGAAACCCCAGGGAAAAATAATTTGCAATTTTGGTGGTTTGAAACCCAAGATTCATTGCCTTTTTTAGGGGAGTGGGGAAAGTTAGGGTACAATGTTTTTTTGGGGGAGGGGCTGTTTTCCAAAACACAAGCTATTCCCCCCCCCATTGGGACCCCTTCCCTTTCTCAATTCTCCCCCCCCCCCCAAAAGGCCATTAGAAAGAAAACGGATTTCATGCAAAGTTTCTCAGTCTTGGCAAGTTTGAAGACAGGTGGACTTCAACTCCCAAAGCGGGTGGATTACAACTCCCAGAATTCCCCATTCTGGGACTTGTAGCCCACCCCTCTTCAGTGTTTCAGTTGAGAAACACTGGTTTAATCAGAAGCTAGGCTGCCTCTTGGTCCCTGATCTCTCTACTGGGAGCTTAGAAATCTAGTCAGGGAAACCTGTGGCTTTCTCAAACCTGCAGGACTACAAAGCCCATTCGATTCTGGCTAGGGGGTTTATGGTGAGGGAAGCTCAGAGAGCTCTCTTGGCAGCATCTGGAGAGCATGGGTTGGTCCCCCTCTTTCACAAGGGCCGTCGTGTGGTTGAGATGTACAAAGTTAGAGGTAGCTGAATTTTGGCTTGGACTTGTTGACTACAACCCAACATTCACCAAGGCCTGCAAGAAGACGATGCGGGTTAGGAAAAGTGGGGAGAGGGGGGGGAGACTCCATGAGGGCGAGACCCCCAAAAGTGGCTGCCTTCTGATCTTGAATCCATCCATCTCCAGTGAAGTCCATCTCAAATCCATCCACCTATTCCAAAAATCAACCTCCTAGTTCTTCCCCATTCTCCATCGTTCCACTGTTGACCAAGAATGGACCTTGGAGGCATCTCCCACAATCTGATGCTCCTTGGTTGGACCTAAAGGAGAGAGAGGGGGGCCAGATCCCACGCTGGAGAGGAGGCAGCAGGAGAAGAAGCCGGTCTGGTGGGAAACTCCATCCTTGGAGAGAGGTCTTGGTGACCAACAGAGTCAAGTCAATGAGCGAAGCAACCGATGCCCGGAAGAAGCCATTTTCTAGGAGATGGATGAGGAACAAGAAGAGCAGAGAGGAGGAGGAGAAGGAGAGTGGGTGACAGAGGTCAAGCAGAGATGGCTCCTACTTTGAGCTCCAGACCTGGAGAGGAAACAGAGAAGGGAAGCACCTTAGACCTTCGCTCTTCCTGGCTGGCCACTGGATTACAGAGACTGGGAAGGAGTGGACATGCAGGGAGGCCCGTCTAGCTGGGATCTTGAGTCCCCAAGATCTTGTCCCCCCCCTCCCATCTCCACCTGCCTCCCAAATCCACTCCCTAAACTCCTCCTTCCTTTCTGTCTCCTACAGGGCCCAAAAGTTTTCTGTCAATTGTCTCCTTAGTCTACTGATCCAGGGAGGGGGTGGGAAATCCCCTTCTTAATTTCCTTTTCCCAGCTCCCCCCCCCCAGGCCTCCAGTTGCAAGGGCCATGTGTGAAGAACATCATCTCGGCAATTGTCTCGGGGTGCCTGCAGGAGAGGACCAAGACGGCAGGACTTGACCGAACTTACCAGTCTCTCCCTTGGTGCAGGAAAGGGTCAAAGGTGGCTTGCTTTGGCCGGTTTTCCTTAAATAAACTAGGTTTGGCGGGGAATGGAAGACAACCCGCCTTTCTCTAGCTAGCTAAACCGTCCTCACGGCCAGGACTCAGGAAAGGGAAGAGAGGGAGTCTTGATGGCCGTTGACCTTCCCTGCCATCAGGAAATATTGCAAAAAAAAAAAAAAAAAAACCACCTGCACAAAGTGGGCGGGTGGGACGGTGGAGACACCCCCTCCACACACACACAACCCTCCCGTGAGCAGAAATCCGGGCTTCAGAAGCGCCTCAAAAGCCACCAGGCTTCCCAAGAACTGCCCTGTGGAGCTCCTCGTCCAGACGACGCCACGGGACCACAAACACAAACGCGTGCACACACACACACATACACACACCGACAAATACAGAGACAGAGGAGTGACCACCAATGACAATGACCACAAAGACAACGATGACAACAAACCAGAACGAGGAGGGGAAAGAGAGGGGGAGAGAGAGAGAGAGAGAGAGAGAAGGTGGGAGAGATGGAAGATCTTTAGAAGGTTCATTGAGGTCCTCCTGGTAGGACATTCTTGGTGTTGAGGGACCTGCATTGAAGATGGGGGCCGGCAGGGTGGTGGTGGTGGGTCACACAGGGTCCCATGGAGGTGATGGGGAAGATGGGTAGGGGGAAAAGAAATTGCAAGCCGAGCTCCCCCAGAATCGGGGGTCCCTCCTTTGCCCCACCAAGGAAAGAAGGACCTTGTCCACCTTTGAAAAGTTCCATCATGGAGATGGCTGCATTTTGGATCCAAAACACAACCCTCTTTGACTTCTCCAACCCCTGGCCTGTTGGCCTCTTAATGTGGACTAGGAACTTGGCTTTAGCCTGGCACACACTCCCTCTTGGGCACATGGCAAGCTCAGATCCTTCACAGCTGTCCGGCCCCTAAACCAGCTGCACGAGAACCTCTTAATGCAGATTTGGGGGGAGTCTCTTCCCAACTTCTCTTCGAAATGTTGCAGAGAAGCGTTCAATCCACGCACGGCAAGATGAATCTGTCCGTTTAATTTCGAAATCCCACAATTAAGGGCTCGTTCCTGGCCGTGGGAACCAACACGAAGCTTTTCTTCATGGGAAAGCCAAGACGGGCATGTTCGTCTCTCATCTTGGGCAGCCTAAATTTGGAATTTAAGGCACCCAAATCCCACCCGAGGGCATTTCGGAAGCTCGGTAGAGCAAAAGCAGAAAAGGAGGGTGACAGGGCTGGGAAGAGGGGAAGAAAAAAGCCGTGAGAGATATTTTTTTTTTTTTGCATTTGTAGATATCGTCACAAAGCACCACTAACCAACATGTCCGAACAAAGAAAAAAAACAACAACACAAGAAACCATCCAGACGAGCAAAACACAGCACAGGCAAGAAAACTGCAGAAAAAGCACAGGCCAGGAGGGTTCACAGGTGACAACCACAACGATATCTCACACGGTGAGAAGACACGAAGGGTGGAGAGAGGAAGGGGAGCGACGTGTCGCAAATATACCCAATATTTGAGAGGTGCGATTTGCACCACAATTAATTTGCAAAGAGGAATCGAGTCTTCTTCGTCTCTGTAAGGAGGTAAGGAGGACGATTTGGGGCACGGCCAGCTTGCTGCAGCAATTAAATTTAACGATTTAAACGACTTTTAAAAATAGTTTTTAATTTTTGTCCGTTGTTTTGTTTTGTCCCTTCTTTTTTCTATTCCACTATTTTTATGATAGAAGTGAAACTCTTACTCTGTGGCGAGTTGGCCGTGCCGATTTGTCATTAGACCCCCTTTGTGCAAGGGTGTCGCAAGTGTTGTGTACGTGCACGCTTGATGGGGAGACAGAGAGAGAGAGAGAGAGAGAGGGAAAGAGAAAGAGAGAGAAAGAAAAAGAGTAAGAAAGAGACAGAGAAAGAGAGAGAGAGAGAGGGAGGAAATGGCACTTTACCAAACAAAAAAACTACAAACCAGGAACTCACAGCACATCCAAAGAAATGCTATTCGTCATGCAACAAAAATGTGCAACTCGGATTCACACGACCATTGCGTTTGGCCTTTCCAAATCAAAGGAAGGATAAGAAGAGGAGGAGGAGGAGGAGAAAAGAACACAACCAACTTTTAGTTTTTGCTCATTCCAAAGGATGCAACTTACAAGGGGGGCGGAGCTAGGTCTCCTGCGACAACGAAGGGTGTCTTAGCAACAGAGTCGTCTCAAGATATGATTGGCCCCCTGCCGAAGGGAGGGCGGGATTGCCGAGTTTTCGGACAGCAGAGAGAGAAAAGGGGGCAGTTTGGTTTTCTTCCTTTTTTTATTTTTAAATTAATATATATATGTGTGTGTGTGTGTGTGTGTGTGTGTTTTGCCAGACAAAATTAATAATTCTCCCATCCCCATTTCTTTCTTTCTTTCTTTCTTTCTTTCTTTCTCTCTCTCTCTTTCTTTCTTTTTTCCTTTCTTTCTTTTTCTTTTTTTTTAAAAGTTATAAACTTATTCAAGTTTATCCTAGCTGCCCAACTCCAATGCAGATGCAACAGGAGGGAGATTTTACACACACGCCGCAGCACAAACCCAGCCCAGGCCAGCCCATCGCAAATTTCAATCCTTTCCTGGAGATCCAAATTTATCTTCCCTCCAGAAATGAAGACCGGGGGGGGGGGGGCTGGTTAAAGGGACCCTCAGAAAAGTCACAGCCGAAGAAATTCCCCTTTCCATGGCCGGTGGAAACAGGAGCTGACCTGGGTCCACTTTTTCAGAAGCAGGTTTGTGAGGAAACAAGCCAGTTTAAGGAAGACCCTCAGTCCAGCAACTGGGGGGGGGGAAGAAACCTGAGAGCTGGGTTCGAGTTTTCTGCAGCTGCTTGCTTGGCCAAGGACCCACCTGGCAGCTGGTCAAGTGGCTCAATACGGCCGGTTGGCGTCTTTGGGGCGTTTTAACTGCACCTTCAACCTTTTCATCCCAATCTGGAAGCCGTTCATGGCTTGGATGGCGCCTTGCGCGCTGGCGGGATTGTCGAAACTTACGAATCCTGCAGAAGGGGGAGGGGAGGAGGGGAGGAGAAGGGCCAGCGGCCCACTGAGACCCCACGGCAGAGGAGAGCAGGGGCCCCACGCAGATCTCCCAAGACCAGGCAAAGAAGTGGAATTCAGAGAAGATCCAGTTTCCAAAGCAGCACCTCAACCCCTCGGAAGACAAAGTTGCAGGGGACCTTAGAGATCTTCTAGTCCAACCCCCCTTCTGTCCTGCTCTAACTCCCAGAATCTCCCAACCAGCACAGCCATTGTTAAGAATTCTGGGCCTAACTCCCACCAAGCACTCTCCAATTGAGGAAGTCCACTTGGTGGCCGTCCTTTGGACCGCGGGAGGAAAGTTGGCCGAGGCCCCCGATGGAGACCTCTGCGGAGTCCATACCGAAGCATTTACTCTGATTGGTCGCTCGGTCGACAAAAACTTTGGCCGAAATGACGTTCCCAAAGGGGAGGAACATCTGTAAGATCTCCGAGTCGGTGAACTCCTGCGGCAAGTGATAAATGAAGATGTTGCATCCTTCAGGTCCTGTCAAAGAAAAAAAAAAATGAATTGTCAGGAAGGAGGAGGAAGAGGAGGAGGAGAAACAGACCGGCAACACGCCAGGTTGACGGTTGCAAAATGTCCTCAGCTCAAAAACCAAGGACGCAAGGAGCATTTCGCAACCCGGTTGCAAAAGATTTCTTGACTTTTTTTTTCTCCACCAGGGCCCTAAAAGGCCAGCTGTAACTAGGTTAGAAGAAAATCAAATAAACCAGCTTTTGGCTTCTGCTTTTTTTGCTGCAAAAAAAGAGAGAGGAAGCGAGCCTTGGGAGTTGAGGCTCAGCTGTGCAAAAACTTAATTTTCCAAATTTTGGTGTCGGTGTAAGAGGTGAATACACCAAGTTGGAAATTTGGGTCTCCTGCCCTGGGCTTGGGGTTGGACTAGATGACCCACAAGTTCCCTTCCAGCTCTGTCATTCTAATTAAAACGGCTTCTGATAAAATTTGCTATCTGGTGCAACCCTTGAATGCTGCAGACAAAGTGAGCCTTGCTAGTAGTTTGTACTACTGCTATTACGTCTAACAACTCTTTTTACAACAGTTTGAAAGAAGACCACGAAGAATCCCAGGAGAGATCGACCCTTGCAGATAAAAACCACGAAGCAAATTATTTTAACTTTTCATCAGAGAAGTCTCTCAACATTAGCAACTTGAAGAAGTGGCGGACTTCAACTCCCAGAATCCCCTCGCCAGCATGTTGACTGGGGAATACTGGGAACTGAAATCCACACAGTTCCAAGTTGCTAAGGTTGAGCATTATTAAACCTAACTGCATTCAGCAGACCCTCTTTGGAAAAATCCAGATCTCCACCAGGGGGCAGCAAAACCTCCCCCTTGGGCACCCTCTGGTGGGTTCCCAAGGATATTGCAGCCCCAACACGATCTCCCTGCTTCTCTTTTTGGTTACCGCTGGCGTTTGGCAGCTGGGATGACCCCTGGCTTGATCTGGGGTGGGGGCGGGGGGGCTTTCGGGACCCCAACCTTACCTTCTCTCTGCTGTGGGGGAGCTTGCTGGGTTATGATGGCGGGCTGCTGGGTAAAGGCAGGGCTGACCAGTCCGTAGGCTGTAGGGTAGGCAGCTGTGGAAGGAACGATTAGAGAGGGAGGGGCTCATCTTTTGAAGGGGAAGGGGTCTTCAGAAGCAAGCTCTCTCTCTATCTGTGTGTATGTGTGTATCTGTGTATCTGTCCTTACCTGTGTAATGTTGCATCCCGGCGTAGGCCTGTTGCAAGGGATCAAGCGGCGCAGCTGAGCTCTGTGCTGTGGCATTGGGGGTGGGGGTGGGGAAGATGGGAAAACAACACACTTGTGAGAGTTGCTAGGGTGTCAACAACGGCCAAACATCCCTCTTCCCTCCCCCCCAGCAAGCTTCACCTCTCTCTAAGCCCCGCTTCTGAGCGTCAGAGGTAGACTGCCCTTGCACATGGAGGCTCGAAGCTCAACAGGCATGGTTTACGTTGAAGACCTGCCTTTTGTTCTAAAACTGGCAATGTTTTCAAGCCGGGGGGTTGCGCTCAAACGGCTTTTAAAAAAAAAAAAGGGACTCTTGACTTTCAAGGTCCTGAACTCGGTGGTTTAATCCTGGCTGAAAGAGAGCCTCCCTTTTAATCCAGGGTTAAAACAGGATTAAATGGGTTTAATCCGGTGTTTCTGAACTTCAGCCGCTTGGACTTCAACTCCCAGAATTCTGCAGAGGGCATGCCGTTCACACACATGGACGTCTGGGGGTTGAAGTCCCCGCCTTTCAAAGGCTGCTGGCTGAGGAATTCTGGGAGTTGAAGTCCAGGCATCCCGAAGCAGGCTGACCAAGGACTTCTGGGAGTTGAAATCCACACTTCTCGGTGCATACTCGCTGGGGAATTCTGGGACTTGTAGTCCGTTCATCACAAAGCATGCTGGCCAGGCACTTCTGGGAATTGTAGTCCGTTCATCACAAAGCATGCTGGCCAGGCACTTCTGGGAATTGTAGTCCGTGCATCATAAAAACATACTGGCTGGGGAACTGAAGTCCACCCATCTTAAAACACTCCGAGGTGAAGAAAACCCTCTTCCCATCTGACACCCAAATCACAGCAAATGCTCTCTTTCTGCCTGAGGAAAAGGCTCGAACGAGGTTCTGGGTTCGAATTCTACGCATCACCCCCTACGGTGAGTCCACACGGGTGGAAGAAAGCCCTAACTCGGATACTCCGGGAAGCGAGAGAGTAAAACGTGGGAATGTGGGGAGGGGCGGAGGAAGTACCTGGAAAGGGGTGGACGCCGTTGGTATAGAGCCCCTCGGAGGCCGCTTGGCCCGTGCTCTGCGTGGCCACGGGGCTGTAGCCGTTGACGCTGAGGGTGGCTGGGATGGCAGAGACCGGGGTGGCCGTGAGGGTGGGTGGTGTGCTGCTTCCTGCGGGACGGAGCCAGACCCAGCCGGGAGCTGCAGGGGGGTCTCTCTCCCGCAGCCCCCGACCCTGACCCAGCTCTGGGGCAGCAATGCCACCCATTCCAACTCAGTGCAAAATTCAAGACCCCTCCCAGACCCCCACTCCTTCCTGGGAGGCTTGGGGTCCATCTGGGCCCCCCCAGAGGCAGCAACTTTAGAAGCCCGGGGGAAGGTCGTTGGGATGGAGCCCCCTCCCCCCAGGAAGAAAGAGCCGGGCCGGGCGGAGTCTCTGCCAGCCCCTTACCTGAGGAAGGGGTGATGGGGGTGGCGATGAGGCCGTTGGGGGCGAGGGTGGCCATCTGCTGCATCTGCACGGCTGCCATGGGGTTGAGGTAGGCAGAGTGGGCGGCGACCAGGGCGGCCTGCTGGTGCATGAGCTGCAGGGGGGAGGGGGGGAAGAGAGCCCTGAAGCCTCAAAGACCCCCCTTCCCCTCCCTCTGATCACCCCTTCCTGGCCCTTCCCGGACCCCCGGAGCTCAACCCCACTTGCCTTTCCTGCCCGCCCTACCCGGGAGGCTGGGGGTTGGGGGCAGCAGGAGGACCCCGGCCCACTTACGGCCTGAGTGTAGGCGCTGTAGGCCCCGAACTGCAGCGCGATGGGGCTGAACATGCCCAGTTGGTTGGCCACCTGCTGCATCCGCCTGAGACCCCTCTCCTTCTCCGTGTCTGCAAACTTCACCACCAGGCTGGAAGAAGCGCCCTGTGGGGGGGGGGAGGTTGGGAAGCGGCGGGCTCTGGAAGGTGGGGAGCCTTCCTTCCTTCTTTCCTTCCTTCTCTCCATCTGTTTATTCCTCCCCTCCCCCTCTGCTTCCTTCCTTCTATCTGTTTATTCCTCCCCTTCTCCTTCCTCCCTTCCTCCTTCGCTCCCCAACGGTGGGCTGTATTTGGCACTCAGGAGCTTTTCACTGCACGGTGTGGAGAGGGTGCAATAGCGCGACCTGGCCACCGGAGGGCAGCAGACTCCACAGGAAAGAACATCTCTCTCTCTCTCTCTCTCTCTCCAGCCTGCAGCATTTCCAATTCCAGACGGATCCAAAGCATCTCTGAAGCCGCAAACGGGGTGACGGGGGGGGGGGCTCCACTCACCGGCAACGTGCGGCTCCCGTGCAACGTACTGATGGCCGCCTGGGCTTCTGCGTGCATTTGGAACTTCACAAAGGCGCAGCCTGGCGGAGAAGGAAGGAGAGGAGGAGGAAAGGGATCATCAAAGGAGCGAGCAAGTTTTGCAAAACCCAGAGAGAGAAAGCAAACGCTCTACTCGGCCTCTTGCACCGGCGTTTTGGCAACTTTGGCTGGGTGGACTTCAACTCCCAGAATTCCCCAGCCAGCATGCATGGGAGCTGAAGCCCACCTATCTTCAAACTACTAAGGACCATAAGCCCTCCCTTACATTCCTGGGGCAAAGCAGCGGGCAGCGCCCAGGCCAGCTCACCTTTGCTGGTGCCATCTGGACCCCGGAGTACCGTGCATTCATCAATCGTCCCAAAAGGCTCAAACATTTTCCGCACGTCTTCGTCGGTCTGCTGTTTGCCCAGCATCCCCACAAACAGCTTCCTGTCTTCTGGAAGACACAAAGAAGCGGGAAGTAGCCCCCCCCAAAAGGAATAAAGGCTCCCTCACAATTGACCACCAGCCCCTCTAATCCTTAGCAGAGCCATAGACCAACATCCCAGTTAATAATGTTGGGGGTGCAGACGCTAAATAAATAGTTGTTTAAATAATTGCAAAAATCAAAAGATTAAAATCTGCAGATAAATGTGGGATCTGCGAGCCTCAATCACAGCGTTGGGCTTGTACACACACACACACACACACACACACACACACACACACACACACACGTGCAAAAGGAAAGCATATACCTCCCCTACTTTCGCTGTCTGCAGGTTTCACCTGGATCGGCCGGTTCATCTGGAAGACAAGAAAAATGAATTTTGAGGCCAGAAAAAAAGTCACGTTTGGGTTGCAAATGGTTCATGGGGAATATGCCTCGAAGCAACTATTAGGGAGCTGACCTGAACAATTTTGTCTCATTCTTTTTTTTTTCTTGCCTTCGTTACAGCTGTTTTCCCCCTTTGTTTCATTTTTAGAAGCAAAAACAGAGTGAAAAGACTCTGCAGATGTTACAAGGATCGTCCCAAATCGTCCCTTTTTAGAAGGCTCTGAACAGCCTCTTCAAACTTTCCAAAATTTCCAAAACCAGCTGGAGCATCTTTGCCACTCAAAACTATTGTTAATCCATTCCCCCCCACCCCAATTTAGGCTTTTATTACACAGTAAGCTGCTCAGAATTGGCAGTGGATCCATTTAATAAAATAACTAAATAAAAACTCAAAGGCAACAAGGCTTTTGGCCTGGAGAAATTGTTCGTTCTGCTGTAGAAGACCGAAAGGAAGAAAAAAATGGATGGGGGGGGAGGTGAATGTGGGGGGGAGGGTGATTCACAGATTTTGGGAATCTAAGTCCAGCCAGATTTTGCCAACCCCTTACAAGCTGAGCATCGTCTTGCAATATAGGATCTGTTATTATATTACTGGTATTCCTTGATTTATGACCAAAACGTCTCTTGCAAAGTTTAGACATTTGTTAAGAGAGCTTTGCTCCATTTTACGTCCTCTGTTGCCAGGGGTTGTTAACTGAATCGCTGCAGTTTTTAAGTTAGCAACACGGCTTTTATGTGAATCTGATGTTCCCCGTGGACCTTGATCGTCAGACGGTTGCAAAAGGGAGTCGCGTGACCCCTGGCGGCGCCATGACCGTCGTAAATGCAAGTCAGTGGGCAAGCATCTGAATTTGGATCACGTGACCCATGGGGACGCTGCGACGGCCGTAAGTTTGAAAAGCAGTCATACGTCGCTTTCTTTAATGCCGTTGCAACTTGGAACGGTCCCTAAACAAACTGTTAAGTCGAGGGCCACTGCATAATAATAATAAATTTAAATTTAAATTGGTCGCCGTAATAATTTAGTCCTTTTAAAAAAATACAGATATAAAGGCTCTCTTTAGGGTTTTTTTTTTTCCTAAATTTATTCCAACCAATCCTGGAAATTTGTGAATCCCTCTTGAGCTTTTTTTTGGGGGGGGGAAGAAACCACATTTGCAAAAGTCCCCATCCAAACTCAGAAGGAGGGGTTCGACTCTGTTGCCAGATGTGCAAAATCTTCCCAGCCGCCTCCTTCATCCAGGAGAGGATGCCCAAAACTCCCTCCTGCCTATCACAGCCCAAGAGGCAGGGATAGTGATGGGGTTGCCATGGCGCCCGAGGCCTGTATCCTTCCCCGCCTCCAGTTGCCAAGTTATGTCCTGTTGCCACAGTAACCAGGGCAGCTAAGAGGAACAGTTTGTCTTCTGCTGTCTTTTCCCTTTTCTGCCTTTCTGGATAGCATTATCACGATGGTGATTATTCTTCCAGACAAGTAGCAAGCTTATTTAATTGTTTTTAAAAAACAAACAAACCCCGCTCTTTTTTTTCCGCTTGCAGATTTGACGGTGGCTATAAAAACACGCCCAGTGCAAAAGATAGAAAAGAGATGTCCTCGCTCTCTTTAATAGAATTTGCTTTAATCTGTTGTAATATGCTATCTGCTTTTATATAATTCATATATAATATATTATCATCATAAACACGAAGGCAGGGCCAGGGAAAAACTCAAGGGAAGCTTGCATTTTTTTTTTTAAATTAAAGTACAGGGTTATGTTTGAGTTGATTTCTTTCCCGTGCAACAACAAAAAAAGAGGGTCTGAATTTGCAAAGAGAAGGAGCAACCAAGGGAGGAAACGGAGGACAGAGAACCCGGAGGAAAATCTGAATTTATTTCCTTTTATTTCTCAAACTGTTTTCAGAAGAAAAGGTTCTCAATCAAGCCCGGGAAGGTACATGCAGCTTTAAAAAACAAAACAAAACAAATATTTTTAAAAAAGAGCATTGCAATCTTGCCAGTGCATTGATGATGCAAAATTGAAAATAACTTGAGGGAAAAAGCAGGGATCATCCTTGCCCAAAACAACATCTCTGATCTATTAAATCACAACTCCACCCCTCCAGGGTTAGATAGATAGATAGATAGATAGATAGATAGATAGATAGATAGATAGATAGACAGGAAAACGAAAAGCAGAAAAATTACATAAAGCCTTAACTGTGGAAAAGCTGTTTGCTAAGAGAAAAAAATAAAATACTGAGTTTAAAAAAAAAAGTTTGGACTGGTGGGGGTGCCTCGAAAGAGCAGCCAGGAAGCAGATGCCAGTCTCTATGGCAACTGGAGCAAATACACCATGGCAACTACCCACTCATCTCTCCTTTATCCCTTCCGGTTGCTATGGGAACCATGCTGACATCATCACTTATCTCTATAAACAATGACCAGGAGCGTTTAGCGAAGAGGAGGGCAGATTTGAGGGGGGGGGGGAGAGAAGAGAAAAGAAATGGTGTGCTCTTTGGGGGGCTTCGAGGGGGGGGGGAGTTGGCAAAGCAGCCCGAAGCAGATGTAAAAATAAAATAATAATAAAAAAAGAATCTCCTCTCGAAAACCCTAACCGGCTCCCCCTCCTCGCGTTTTATCTCTCCAAGGCCTTTTCCTCGGAATATATTTATTTTTAAATCTCTGCACAGTTTAAATCAGGGCAGGCCCTGGAGATTTTAACCAGCGAGGTCTTTTGTAAAGCTTTTTCTCCAAAGGGGAATTAAAAAAAAAAAAAAAAGAAACAACGTAGAGGAAGATGAAAGAGAAGAAGAAAGAAGATATGAGAAGTGCAGAAAGAAGTATAAAGGGAAAAAAAAGAAGAAATAAAGAAAGAAGCGACTTCTGATGTTCTTTACGGTTTATTCTCTCTCTTATTAAAATGACAGCATAATTCCCTTTTGTCATATGTAACTCATTTTAATCAGCAACTCTTAAATCATTCCTTCCTTCCTTCTTCCCTTCTTCCCTTCCTTCCTTCCTCCCCCCTTCTTTCTTTCTTTCTTTCTTTCTTTCTTTCTTTCTTTCTTTCTTTCTTTCTCTTCTTTCCTTCCTCCCACCCTCCCCTTCCCTCCCTTCCTTTTACAAAGCAAAGCAATCAAGTTCCTAGTCCCTAAGCTTCATCCTCGGGCTTTGAGGTTGGCTGAAAGCCTGCAAAAGCCAAAGTGGAGCCCCCCCCCTTCCCTGCCCTCTTTTTGTCTCCATCTGAATTTCGGTCCTCCGGCACCGATGTTCCTTCCCCCTGCCTGTCTGCCTACCTCGCAAGCTCAGCGCTCGCTGCCCAGCTAAAACCCTCCTTACGTTTAGGATCCAGGAAACAGGTTAGAGGCGGCTGACAAACAGGACCTGCGGCCAGGCTGGGCTGGGCGATGCCGCCAGCCCCTTCTCCACCCCAGGCCCTCCCGCCTCCCCCCAGGTGGGGGAGAAAGATGGCACAAAGGCAGGCCAGGTTCTGCCCTTGGAGCCTCTCAGGGCTGGCCAGGTGTGTTTGCACCTGGCTGTCTCCAAAGAGCCTTGAATGGTCTCCAAGACCACTAAGGAAAATAGAAACCGGGGTTAGACAGGGATTAGACAGGGATTAGCCACATCACGAACATGGTTTAACGGGGCTCTGCCATCTGGATCGAGGGAATGTCGAATGCCTTGGCAAGGAGGGAAGAGATGGGGAGGGGGGGCATTGGTTCCCCACCCCGGATGCTTTTGCGGGGGGGGGGGCAGAAAGCTGGGGTTGCCACGTCTCCAGATTTCCTAATTTCGCCGGGCAGAAATACCCTTTATTTCGCCTCCCAAAAAATGGAAAGAAATCCTGACTTTTTTTTTTAAAAAAAAAATCAATTAAAAAACAACAACAAAGAGCTGCAAGGAAAATAGCTTTGGGGCCTGTTTTGCGATTGATTTATTCATGAAATTTATCTGCCCCCCCTTCCCCCCCATCTTGTATACAACAACATTTGGGGAGCTCACAACAGAGTGCAAACCCCTTGTTTAGTGGCAGGCAAAAAAAATCAGGCATCGGAGACTCCTTTGCTGCCGCCATTTTGACTTTTTTGACTGCACCGGCCAAGAAGACAGCAACGGACAACTTCAAAAATGAATCTTTTCCAACTGGCCCCCCCCCCTGCCTTCACAACCCCCCCAGTACCAAGGACAGCTCCCCAACTCGCCCCCCTGCGCCTGCTCTGAGGCCTCCTTAGCTCTGACCTTGGGGTAACAAACGGTAGACTTCTCCTGGATGTGGGGGCTCTACTGCAGACACTTCGCCCCCTCCCCAAAAAAGGAGGCAAGGAATAATCTCCTTGGGCATCCTTTTTTTTTTAGAGAAGCCCCCCCCCCCAATCCTGCAGCAACGTCACTGAGCACGGGAATTTTTTCACGCATCACCTTGAGCCCGGATGGCATCTTCTCTTCCTTGTCCCCTGCCTGGGCTGGGCATCAGAAGGTCTGGAAGCCCCCTTCCCTAATCCAGCTTTGCCTGCCCCCCCCTTCCCCGGCCAGCCCTGTGGGTCGGCCTATCCTAATCTGGAGATAATCCACCAATACCAGATCTCTTGGCAAAGGAGGGGGGGGGCGTGCCGAAGGGTCCACGAGTGGGAGACACACGGCCTTCAAGGTGAGGGGCTACAATGAGAAGGGGAATAACAGAAGAACAAGCGTTGGAAGGGACCTTGGAGGTCATCTAGTCCAACCCCCTACTCAGGCAGGCGATCCTGTCTCAATTCAGACAAATGGCTGTCCAGTCTCTTCTTAAAAACCTCCAGTGATGGATGGATGGATGGAGGGAGGGAGGGAGAGAGGAAGGACAGTAGAATTACAGAATAACAGAGTTGGAAGGAACCATGGTGGTCATCTAGTCCAGCCCCCTGCTCAGGCAGGAGACCCTATACTATTTCAGACAAATGGCTCTCCAATCTCTTCTTAAAAACCCCCAGTGATGGAGCACCCACAATTTCTGGAGGCAAGCAGTTCCACTGGTTAATTGTTCTAACTGTCAGGAAATGGAAGAGGAGGAGGGAGGAGGGGGAGAGACAGGGCACGGATAAAGCAGCATTGTAGAGTTACAATGGCTATTTGAGTGGAGCCCCGTGTGTAGGAGCAGTCTACCTCCAGATGCTGGGGAGAGAAATAGGAGAAGATGCTGGACTTGAGACCCATTTGAGAAGAACAGGGATGCTTGAGGTGGGCATGTGGCTTTCTCAAAGTGCCCCCTTTTTTCTAATTTTCTGAACTTGAGCCCCTAATTTTCCATTTTTTCTTTTGCAGAAAGCCTCTTCCCCATCCCGTCCCCCCCCCCCCCGGCTTTGGCAGCAGGCCGTGCCAAGGAGCAAGGTGAGCGCTCCTAGCTATGCGACAGCTGGCCAAACACCTGCTCCCTCCCTGGGCAAATAGCTGGCAGGGAAGCCGAGTGAGCAGGCGGGAGGGGGGGCTCGCCCAGGAGGGCAGCTGGGCCAGGGGAGGCATGGAGTGGCGCCTTCCTGGCTACCAGAGAGAATACGTAAAAAAAAAAGAAAAGAAAAGAAAGAGGAAAAGCAAGAAGGGAGGGATGGAGGAAGGAAGGAAGGAAGGAAAAAAGACAGAGAAAGAGATAGACAGGAAGGGAGGGAGGGAAAGGAAAGAAAGAAAAAGAAAAAGGGAGAGAAAGAAAGAGAGAGAGAGAGAGAGAGAAAGGAGGGAGAGAGGGAGGGAAGGAGGAAGCAGGCAAACAAGCAAGCAAGCAAGAGGGAGGGTAGGAAAGAAAGAAGGAAAGAAAGAAAAAGAAAGGGAGGGAAGGAAGCAAGCAAGCAAGAAGGAGGGAAGGAAGGAAGGAAAGAAAGAAAAAGAGAGAAAGAAAGAAAAAAAGAAAGAGAAAGAAAGAAAGAAAAGAAAGAAAGAAAGCTGCTTCCTTGGCCAAAGCACTTCTAAGCAACCCACCTATTCCCCATTCCACCCCCCCCAAAAAAATAATAGAAATACACCCTCTGCGCCATCCGGCAGGGTCAAATTCTTCCTTGGGACAACGAGGGGCCGTTTCCCCTGCATCTCTTGCAAGGATTAAACCTGGTTTGGCTCGTTCACAAGCCAACATGGATGTCTTCCAGCCTCTTCCTGCTTCCCAGCCCACCCCCCACCCCTCTGCCTGGATGGAGGCCAGCCTCCCCTCCGGGGTCTTCGGGCCTCTTCAATTTCACTGGGAGGGCAGAGGCTGATCTGATTCCGTAATCCTATTTACCACCAGCCCTTTCTCCCCGGCTCAGGGAGGCTGCCTTATCCCCCAGCTGCAGCGTAGCAAACAAGGTTAAGTCAAGAGTTAATGCCCTGGACAAGAAAGCAAATCAGCTTAGGCCTGAGAAAGATCCCCCAACCCCCATGCTCCTTGCAGGCTTTGCTCCATGTGCGGCGGTGAGGACTAGAAACTTCACTACTTCTTTTAAATGAAAAAACAACAACCAAGGCTCTCCAAATGCTCTATTCTGCCCTTGGGGGTGCCCTATTTGTTGCAGAGAAGCCGCTAATAATAACAACCACAGGGTGACTTTCTAGCTATGTAAAAACTTTAAAAACAAAACCTGTCATCTTGTAAAAAAAAGAAAACACACCACCAGGACAGGCAGACTCCCTTAGGAAAAGCTCTTAGAAAAAGTCCTTTCAATTCCCAGATTCGAACACCGATTCCTGGATTCCGTTTCTCCCTATGGACTGGGAAGGGCCGATCCCACTGCTGACACCAAACCCGGTGGGTGAACCCCTGGTCCAGTTCTACGTTCAGACCCCACTCCAAATGCTGGGCAGAGAGAGAGACACACAAACTGATTCCTGGCTGTTGACTAGACCCTTGGATTCTGTCCCCAGGGGGCTTCTCAAGGCCACAGATTTATCAAGAAAGTCATATCCCATTGACTAAATACCCTCCCAAAATAAGACCCAATTAAGATCGTCAGCCAGAGGGATGCATTTAGTACCCTATTTCCCCATCTTTTGGAGCAAAAATTAACATAAGACCCGGTTTTATTTTCGGGGAAACAAAGTAGTAGACCCAGAAAACTTTCCGAGGGCAGTTGCAACGCCAGCAAATTCGAAAAGGAACTCTTCATAATCACATCCAGTCTCTCTTTTAACACTGAAATAACTCAGTTGGAGATCTTTTAGACTTGAAATAATCCAGAGGAGAAACTTGGCTTCTGCAAACAACGGCAGTAGATCCGCAAACAAGGAGAACCGAAGCGGGATCAACCCACCTGGACACCCCTTACATGGAGGGTGTTTCCCGCCGAAGATATTTCTGCTTCAGGTTGCGTCGGGCGCTAAGGAAGAAGAGGGTGGCGGACAGGCCACTGGCACAGCAGCGGGCACCGTCCTGGGACTTACCCCTGGCAGAGTCTTCTGCTCATGCAGTGCGCTTTGGGCCTTGAGGGCGGATTCCCGGGCACAGTACGTCAGGAAGGCGCATCCTGGAGGAGAAAAAAAAACACGGGTTCAAACCCGGTTTATCAAAGATATCCCTTCTGGTGCCAAATCAGTAATCCAGCCTGAAACTGGTTTCACAGCCCTTCCTTGCGAAGCTCTAAATGAGAGAAGCAACCTGGAATTAAGGAGAAACCAGTGGAACAGCTTGCCACCAGAAATTGCTGGAAGTTTTTAAAAAGAGACCGGACAATCACCTGTCTGAGATGGTCCCTTCCAGCTCTATTCTGTTCTAAATCCCCATAGGAAAGACCCCCAAATTGGCAGAAAACAGAAGCCACCAACTCAAAATCAGTGTTCAGAGGCAGTCTACCTTAACGTATCACCTCTGGGATAGCCTCTCCTCCCCCTGCAGTGGCTGACTGCCCCCAGCTGTGCTCCAGGCTAACATCTGGCCAGCTCGGGCAGGATGGCAGAGGACATACAGAGGAGTTGTCAACTTTAAATGGCATCAAATTATAATCATCTTTCCTCTGGATATTTATTCCCTGCGTTTTCCATCCTCTTTAAACACCTGCCATGCCTTTGGGGATTCGGAGATCACTAAAATTGGGGGGTGGGGTGGAAAAAGAGCTATTTCATGCTGGAAACAGCCAGGTTTAGAAAGCTGGCTTGTTAATTTACAGGTTAACTGTTTTACAGACACCAAACGCTTTTTTCCCTTTTCCAGCTTCGTAGAGCTTAAGCCCTGATTTGAAATGGCTTTAATTACTTTTCCAGATTTATTAAAAAAAAAAAAAAGGAACGAGAGGATTCGGGCTGAAGGGGTGGGATTGCCGAAAGCTGATTTGAGACTGTTTTCATGGTCTTTTTGTCCCTGGTGGGTCTTGCAGACATTTCATGACCCAGCAAGGTAACATCATCAGGGTTCTGCAACCCAGACGGGCTCCAATAACTCGGAAGTTGCTCTGAATTTAAAAATCGGCCTGGCTCCCCCCCCCCTTTACGGTTTGCCATAGGCAGGGGACCCAGCACCGTCAGTATAACCGTTGCAATCCAGAACAAAATATTGCACGGATATTTCTCAGAGGTTCCCAGCCAGGCAGCCTCGCCTCTTTTGCTTGGCTCCAGAGGTGAAACTGAGCAGGGTTAAGGACCGAATTTGCTGCTCACTCAGGGTGAAGTGGGACTACAAAGCCCATCGGCTTTGGTTCTGGCTTCCTCTCCCTCCAGCTGTGGGCCCGGTTCAAAAAAGAGGGAAGTTTTTCAACGTGGTGCCCGCCCATCCCACCCGCCCCCAACCCAGCCTCTCCCTTTCCTCTGCCCATCTTTAATTTTAATTCTCCCCCCCAAAAAAACATTTTCATCAGCAAAATATGCTCCATTTCTTCCCCGGCTCCAGCGCAGGGCCTATATTTAGCCTCTGCCTGTCACAACGGGCAACGAAGTGGAAAAGCTAAGCCTGTCACGCTCCAGCAGCTCGGCCTGATGGTGCCACGTCAGCCCAGCCCTGCGAGCTGCCAGCGGGAGCTTTCTGCAGGGGGGGGGGTAATTGGAGGGGGGGGCTAAAAGGAGGAGGGGGAAAATGCCATGGGGCAAAAAAGGAGAGCTCTTCCCCTCTGCCCTTCCCTCTGATTTTCTTTCTCCAAATAAATGGAGGAAGGAGGAAGGAAGACAATAAAAAGGAAGGAAGAAGGAGAAAAGAAGAAGGAAGAAGAAAGGGGAAAGGAAAGGGGAAAAGGAAGAAGAAAGGAAAGAAGGAGGAACAAGGAAGGAGGAAGAAAGAAGAAGGAAGAAGACGGAAGGAAGGAAGGAAGGAAGAAGAAGGAAGAAGGAAAAAGGAAAGGGAAAAAGGAAGAAGGGAAGGAAAGAAATAAGAAGGAAGGAAAAAGAGAAAGGGAAAAATGAAGAAAAGAAAGAAGGAAGAAGAAAGAAAAAAGAAGGAAAAAGGAAGAGAAAGAAGAGAGAAGAAGAGGAGATGGAGAAGAAGAATTGTTTTGTTGTTGTTGTTATATTACTACTACTACTACTACTACTACTACTACTACTACTACTACTACTATTACTACTACTACTACTACTATTATTCAGGGGCTTCTTATGTTTTTTAAAAGTCCAATGTTGTCCAAATCCGTTCGGGGAGCCAAAAGCCAATTTTTAATCCATCTCAAAGCCGAATCCTGTTTTGTTTTTTTTTTTACTGGATTGTCGCACACTGCCCAAATATATTTATTTTAATAAATAAAAATCCATCTTAGCCCTCCATTTGCAACTTAACTGGCTGTTTTCCCAAAGACAAATCCTAACCCCCATTTTTTTTTTTTTTTTTGCTCTGGGTCGGTGCCCTTTGCGCCCTGATCCTTCCCAATTTTCTGGGAAAAATGAGTCCACTTCTTTTTAATTTCATTTAAAACTCCCCTGTTACAAAAGCCTCGGATCCGAGAACTTGTCTGTGTTCTCTGTTTATATGTTGAATTTCTTTTTTCCTTTGCTTTAAGGGAAAAAAAAAGTTTGTCGCATTCTACATTTTGACAAGCATCTTATCTCGCTGGTTCAAACAAGCCCAAAGAGAAAACATAAAAATATCTTGAACGGGCTTGGGGGCAAATCCCACCGATTTGAGTTCCTTCTAAGTTAGGGCAGGTTCTGCCAACTACACCCTTGCTAAACCTGCAGGTTGCAGCTACTCTAGACTCCCTCGCAGCCCACTACCTTCATTTTTAAACCTTGTGACCCCAAACACCTCCCAGGTACGCTCACGTCCATCAGCCTCAGCCAGGGGCTCGTTGCGCCAGGTTGCAGCTGCAGAATTAGGGACCTGGCCTTATCATTAGCAAGGGAGGACCACTGGGCGGGGTGGAGGAGAATAATAACCGAGTCAAAAGCACATAAATTTAATAAAGAAATAAAACCCAGCCCACCACTGGGGAGATAAAATATCCCCCCCCCCAACTTCCCAACCCTGGCCAGCAAAGAGTTGTTTTCAAACCTCGCAAAAGCCAATTGATTTGATCAGGGCTTTGCCAAAATTCAGAATAACTCTCCAGCCACGGTGCCCCAAATTCTCCTGCCGTAGTCACATGGTCGAAGGGGCTAAAGCAAGATTTTTTTTCTGCCCTTCTGCCTGAATTAAAAATGCCTTTCTTTTTTCTTTTTTTCTGGTCTGTATCAGCCCAGCGTGATGTACAGTTTTAAACCTCAGTTTTAAACTTGGCCTTTGCATTTTGCAAAAGTCCCCTCCACTTTTTCTGTTGGTCCCTAAAGCTGGCCGGATTTTTGCCCTTCGGTGATCTGAACCAGCCCGTTTTGGGGGTGAGGATAGATTTTTTTTTTTTATCCCGGTTGGCTGCAACAAGGAAGAGTCAACCCGCATTGGCAAGTTTTCTGTGCCAGGTCTAAGGGCTGGCACGTGCTCCAAGCTAGCAGCCAGAGGGAGGGTGACAAAGCGCAGGGCGTCTCTAGTTTTGAACGTGGAAGGCGAGGATGCTCAAAACAAATCCCGATTAAATGCTGGCTTGAAAACCTGGTTGTCCAAAATTACAGAGAACCTCTAGGTTTGAAAGTGGGGAAAAAAACCCGACCGAATATTGGCAGAAAAAAAGAGATTTTGTGCCACTTTGCATGGAAAAAATAAATAAATCTTGGGTGCCATGCCCCCTCCTCCTCCAGGAAAAAACTTTGATCCTTTTTAATTTATTTTTAAAATTAAATATCTGTATAATTGGAGAAAACCAGTTGCCTCCCCCCCCCCCGGGCCAGCAAGGTCAGTCAGTGGAAGCAACCCAAATCTGGGTCTTTGTGTGTAAGTTGCTAACTTAGGAGCAGAGGCGAGGAGCCAATTCCCTTGAGGACTAGTAACCTGCCATGATGAATTTGCCCTGGAAAACTTGTGCCTACGGGGAAAGTGGATCTTTCCTATTCTCGGCTCTTAATCCTGAGCCACTGATGGTTTTCCATGTGTTTATTTTTTTTTTTTAGATCAAAACATTCTCAGATTTGAAATAGCTTCTCTCCTTTGGTTGGCTGCTAATGTTGATCAGAAATTTATTTGAGGAAATTAAAGTGGTCTTTTTTTCCCCTCCCAGGAGCATTTTAACAATGCTGGGTGTGAAATTTCAAATCTTTGTTTACTTATTGCCTCTTGCAAAAAAATTCTTGCAATCCTAAAAAGGTCCAGATTGATTTCCATCCCACCAAGATTTTCCAGTGGCTTCTCTGCCGTTGGACTTTGCCCTTAAATAATGCCTTTTGCCGCTTAGAACAGGATCAAACTGCTCTTCTGAATCAAAAAGGCATCCAAAAATGGACAGTCTGTCTGCATTTTTTTTTTCAAAAAAAAAGAAAGAAAAAAAATAGAATACAGATGCTAAAAAAAAAACCATATGAAGTTTGTTAGATCCTGTCCAACCCCTGATGAGAGCTCACAGTCCCTCCGGTCCTTCAAAGCAGGCAAATATGTAACCGGTCCCTGCAAAATAAACTAAGGTTCTAGTCCTCAGTGATTCTTGAAAGAAAAAAAAAAAACAACACAAGCGAGCTGATTGAAACTAGAACCTACATAACAGGCCATCACTTGGGATGTCCTTTTCTTGTTCTGCAGCAGTTTTAAGAGAAATATCTATCTATATATATTTTTCAACTCAGTTTGGAGACAGGAGGTGCTAATTACGGGAAAAGCGGTTCTGTTTTCCTGGATTTTAAAGCGGAGAATTGACTCAGCAAAGGCTGCTTGCTCTCCCTACCCCCCCCCCCTTCCTGGTCCCTTCCCAGTTGCTTTCCCATTGCCAAAAACTGTTCACAACACGACACAGTGCACACCTGCCAGAAAAGCTTCATCCATCATAGTTGGGATCAGCCAACCTAGGTGAAAACAAGGCCTCCCCCTTCTCTGCCTTTCCTTGGCTGGATCGCCAAAAGTGTGTGTGTGGGGGGGGGAGAAGGCAGGGTTGTGGATTTAACCCAGATTCAGGGGAACCCAGACTTGGGGATTTATCCTGAGGTGTGTTTCCCCCCCCTTTCAGCCTCTTTTAACTTTCCTTTAGCACCGTGGCATTAATTAGATTTTATTCTTAGCTGACTTGGCTCTGGGGAATTGCACCGTTCCCTCGTTTTAAATGTTTACAAGCCAGCGCAGATTATCCTGGGGTTGAAGGGGAGAAAATCCTTCCTCTATTTCTTCCTTCCTTCTCTGCCTCCCTCCCTTCATCGATTCTCCCTTCCTTCCTTCCTCTCCTCCCTCTCCCTCCTTCCTCCCTCTCTTCCTCTATTTCTTCCTTCCTTCCTCCCTCCCTCTATTCTTGCTTCCTTTCCTCCCCCCTCCTCCTTCCTTCCTTCTTTTCTTTCCTCCCTCTCTCCTTCCTGTCTCTTTCTTCCTTCTCACCCTCCCTTACTTCACCTAGTCTCCCTTCCTTCTTTCCTTCCTTCCTTCCTTCCTTCCTTCCTTCCTTCCTTCCTTCCTTCCTTCCTTCCTTCCTTCCTTCCTTCCTTCCTTCCTTCCTTCCTTCCCTCTCTCTCCCTCCTTGACCCTTCCTTCCTTCCTTCCTTCCTTCCTTCCTTCCTTCCTTCCTTCCTTCCTTCCTTCCCTCCCCCCATCCAAATGTCAAAGTTCGAGCCGCTTTCCAACCCCCTTTAACGCCCACCCACCCACCCGAACCCCTCCAGAGAGCCGAACAAACTCACGTCCCCTCCTGGAGCCGCGTCGGGAAGGCCAAGCCGCCGCTCCTGGACAGCTCCGGGGGAGCATCTGGAAGCGCCGCCAAAGGCCGGCTGGCCAGCGCCTCCTCGCCTTCCCTTCCCTTCCCTTCCCTTCCCGGAGCCAAAAAAGCGGAGCGCCGGAGCTGAGTCAAGCTTGGCGTCCTTCGCCTTGGAAGGCAGCCTCCTTCTCCTCCTCCTCCTCCTCCTCCTCGCTCGGCGGCTCCCCCAGCGCCAAGGCCGGGCCGAGCCGGGCCGGGCTAAAAATACCTCCGTTTCCTCTTTGTTCCCTCAAGAGCGTCGGCGGCCTTGCCAGCCCCCCAACCGGGACTCCGACCGCCTCCCGGGGCGCCCAGACTCCTGGCCCAGACTAAGCCCGGGTCTAATAATCCCGGCTTGTTTTCCTCTCCGACAAACCACAGACCCCCCTTGCGCCTTGCCAAAAACGGCTCCCTCCAGCCACCTTGCGCGGGCGCCGCCAGCCTAGCCTGCCTGCCTGCCTGCCTGCTCTGGGCACCTTTCTAACCCCCCCACTCCACCCCACCCCACCCCTGCTTCCGTTGCATCGCCTCTCCCTCCCCTCTTCGTGTTTGCACCTTCGCAACTCTTTGCAAGCCCACCCACCCCCCCTTAAAGCAAAGGGGGGGGCCCTCTCCGCTTCTGCCCTGCCCTGAAAAAGGAGAGGAGGGGGCTTTCCCCCCCACTTTCTATTCATGCAAATCTCCCAGCTCAGGCTCCTGCCATCTGCTGTGCCACCTCCCCCCCCACCTCGCTCGCAAACCCAAGACCCACATCTCCCCTGGCTGGGAAAGCTGCCGTTTTGACCGCTTTCCTACCTCGAAAGTCGGTTTACGCGGCCGTCGACGACCCCCCCCCTTTTGAAAAAGTCTTTGGAGGAGGGGGGCGGTCGGTGGACTCCCCTTCTCAAGACCCCCCCCATCCTTCCCCCCTCCCCCCTCACCTTTGTGCATGCCGGTGTATTTATCTTTGATGACCGTCAATTCGTAGATTTTGCCAAACTGTTCGAAAATCGGCCGGAGGTCCTTCTCGTCTAAATTCCGAGGGATCTGTCCGATGAAAAGTTTGATGGCATCCGGTTCCTTCATTGGTCCAAAGGGGAGCAGAACCGGAGCGAGCCTCGAATTCGGAACGGCGGAGCCCCCAGATCAGGAGAGTTAAAAAGGAGAAGAAGAATCGAAAGGAGAATTGATCAGCCTCCGAGGCCAATAAAATAAAGAAAGGGGAAATTCGCCCGACTTGGCAGCTGGAGACAAAGAAGATGAAAGGCGGGGGCAGTTTCGGATTTGGGGGGGGGAGAAAGGGGGGGGGGACAGGGCTTGGAAGAGCCCTCCGGTCTGGATTTAATTGACTGGCATCTCCTTCCTTCCTTCCTTCCTTCCTTCTTCGCAGGAAAATTAGATTCGGTTCAAAAAAAATAAAAATAAACGGAATCCAATCGACTTTCTTGCTGTTTTTTTTTTTCCCTTTTGGTTTTTGCCCCCCCACTTTCCCGACGCCGCTTAAACCCGGAGTTGGAGCAAGCTGCCCGCTTTACTCACGAGTTTTCGCCCCGATCCCTCATCCTGACGCTTTGCGGGGAGGGGGCGGGGGGGCGGGAAGGCCCCCCCCTGCAATTGCCCTTAATGAAGTTTTTAATCGATCAACTTTTCCGCCGGAGGCTTGGTGGATTTTATCCACACCTCCGCCTGGCTTTCTTCTTCTTCTTTTCTTCTTCTTCTTCTTGGTGTGGGGTTTTTCTCCGGGTTTCCCCCCCCCCCGCCTTCTCGGGTCCCCCCTTTCTTCTCTCGGCTTCTTCCCTCCCCCCCAACCCTCCTGGAGCTCAGGTCGGAGTCTCCGGCTCCGCTTCTCCAGCCCTTTTCCTTCACCCAGCGAAGCCTCCAGATCCCCCCTCTTTTCCCTTGACTAATAACCGTGTCAGAGTTAGGGACGGGCTACAAAGTGCCAACTCGGGAGAAAGCCGCACGGCTGCCAAGCACAGGCCCTTGGCTTCCAGACAAGAGGGGGAAGGGGTGGGAGGGGAAGGGGATTACAGCCAGTCCTCCCCACCACTCGTTTAGTGACCGTTCAAAGTTACAATGGCGCTGGGAAAAAAGAGGGACTTTTCACCGTTTTTTCAAGATTACAATTCCCTGATCAACATTCAGACGCTCAGCAACTGACTCTCATTTAGGATGGTCGTTCCAGTGTGTGTGTGTGTGTGTGTGACGTGATCCCCTTTGGTGACCTTCTGACACGCAAAGTCAAGGGGGCAAGCCAGGGGTGACCTAACTTATCAACTGCAGTGACTGAACGGCTGTGGCAAGCAAGGAAGGGGGCGAAACGGGGCAGAAGTCTCTTAACAAGTGTCTCGCTTAACGACAGAAAATGTTGGGCTCTGTCACGATCGTCGTAAGTCGAGGAGTGCCTACATATAGTATTTTAACACTGTAAGCCGCCCAGGGGTTACTCTGAGGTGAGACGGGAGGCCCACGAAATGGAATCAAGCAAATAAATAAGATTTTTGCAGCCCAAAGCTGGACGAGGCCAGCGGAATGCAACTGCTAAGGGTTTTCAGGCCCAAAAGTGACCTGAAAACTGCAATTTTAAAAGAAATTTTCAGATCCCGGCTCGGAAATCAACATGCGTGCAACTAGCCAGAGTTAAACGTGGGCCGTGGATTCACACAGCCCGGAATCTGAACTGAAAGGGGGGTTTACTTTCAGCCAAGATTTGAGGGAATTAATAAAATCAACACCACCACCAGACCATCTCAAACGGTTGAAAGAGGCCTTAGAAAAGTCTGTGGCCGCAGAGACAAAAAAATAAATAAATTCTAGTTTGTTTCACTCATCCAGGGCCCACGAAAATGCTTTGGAGAAACAGCTCCTTTTCTATTGATTCAAGGTAGACTATCTCTGAGTAGAGAAGCTCCATTGCACCATTCTGGAAGGCCCAGGGGCTATCAACAAGCCTCCCTGGATATATCAATTTTAAAAAAACGAAACAAAAGAAGAAAAAACAGTCGCACTTCTAAACAGCCAAGACTATTCTCCATTTCTCCATTAAGCACTCAAATGGCAGAGAAATGTCACTATTCTTCTTCCCCAGAATATACAGCCCAAAAATTTGCTTGTGGGGTGATAAACCCCTAAATTCTAACAGATTTCCAAGCTGCTGATTCCCTCCCTCCGTTCCCGGAAGGCAACCCAAATAAACATCTTTTTCTAAATCTTTTTCTTTCGCTGAACAGATTTATTTTTCCGGGCTCTTCAGCTACCATTTCAGATGGAAAATTTGGGGGGGGGTGTCCAGTTTTGGGGTGGGAATACCAAGAAACCCCCCCGAAAACCATCAGTCCCTATTTCTGCCTTTCTTCCTCAGCCTGTTCTAAGTTGCATTTTTTTTCCTGGCTCCCTCCGGGATGGTGAAAACCCGACAACAACAACAACATCCACAGACTGCATTGCCACAAAATGCATAGATACCACCCTCTCCGCCTTTTGGCGAGAGACACAGGACCGTAGCTTCCCCATTTTTAACCCCCATGTCCTGAGCCCAGAGCCCGACCTGTAAGCCCATCAGCGGTGGCCGGTGGTCTGTGGGAATCGGAAAGGGGTCAAAATGTAAATTTTGGCCTGAGACATCCTGACCCACAATTTATTTTAAGTGGAGAAGCAACCAGGAACCTGGAGAGAGGTGGATTTAAAAACCTCCCCTAAGGGAGACAAGGGCAGGGAGGGGAGGGAGGGGGGAGCTGGAGCTGGAGGGCGGGAGTTGCCCTGCCCTCACCCCTTCTTTCCTCCTCCTCCCCTCCCTCCCTCCCTCCTCCTGGTTCAGAATTTGCAGAGCGTCCCTAAGTGGCAGCGCAGTCCCATTGTTCAGGAGCTGTCCGCGGTGCTGAAACACAGCTGGCCAGATCACAATTAGAAGAAAGCCGGGCGGAGGGAGGGGGAGGAAGGGAGGGCAGGGAAGGGGAGGGAAGGGGGGGAACAGCGGCCTGCCCTCGCCTCCCCCCCCCCTTGCCAGCTCTGGCCCTAAAGGAGGCTGAGAGAGGGCGGCGACCAGAGTCCAGGTCCTCCTCCAGGCCTTCCTGTGGTGCTGGAGCGCCTGCAGCCAGAGTGGGGTTGCCTCTGAGCATGCACAGAGGTCTCTCCCCAGCTGGGGGGGAAAAAAAGGCAGTCCACAAACCCGGCCTCTTTCTTCTGCTCCCCCCAACTTTGCAAACAAGGGCATCTCAACCGTACCTGTCTGTCTCTCCCTCCTATCCTTCTCTTTCTCTCTATTTGAGCTATCTCTCTCTCATCTTTCTTTCTTTCTTTCTTTCTTTCTTTCTTTCTTTCTTTCTTTCTTTCTTTCTTTCTTTCTTTCTTTCTTTCTTTCTTTCTTCCATCTACTTATCTAACATATCCATCTTTTTCTATCCATTGCTCTCATCTATATCTATCTATCTATCTATCTATCTATCTATCTATCTATCTATCTATCTATCTATCTATCTATCTATCATCTATCTACCATCTAAATGGACATAGGGGGCCAGCACCAGAATATCTTCCAGGAACTCCAGCTGAAGGACACTGGCCCCCTTCCCAAGGCACACGCTCGGTCCCAATCTCATCTCAATCAGAGCTGAGAAATTGAGGATCTTCCTCCTGGAGCCACTGAACTCTGGCTCCCACGATGCCTGGTCAGCAGGGCCCGTGGCAAAGGATGCTGGGCGCTGTAGTCGTGTCGCTCTCACTGGCCACTGAGCAGAGCTGAACGGGAGATTGCAAGGCCTGGCGAAGTCTTGAGCTGAGCTCCGGTGGAGGGAAGTTGGCCTCCCTCAAATTTTGGCTCCAACCAGCTGGCGGCCCTCAGTGCCTCTTCCCTGGAAGACCGAGAGGCTGGCCGAGGTAATATATATTGACATCTGTCGAGAAGCGTGCCCTGCTTGTGGATATCAGAAATGGCAGGATGATTTAAGAATTTGCTCCCTTCCCACAATGATCTCATCCCTAGAGGAGATGGGAAGGGGGACACAGTCTCCTTCCTGCCTTTGTGCAATCACACCAGCACACACAAACACACACACACACACACATACCCGTGGTGAAAATGTGCACATGGAGACAGCAGGCACACCCATGGCAGATTGGGCTCCTGGTTTTGCACTTTCCCTTTGTTTTATGCAAGTCAGGTTTTTTTTTTTTAATGAACAGCCCTGCCTGGACATCCAGGAGTTGAGGGAATTGGGTTATTGTAAAATAGGGGAAGGGAGGAGGGAGGGAGGGAGGGAGGGAGGAAGGAAGGAAGGAAGGAAAAAAGGAAGGAAAGAAGGAAGGAAGGGTGTTCCCTTCCGCCATCCCGGTGCCAGAAACATGCCAGAGTCTGGGAACCTTGTCTTCTGCCTCTTTATTGACACTCAACTTGGAGCCTCCCCTCCCCCCCAGGCTATTTCTCCCGAATTTATTTTGGGATCGAGAAAGCCTGAATTCTCACAAAATGCTCTGCCCATCGACAACTGTGTTTGCAACAACAACAACAACCCCCCCTTCAATCCATGATTGGAAAACTCAGAAGAACAAAAGTACCCCAGTGAATCTGCTTTGTGCATCCTCGTTTTACTTTAACCCTGGCTTGTGGCACAAGATAAGACAGAGAAGGCCTCCTTGCTGCGGGGGGGGGGGGGGCTGCATGACACCAGCCTCCAAAGCATCAATTGGGGCCTCTTTTTGCAAGTCACAACCACGGTGTGTGTGTGTGTGTGTGTGTGTGTGTGTGTGTGTGTGTGAGAGAGAGAGAGAGAGAGAGCGAGAGAGAGAGGACTGTGAAAAAGAATCCAACTGAGTGGCTTTTTTTTCAGATGGGGGAGAGGTTAAAACAAAATAAATGCCATTTTTTTTCAGCATGCCAGATGCAACCGAATTAGGAGCTCAGGACCAGTTGCAGCATTGGGATAAGGGGGGGGGGCTGCAAAATTAATGCAACCCCTCCCCCCACCCCAGCCCCAGTCTCTTCAAACCCAGAGGTTGCATTTGGAATTTGCTTTCCTTGTAAAGCCAGGTGTGAAAGCAGGAAGGGTGGAGGTAGGAAGGGGGGGGGGAGAAGAGGAGAAAAAATAATAATAATAAAGGAAAACAGAAGGGGTGTGTGTGTGTGTAACAGGCCTGGTTCTGCGGGCAAGGCCTTGCAACCCCTAGCAACTGTCCCCATGGCAACAGCACCAACAGTTTCTGCCAGGGACGGAAGCTGCCACCGGGCAAGATGGTTGACGTCACGTCAGGTCTGGAAAACCTGGATGTGGGGGCCCTCCACCCCACCCAGCTGAGTCAGCTCGTGGCCTACAAGGTAGGATAAGGGGGCAAGGGACCCCCCTTTAATTTTTAAAGCCCCCCCTTGCTTTCCAAAGCTGGACCAAGCTGCCAACCCAGAGGAGCCCAGATGCTTTTCCCTCTGCAGGGAAATTCCAGCCCCCCCCCAAAAAACTTTAATTCTAATACAACCCCCCTCTCCACCATAAACAACCCCCCCCCCCGAAAAGAAGCTGGTCGGTGGGCTTCCTTGATGGGGACTTTCCCCAAAACTAGCCAGCTTGGCGTTAGATGAGATCACAGAGACCCAGGTTTGCAAACCGAGATGGATCCAGACTGAGTTTCAGGTGTGAATGTGGGTCAGCTTGGAAAGACAACTTTGAATTGTTCTGAAATGTTTACGGAGACAGGAGGAGGAAGTCCTTGGCTTGATTTGATTTTTTTTTTTTTTTGTTTCCACTCGATAAAAAAACATGGGAATGTGGACAGGCCCCCTTGGAAAGATTATTTTGAACAAGCACGCAGAATGTAGCCACAAAGGTTTTTGCAATTTAGGACTCGTTTTCCAGATTTGGGAGAAGAACTTCTGCCTCTCTTATGTGTGTGTGGATTTTAAGCCTCCCCCCCCCCTTTTCTATTCCTTCATGAATGGGCTCCCTTTTTTCTCTTACATCTGTGGGGTTCAGATTATTCATTATTATTATTATTATTCATCACACAGTCAGCCACATGTTCAGACTGGGTTTGACATTTTGTCTACCTATCAAGTCCTTACCAAGGACCTGGGACTATTATTATTAAATATTATTTTATTACTATCATTTTATTATTATTATTTTATTATTAGCTGCATAAAGCTTAAGGGATTTTAGCATTTTTGGGAAAGGCTCCAGAGCTTTGGAGAAAGACTATTCTGACACTAGATATACAACCGGGGCACAATTACCAAGAGGTGTGTTTTTTACACACACACACAGACACACACACTCTCAGACACACAAAACAACAGGCAAAAAAAAACCCCTAGGAAAATGACGTTAAGGCTGCAGACTATTATTCCATTCGGAGATTTGCAGCAACTGATTCAGCCTTAGCCCTTTACATCTTCCATGCAACCCTGCAGGGTAGGCTGTCTTTTTATAAGGAGGGGGACCGCCGAACGTGCAATTTTAGGAAGAGAACAGCTGAAACGAAGCCAGCTACTGGACGTGGGGGGCACTTCGAAACACGGATATTTTTTTCTGCCTTCTTTTCGTATCTCTGTTTTTTTTTAATTTTTCTGTAGATCAACAGCAAAATTAACAATGAAAAATATCTCCGAACTCACACCGAAATTGAGGTGCTGCTGTCGGGATTTCTCAGGTCAGTTTCCCAATTTTTGTTTTTCTCAAGACAAGGCAACTCACTTTGTTGTTGCTCATTCAGGCCGTCCCTGACTTACAACTGTTTAGTGACCGTTTGAAGTCAACACAATAAGAGAGTCTCAAGCACCCTTGGAGGTTTTCTTGTCCAACCCCTACTCAACGGCCCTGAAAAAAAAAAAGGGACTGAGGACCGCATTTCCCTGGTCACATGTCCAAAATCAGCGATTGACCCATATTTATGACAGTCACAGTGTTCTGGAGGACATTAAATGGGGCGAAATTCACTTAAGAGCGGTCTCATTTAGCAACAGAAATTTTGGGCCGTTGTGGTTGTAACTAGAGGACCTGTGTAAATAGGCATGCAGCTTCTCCCTCTTAGCGGCCAACTCACTAGGCAGGAATTGTAGATTCGAACTGACTTTCAGCTTTGCAGGAAAAAAAGCCACCGGTGAACGGGCCAAATTGCAGGCCAGGCTGGAACCTTTGGCTGCCAGTTGCCAACCCCTTGGACTCCAAAATCAATCCTGGGGAGGTGGGGGTGTTTTCTGGGTTTCCCCCCCTTGTGATTTTTCTCCTCTTTTTGCTCGGTTCAATTTCTTTGAACCAACGTCTTTTAAACCTCGGTTTCGGGAACGCCCGGCTAATTGCTTTATCGATTCCCGATGGCGGAGCTGCAGCGTTCCGAAAAAGGTATTTTTAATTGTTATAAATATTTCCTCGGCCGGCTAACTCTCGCAGGCTTTTGTCGAGTTTTTTTTTATTTTTTATTTTTAATCATTGAAAGGTTCGGGGGCCCCACCCCCCTTATTCTGCCCAGGCAGAACAAGGGCAGATATAAATTAAGCGTTTCTCCTGGGTTGCTAATTGCCTTATTGATTCTCCATAAGGGAAGGGGGTCATTTACCAATTTGACAAGGGCCGAGTCCGGATCGGCAGGCGGGAACTTCAGAGGGGGTAAAAAAAATATCTTTGAAAATCTATTTTCTGCCCCTCACCCCGCCCCTTCATCACCCTTTTGTGATTTCCAGAGACGTCTTGATGAAAAGGCCGGAGAATATACAAGAATTTGCGGCAGGTAAAGAATTAAAATTTATTTGAACAACACCCATTGGAAGATCTGAAAGTGTTGGTGTCCAATCAACGCGTGTGCAAAACACACTAGCTGGGCTGCCGATTGGCTGGGCTCGAACTGGCACTGTGGAAAATTCCAATTTTTTTGGGAGGGGCTAGACGGCTTTGGTTGCCCCCCCCTCCAATGTTCCCCTCTTTGCCCCAAGGACGTCTCTTCTGCTGGGATCAAATGCCCACCCTGGTTCTTGTGTTTCAAGGATGCTGCTGTAAAGTGGATTATTTTGGACCCTCCCTGATTAACGCTTCCATCGGGAAAGATCCCCGGAGAGCGTGCCAAGCAAGCGTGACTTAAAAAAAAAGAGAGAGAGAGAAAAAACAGAATCCGCTCCCAAACTAAGTAAGGTTTCAAAAAGAGGCACAAGTCTGCTTCAAATAATGAATAATAACTAGCTGATTGTTCAGGCTAAAATCAATGGCTGCTTAAATTCAACTTCTGAAGATTTTTCATGAAACGGGATCTTGAATGGCGATATGGCTCTTTTAAACTTCAAACTTCCTTCTCTTTTTTCTTTTCCTTTCTTTCTCCTTCCTTCCTTCCTTCTTCAAATTTTCAATGTAATTAAAACTGAACCTTCCTTTCTTCTGTTTCTTCCCATCTATTCCTTCCTTCCTTCCTTCCTTTTCTCTCTCTTTCTTTCTTCCTTTCGTCCCCAACTGGAGCAATAAATAATATTGTTCCTTGCAAGGGTGTATCTAAATCAGCACGGCCTTGCAGGAGAAATTTAGCTTCTGAGAAGGACGAACAGAGCCCTGCAAGGGAATAGTGTCTGTCCTTAGGGCAGGCAAAGAGAGCCCCAGAGATGTGCGACACTGTCCCCTGACCATGTACAAAGTGCTTCCCTCTGAGATTTGCACACCTGGGATCTGGCACACAGAGACAAAGCAAAGGAGCAAGGCAGAGGAACTAAACGGGCTAAATAAATCCCAGCTTTGTCTTCAAGGAGACACATGGCCTCATAGAATCTTAGGGATGGAAGGGACTTTGGAGGTCATCCAGTCCAACCCCCCCCCCGGGCCCAAAGCAGGAGAGCTTGTTCCAAGCTGGACAAGGGGGTGTCCAATCCTTTCTGGAAAACCTCCAGCGAGGAGAAGACACATTGGAAGCTCATCCAGTGATGACACCATCGCATCAACAGGGGCCGAGTTCGAGTTGCGTTGCCAGAGGCCTTCCCTTCCCTTGCTCCTCTGGGATCGCCGATGCCTGCGGCTGCCTACACACCAGGGCTGGTCTGAAGTTTCTTTCCCTCCCCATTTCACCTTCCAGACTATTTCACCAACCCGGAGCTGCCGAAGAAAATCCAGCAACAGATGATGGAGAAGCTAAACCAGGCTACTTAGGGCTCCCCTCGGACCGAGTTCCTGCTTTGGGGGCTGCCTGAAAATTTAAACGGCCCCCTCTTCTCACCCCACCCCCAAATTATTGTATTTCTTGGAATCGCTTTCCTTCCCTCACTTGTCAATAAACCCACAAAATGCATGAAAATTGCTTGGTTTTTTTGCACCCGGTGGGGGGGGAATGAAACGTCGGGCTGCATCCTTACAGATAGTCCTCGACTTAACAAGTTCATTTAGTGACTGTTTGAAAGTCACAACGGCAGTGACTTAGGACCGTTTTTCACCCTTACGACCGCTGCGTCCTCTCTGTGATCACGTGATCAAACCTCAGAGGCTCAGCAAGTGACATGCACTTATGACGGCTGTAGCATCCCGTGTGTGTGTGTGTGTGTGTGTCACACCATCCCCTTTTGTGACCTTCTGACAAGCAAAGTCGGGGTGGGGGGAGAGGCCGGATTCAATTACCAACCGTGTGAAAAACGGGGCAAAACTCCCTTAACAAACGCCTCCGTTGCGGTCGTAAGCTGAGGACTGCAGGCAGCTTGCCGTGCGGCTAAGTTGCAAGCCAAAAGCCCACAGGGATGGGAATACCCTCCCACCCCCGGTCCCATGCCAGGGACCACCCATGGCCCCTTTGCCCCCATGTCACACGCAAAGGTGGCATCCTGGGCTGCCCCCTGGCCCATCCGTTGAGGCAGCCAAGACAAGCAAGAGACGAATTTTAGCAACTTTTGCAAGCTACACCCAACTCAAGAGCGAAAGGAAAGTGTGTCGGGCTTCAGAAGACCCCGTGTCACCCAGGACCTGCACAGCAGGCACCCCAAAACCCCACCTGTCTTTTGAGAGCTGCATTTCTACCTCTTCTTCCTTGCAGACCCCATCAGGAGACTCTTGGGAAACCCTCCCACTCAATCCCCCCCTTTGTGTATGTCTAGGGCGGCCGCACCCGCTGTCTTTCCCCCTCCCTCTCCCTCCCACCCCTCCCTGGCCTGGCAAACTCTCCCGACATTATCTCAGCAGTCACCTTGATAAGGTGGGACGTCAAGCTGGCCGTAATGGATGGGTCTTCCGCAGCGGGCAGAGCTCCGTGTGAATATTCAGGCCCTGCTCCGCTGGAGCGCCTGGGACGTGCCCCCCCCCGCCCAGCATCCTCACGTAGGACCTTAATGATATTGTTGGCAGCCATCCCGCTTTTGGCTCTTAAAAGCGGGGGCCGGCAGGCAAACTTTTCCCGTTATCTTCCCCAATGGAGGGACGACACAGAGGTGGGTGGGTGGGTGGGCTGGCACTCCAGGGCCAGGCAGACGGAGAGGAGAAGCATGGGTGGGCATAAATTAACCAAGGGATGGCTTGGCACCAGAGCCACCGGATGCCAAGGGATGGTACACGGGGCCACTTTGTTCCAGCCTGAGCCAAGACGGGACTGTTAATGCAACAAGGGACAGTTGTGCGACAACAGCAAGTTTTGCGATGTCTGGAGATTGTCACAAATATTCCGGGACGCGCCCGCCTTTCCCTCAAGGAGCTTGGCACGCCGGGGGCAGCAAGGCTAGGAAGGGGGCAGTGGAGACGAGCAAAGACTGCCTCCCCTAAGAAAGAGAGGGAAAACAGCCCTTTTAACTAACTCGGTTGCAGCCCATTGCTTCCTACCCCGAGTTCGGATCCAGGCCTGTTTGTGGGGAAACTCTTCCTGGGTGTGTGTGTGTTGCTTTTTTGCAACCAGTTAGAAGAATTCAGCCGAATAATCAGCAAGCATTAGGGGGCTTACAAGACCGAGCAGAGGCTGGTTTGATTTAGCTATCGACCCGTACCAGACCCACCAATTTTAAAACTCTTGAACGTCAAGACTGCCAATCTTTTTAATGGATAAATCTTCCAAGTTTGCTCCAGGCTTGCAAAGACACCAACACGTTTCTGCTTCTAATACCACTTTGGTACTTCAACAACCTCCAGCTAATCTAGCTGAAGTCAAGTTTCTGTGTAATTTTTAGGGTGGCTGGTAAGTCCCGGAAAAATAAACGATTATTATTATCAACCACAAAACCCCTTTCAACAGGCTGGATTGTGGATTTTCCCCAATGTTAAAAGTCCAGAAGCCTCTGAAAAGCAGCTGTTCTTCGCAAGGGGGCCTTGCAAACAAGGCACTGCCACCGAAAAAGCAAGTATTAATAGAGAGGGGACGTTTTATTCACCCTCTGCCCCACTGCCCACTGCCCGAGGCTTCAAGAGACCCGGAACGAGGCTAGATTCACCCACCGTGGCCAGCTGAAGCAGCCCCCCAAGAGGAGTTTTTGGCTAGAAAAATCCTAAGCTCCGATTCTAGAGCCGCAGAGGAAAAAAGTCACTTCCCAGCCTCTGTTCCCGGGAAGCTTCCAGATCTTCACACTTCCCTCTCGGCGTCTGGTTCCTTCTGGGCGAGCCAGAGACGTTGGCTGTTTGATTTCGGTTCGGCCAACTGCTGTACCGAAAGAGGGATGCGGACGGTGTCAAGCCCGTTCACCTGCAACGCAGGAGGAGGAGGAGAAGTCAAGTGGCAGGCAGTCCCGTAAACCCCACAACAAGCCAACTGGAAGAGGCAGCTGAGACCCCAAACGCTTTGCAGAAAAGCCCCGGAGGGTGCTTACCGTAACCTCGCACCAGTAGCTTCCCAATCGGGTGATGGGCTCTTCCGGGAGAGTCAGCGCCTGGTGGGGAACTACAACTCCCAGCTGGAAAAACAAAACAAAACAGGAGAGGGGGCACATACAGCTGCTTAAAAATAAGGTTGCGAATGTGTTTTAAAGGCTCAAGTTGTGTTTCAAGCTCAATTTTGATCACATGGCTGTGGGGAGGCTGCAACAGGCGTTAAGTATGAAGAACGGTCATAAAGCCACTTTTTTCTCCAGTGCCGTTGTAACTCTGAATAGTCAATAAATGAATTATGTTGAGGACTACTTGTATTAAAACTGTCTCCACTATGCAGTAAATACAAACATATAAACTGCTCCTCACCAGTAATCAACACCCTAAAGAGCAGAGATTAACACCACAATAAACACTAGACCATCAATCAAATAAACAACACCCCATCCAGGATCTACCAACTCAGACAAACAACAGGCTAAAGAATCACAAGGAATATCCCCACCAACACTGTCAGAACAAGCCACTAGTATATAAAAATAAGAGCAAACCCACTCCCTGATGATGTTAGCTAGTTGGGTAATGAGACGTCTGCAAGAAAACCACCAAGTTTAGTGAGCGCCACAGTTCTCTCTGCAAACCCCTCTTCTCCCTTCTGGCACTGATGATGTTAGCCAGTTGGGTCACGAAACGTCTGCAAGAAAACCAGAGCCCCAAGGACCCCGCAAAGATAAAAACGGCAAAGCTCACATTTCGGAGGAAATGGCGGCAGACAATTTCTTTCGTCAGCTCCCAATGGTCACACTCGTTCACGCCGATCTCCAGGGTGCAATTCTTGAGGAACCGGACAGTCTAAAGAGAAAGGAACAGAAATCTTATCAGCTGGTCAGCTAAGGGAAGGAGAGACGGGAACCCGCCCGTTTTAGCAGAAGTTCCTCCAAAACATGACCAAAAATGCTAAAAAACTTAAATATGTTAAATATTTAACAGCTCTGGATTTGTTAGCAGGATTTGAGAGAAAGGAGGGAATAGGAGTATAATTCAAATTTTGGGAGAGGTTATATATATATACCCTGCTGTAGTGGCAATTCTTGCTAACATAGATGGATGGATGGATGGATGGATGGATAGACAGACGGAGACAGACAGACATAGATTATATAGACAGAGATGATATAGACACAGACATAGATGATAGAGATAGACAGACAGACAGACAAGATGGATAGCAGCAGCTTCTCCACAATTTAGCTTTCAAATAAAGCTCACTTATCAATAATATTCAGAAAACCTTGCCAATTATCCTCTTCAAACAGGACTTTTCCGTTATTCTTCATAGCCTCACCTTCATTCCGCTGTGGCTTTGTAATCTCGGCAACTTCCCCTCTTCACGTAACTACAGAACGAAAACAGAAGAGGAGAGGCAGGAAAAAAATAATTAGATTTTTCTCTAATTTTCTATTTCCAGCTACGTACAGGAGCCTAAGTGCCTGGAGCAAACTTACTCGGTTTTCCTCTTCAAAAAACTTCTTGTTTTCGGGAGAGGCGTAAACGGCCCGGTTGTGACGCAAGAGGTGGTTGCGCCCAAAAGATCTGTGGACAAAGACGGTCTCCCCGCGGTTTCCCACGTCTGCAAAATGAGACACGGAGAAGAGTTTGGGGGTGAGGGTTTCGGGGTGTGTGTGTGTGTCTCGTCCTTGGCTTCTGCTAGTCCCCGGCTCACAACAGTCCATTTAGCGACCGTTCAAAGTTACAACAGCACGGGAAAAAAGGGACTTATTATGACTGTTTTTCACACTTACGACTGTTGCAGCATCTTGTGATCAAATTTCGGAGGCTTGGCAACTGACATGTACTTGGGACAGTTGCAATGCCTTGGGGGGTCCCCTTTTGCGAGCTTCTGACCAGCAAAGCCAGTGGGTGAAGCTGGACTTGCTTAACGACCGTGCGACTAACTTAACAACCGAAGCGATTCGCTTAACAACGGTGGCAAGAACGGCGAGACAAACCTCACTTAAGAAATGTCTCCCATTGTGGTCGTAAGTCGAGGATGGCCTGCAGAGCGGCCGGAGGGTCCCGTACCTTCCACCGGCTCAGTGAGGATGAGTTCGAGGGGCTCCTTGGGTTGATGCTTGAGGTCCTCAACCAGGCGGAAGACGCGGAAACGGGGGTGGTTGATGCGAGGCTCCCGGTCTTTCTTGCTGAGCGGCACCTTCCACCAGCGCTCCACCACCACCGTCTCCTGGAAGGCAGAGAAGGCGGGAAGGGCTCAGGCGCAGCCTCGGGGCCGCCTCCTGTCCGGTCTCCAAAGAAGGGAAAATTAACTGGGATTTTAGCCGGGTGGGAGAAATGCAGGACTCGCCCTGCCCTGGAGCAGCGGAAGCAGATGGGCCAAAGCCCTGGCAGGGCGGGAGGGGGCCTGCTTGGGACCCCCAAGTGGGGCTGGATCTAGCAAGCCGCAGCCTTTCCTTTTTTTCCTTTCTCTTCCTTCCCTCCTCTCTCCCTCCGTCTTTCCTTTCCTTCTTCCTTTTTTCAACTTTCTTCCTTCTGTCTTCCCTTTTTCCTTCTTTTCCTCCCTCCTTCCTTCAATCTAACCCTCTCTCCTCCTTTTTCCTTTCTCTTCTTTCCACCCTCCTTCTCTCCTTTTTCTGCCACTTCTTTCCTTCCTTTTTCCCTCCCTCCCTTTTTCCTTCTCTCTCTCTCTCTCTCTCTTTTCCTTCCTTCCTGCTTTCCTTCCCATCTTCTCCAGGACGCCCATTCAGGCCATCCAGCCTCTACCCAGGCCATCCAGCCCTCTTTGGCCCGGGGCTGCCTCGTAACGCCCATCCTGCGCGGCCTCCCCCGGCGCTGAGCGGCCGCCGTTCTCTCCTGGTGGTCCCCCATCCCTCCCTTCTTCCCGCCGGGACTGTCCCGCCCTCCCCCGCCAGACTCCACACCCGGCCCGGCGCGGCCCAGCTGCGCTCACCCGCGGGGCCGAGAGGCGCAGCCCCCTCCTCAGGGGGAGAAGGAGGAGAGGAGACGCCGTCGGCGCCCACCGGCTCAACCACGCCGCCATCATGGCTGCCGCCGCCGCGCCATAGGCCCCGCCCCCTGACGAATGCGCAGGCGCCGAGGCCCGTCAGGCCGCGGCTAAGCCCCGGCCTGTCGTAGCACCGCCCGCCCGGCATGGCCCTCTTCTTGCGGACGGTGGCGCCACGGCAGCCCCCGGCTTTGGTTCGGCCGGGCCGGAGGGAAGACTTCTTCTCAATACAGAGTTCTTGGTGCTAGTTTGCCTCTAAGCATGCCCAGAGCGCCTCTCCCCCTGCCATGAATGCCAAACTTTAATGGGGTGGGAATGAAGGGGTCTCTGAGCATGTAAAGAGGGCTGTGTCACCCACCAATAAAGGCATCCTGCCTCCCTGCCATGGATGCAAAGTTGTAACAGCATGGTAGGGAAGGGCAATCTGAGCATGCACACAGGGATCTCTGCCAAACAGAAGAGTGGGCAGCACAGTGTCTCTGAGCATGCACAGAGAGCTTTTCCTCCTGAACATGAGAAAGGCCCCAAAGATCCTTTAATTTGGAGGGGATGGTACAAGTCTTCTTTCCTCCCAAGGCAGAAAGAATTCTGATGAGACCTTGTGCCTCTGAGCGTGTACAGAGTGTTTTCTTTCCCACAACCCCAATGTCTTCTAATCTTTGAAAACCAACCACCCAAGTGGCTATAAATGGGGGATATATATGGGGTGACACGTCAAGCAACCCCACCCTTCCCCATAAACTGGTTTCAAGTCAGTTTCCAGGGGGGCCTTGTAGACAAGCCACTATGGGAGAGGCCAGAAGTGGGAGGAGCTTGTCCTGGATGGTCATAATGGGAGTCTGTTGTGCGTCTGGTTGCCAGTCTGGGGCCACCAGGTCACAATGGGGCTCTTGACTTGGGGTCCTGACCCCAGGGGCCACTCATCCCTGGCCAGATGCCACCCAAGATCCGGAGATCGCCCAGGGACCCCGCTGCCTGCTTTGGGGCAACGCTAAGCCTGCTTGGATCCCCCTTTATAGCTTCATCCAAACTTCACCCTCAAGGAACCATGACCCCCTCAAACAGCGAGTGAGCCTCCGCAGCGCCATTTGGGCAACACTGCCTGTCGTCACAGCTGGCTCACCTGAGGCTAAGCCAACAATCGTGGTTTGCTGACCTCTGGTGGCCAAACCTGGCAGACCCAGATCCTCCTTCCCCAACTCATTTGGGTCCCTGGGATGCCCGCTGGCAGAGGGGAAACTAAAAAACTTCCCATTAAAAGTTGGCACTCCAGATGTTTCGCCAGCCCAAGAGCCTGCAACGGAAACCATGGCTTGTCCTTCTTGGCCGATCCAAGATCACCCGGAAGGCGAGAGAAATGGGAAATAAAAGTTGTGAATGCTCCAACATGGGAAGTTTTGAAGAGACTGGACAACCATTTGTCTGAAATGGTATAGGGTTTCCTGCCTAAGCAGGGGGTTGGACTAGAAGACCTCCAAGGTCCCTTCCAACTTTATTATTCTTGTTATTAATTTTAAAAAAATGGAAAGGATGGGAAAATATAATTTTTTCTCCTCTTCCAGAGCTACCCTCACCCGCCGCGAGATTTTGAGCACCCGTCCTCGCTACTGCCCGCAGTGCTCCTGAGTTTGAGGGCGCCAGCCCCAACCGGTGCAGCCCTAGTGGCCCGGCAGACTGGCTGAGCCCGACTGAGATCTACAAGGTAAGTTCTACCAAAACCGGGTTTCAAACCAAGCGTGGCTAGTGGGAGGGGATAATTCTGGGAATTCCGAGTCCACCTTTTCAAACTTGGTAATTTTTAAAATGATTGGACTTTGACTCACTGCTTTTTCAAATTGGCCAACTTTACGAGTTGAAGTCCAACCCTCTTAAAGTTAGCCAATTTGAAAAAAAAAAAACCCACACTACACTGCCAGACTTTTTTTTTTCTTTTAGAAGCAGACAAGTGCTTAAACAAAAAAAAAAAGGGGGGGGAAATAATTAACGGAGAAGCGTGCAACTTTTCACCCTAATGTCTGAATCGCCTAACCAGCATTTTATGCAATTTCCCCATTCCCCCCCAAACAGGCTGCCAACCTCACTGTTTTTGCTAGCAACCGTCAACACCCGGATCAGCCAGTGCAGCTGGATTTCCACTTTGCCCGTGGCAGCCAGGGCGCCTGTCACTGGCATGGTCTTCTGCATGGATGCACCCTTTTCCTGGACACCCCTCGGCTGGCGCTGGACTTCAACAGCCGTGAAAGGTGAGGAGGTGGAAGTGGCAAAAATGCACTTTGGAAAAAAAGGTGGCATGTTGGTTAGGAGGACAAGGAAAGGGTTGGCCTCCGGAGGAAAGAGGGAAAACTTGGTTTAAAAAGCAGGAAGCAAGTTGGTAGTTCTCAAGATCCTTAGCAACTCGCCAGTCAGAATCCAGAAATCAATGTTCCACGTTCATTCTTGCTCTAGCGCTAGTTACATTTTTCTCTGGAATTATACTCTTTGACAATCATTCATTTAGTGACCGTTCCAGGTCACAGCACTGGGAAAAAAGGGACTTGCGACCAGCTCTCAAACTTATAACCATCACAGCATTTTCACGTGATCAAAACTGGGATCACCAGCATGTTATTTATGACAGTTGCAATGCCTTGTGATCATTTGTGACCTTCCCATCTAACCAGCAAAACTTCAGTGAATGACTTGTGTTGCAAAAGAGAGATCCCAAAATCAGATTCACTTAAAAACTGCCTCGCTTAGCGAGGGGAATTCTGGCCGTTAAGCCGAGGACTAGCTGTGTGCTGGTTTTTCAGAAGACTCGAATCGTTTTTCCAATCAGGAGAGTCAGAAATCTTTGCCTTGTCAGATTGTGCGATTACAAAACCTGATTTGCTGACCACACGCTCGCCTCCGATCCTATAGCTTGACCGCCACGCTGGAATACACCGAAGAAAAAACCGACGCAGAGCAGGTGCTGGTGAACTTCCGTAAGGCTCGGCAAGACCGAGGTAAAGAAGCAACTTTTTTTGGGTGGGGGGCTTTTAAAGTCAGGCTGTTTCGCCCAAGAGTGAATTTCCGAGCCTTGGAAAGGAAAATCAAGTTTTGTGAGTGCCTTAATATTAATCCAAATTATAAAGGGGGGGAAAAGGGAGTTGTAAGAATGAAATTGGAAGACAGGTCCCCATAATAGGTTGGTGAAATACAGGTGATCCTCAACTTACGACAGCTGAGCCTGATTTTTGCCATTTTTCTTGCCTAAACAAACTGCTATAAATTGAGGACTACCTGTAACTTGTCAGCCGGCATCCGACCCTCGCAAAGAGAGGCGGAAGGCGACAAAAGCTGAAGGTCCCCCCCCCCCGCTTGAATCCAGGGTGCAAATCCGAACCCCAGAAAGTAGCTCCAGTCATCCCTGCACCGCTAACCTTGCTTTCCCCCCCCTTCCTCCAAGGCGACTTGCTACGAGCTTTCGGCTTCTTGGGATTCGAACTCGTGACCCCCGGCCATCCTGGCCTGCCCCCCTGGGAAGACACCATCTTCATGGCTTACCCCCTGGAACGTGATCTCGGCTGGAATCCCCAACCCAAGCAGGAAGACGCTGGTGGGGCCTAGAGGCAGGAGGGGGGGGGACCCTGGTGCCGATGGGGACCCCCGTTTGGAGCAGCTTAATTTCAGAGCCCCCCTCCAAAAAAGGCATTAAAGTGGCATGAACACTTAGCAGTTTATGACTAGGGAGGGAGGGGTAAGTTATGGAAGGGGAGAACCTCACCCTTTCCTTGCCTCCCCTCCCCCCCAATCTTCCATCCCATCCCATGGGAGAAAATTGGGTTCAATTTGCAGGCACCATCCTTGCCCTTTCTCCCCGTAACCCGCAACTCACCACGCTGGCCCCCACTGGCTGGGTCTTCTCCCCACCCCACCCCACCCCGCATTTTTAACTCTTGGGAGAGGAAGTGCTAAATACCAGCCTTTATTTCAGACAAAAATATGAACCGAGACATCTCCGCTGAAAAGTCACTGCAGCCCATCTTCGTCGCTGCCTTTTGAGTTTTAACACTCTGGATGGCTTTCCAAACCAAACTTAATTCTTGCAAAACAAAGTACCCCTTCGTCCCCGTATTGTCGCTGTCCTTTTAGACTCCCATTTCCCCCCAACACACACAGTTTTGGACCAACAATGCACGGTGTGTGCCAGGCATTGTGACTCATTCCAAAGAAACACAGGCTGCCCCAACTTTTCCAGTGGGGACCACAAAAAGGGTTCAGGGTAAGAAACCAGGGTTGGATCCAGGGTCTTAAGAGCCCAACGTGAACATAAACTCAGGTTTGGGGGCAGAAACAGCCACACACACACCCTCTTCGTCTTCTGTGCAGCTTCCCAGAAAAATGGCGATACAAACGGCTGAAATTCTGTCAAAATTTAGCTTGCCATTCAAAAGCTACCCCAGTGCAGCCAGACGGTGCTAGTAAAAGTCCCTTTTAGGGGTGCTGGGGGATTGCTGGGGGGCTGCGTGTCCCCTACAGGATTCCAAGGTTCCTCCGGCGGGTGGGATCTTCCTGTGGCCCCTCCAAGATCTGAAGCAAAGGAAGGACAAGTTAAGACCCGCTCTGTGCAAAAAAACCACCCCCAAAATACTAACCCCCTCTTCCCTTCCATAGAGGTTGGATCTGGGTTGCAAATCGCAGATAGGGCAGCCCCAAAATACTGGGGTTGAGGAACCTGGTTTAGAGCAAGCCATTATGGATTAAATTTCTCTGAACTAAAGGTGGTTAATGGTAGATGGGACACCCACCCCGTTCAGAAGGTGGAAGGTCTTGAACACCCCAAATGGCCCTGTTCAAACCCAAGGATTTTCTAGAAGGCCAGGGAAATCTGGACTGGAGGGGCTGGGGTCTGCCAAAGCTGAGGGTCCCACACTGGGACCAAGCAATCCAAGACCCCCTCCCGCCTTATTTTGGGTGCACAACGCCACAAAGTGCCACTCCCTCACCCACCTTCCTGGGACCTCCAAGGCTCATAGCATCACCCTGTTCTCCTCCCCTTGCGACAGGGAGGCCATTTCTGCAGGATCAAGAGACAAAAGATCAGTCTTTTGAGTGGGTGGGTGAGGTAGGAAATGAGGGGAAGACCTGGAAGAAGCCCCCCCCCTCCCCCCAGGAAGTCAGGAGTTGGTTAGCCAGCAGGGGGGAAAAATGGGTTGAAAGAAAAGCGCCAGCAGCTTGATAGAGACAGACAGACAAAGAAAGAAAGAGAAAAAGAAAGAAAGGAGAGAAAGAAAGAAGAGAAAAAAAAGAAAAAAAAAGAAAGAGAGAGAGAGAAAGAAAGAGAAACTCTGTATTACATTCGGGTGGAAATTTTGAGCCCTTTTGTCTGACTCAACCAGGAGGCCCTCTGCAGTTGTGGGTCCTCAGGATCACTTTCTAATTGTCAACACACATACAGAACGGGGCTGACGTAGGACAAGCTGAGCGGCATCTCCTCAGCACTCTGGCGCCTACCTGACAGATTCTCTAACGACGTCCCTGCAAAGTTGGCCTAGAAAACAAGCAGAGTAACAACTTGGAAGGGGACACCAGAGTTAGTTTTGCACAATCGAGGGCAGGTCTACCCAAAACCCCACCAGCTCTTCTCCTTTGACACAGGAGGCACCTCGGGGTCCGCAGAAACGTTGCACGGGGGGAATGAGAATGTCGGGGAGCAGCAGAGACACCTCCCTCCGAAAACATCAACCAGGGGAAGACTTAAAACCTTGTTATATTTGGCTTGTTTGCTGCGTGGGGAACTCCCTTCCGTCCTTAAGTTTGCAAGTCAAAACCAAAGCAGGTGTATTTTTGCCGTTCAAACATTCCTGCCTCTGAGGTCCCTTCCAGCTGGATTGTCCTATCCGCGGCAAGACAGACCGCATGTGGACTAGTCACATAGCCACCCGCCTGCCAAATCAGCTGGGCCCAAAGAGGCCGGATCCGTAGCCCGATTACTAACCAGGTTTCCGGGCAGATCCTTTGAGGCTTCCCCGTCCCCGTCCGACAACTTCCGCACGGCGTAGCCCAACCGGATCAGTTCCTCTCCCACGTCGACAAACTGGGGAGAGAAGCCGGGCTGAAAACCCAACCTTGTTAGGCCAAGCCTCACCCGGAAATCCATTTTGTTTTCCCTTGGAAGGTCCAAGCCAGGATGGGTCTCACCTGCCCGTTGGTGGGTTTGAACAGACGGACGTATGGCCGCACGCTGCTCCCCACGGGCTGGTAGGTGCAGATCTTGCAAAACACCGACTTCCACTGGGCGCAGTGGATGAGGCGTTCAAACTCATCCAGGGCGGCCTCTTCCCAACACGGGCCTGGAAACCATCATAGCCAAGGTCAGAAGGGGAATGCAGGGTTAAATTTCTAACCCAGGTCTCCGATGCCCCTTGGCATAGGCTCAACTGCAAAAGCTGGGTGGCTGTAGCTGTCCCCGATTCCCCCAGCTAGCCAGCCAGCTTTTAAAAGGGGTGGACTTCAAACTGCCAGAAACATGGCTGGCTCGGGAATTCTGGGAATTGAAGTCTGCGCACTTTTAACGCCACTAAGATTGAGAAATACTGTCCTGGGAGGAAATCAATACTTATCTGGGGAAAGGAAGAACTCACCAGCGGGGGCCACACCGGCCAGGCTGCACTCAATGGCCTGGAAGGGAAGGCCAAGGAAATCACCCCTTCCCAAAAAAAAAAAAAAAAAAGGGGGGGGGGGAGGTTAAAAGGAGGAGAAGACCCCATCCTGGCTAGTCCACCCCAGTTCTCGCCCTTCCTAACTGCCTCCTTTCCCCCATCACCCGAGTCTCCAACTTCTCAGCTTGACTTTCAAATCAGGACAAAATGAGAGCCCCTCCAGTTATGCGGGGTCTCCGTACCGTTGGCCAGCCCCTCCATTAAGTGAACGGTCGTATGCCAAGGACTACAGGCAGGTCACCGTGATCGCATCGCCCTAGCAAACTGGGCTTTGTTCACCCAGGGCCAGAAGCCCAGTTGACGTCCTCCCAAGACCTTCAAAACCATCATGTCTCCACAATGCTGAGGACCCCAAGTTCCAGCTCCTAGTGATGGGATCTACGACACCCACCCGGTCCAGCCCTTACCGCAACAGCCGCAGCTTCTCCAGAGGCACCTCCCCGTTGTCCCCAAAGTCTACGTAATAAATGTCCAGGTTGCCGTTGTCCAAGGTCCCCAGAACCTTGGCCCGATACCAGGAATGGTCTTCCAGATAGTAGGCCGCCACGATGTCCCCCACCTGCACGCTTTCCAGCTGGGGAGGCGGGGAGAGAGAGAGAGAGAGACAAGGAGAGGGGTGACACCTGGGGATGGGGAACCACAGCTTTCCTGCCTTGGAGTTCACCATCTCCCCACTTCTGGATGGGGCCTCACCTCGTCGCCGTCGCTGCCGCCGTAATATTTGGTCATCTCCTGGACGAGTTTGTCAAGATGGAGAGCCTTGATGCCGATAATTTGGATCCAGAAATGGCTGGGGCTCTCCGAGGCCGAGATGTAGACCTCCAGGTGATCCTTGGCCTGGAGGCTGAAATCCGGGCTGGGCACTGAGCGGGAAGGAAAAGGCGGATGGGTTAGGGGGGTCCCCCAGTCAGCCAGGAGTAGTGGCCCTTTGGGTCTCCCAACTTAAGTCACACGGCTCCCTCCGTTGACTTTGCTGGTCAGAAAATTGCAAACGGGGATGATGGCACCCGTCCTGGGACACCGCGACCGTTATAAATACGAGTCGGTTGCCGAGGGTCTGAATTTTGGTCACATGATGCTGCAATGGTCGTAAGTGTGAAAAAGGGTCCTGAGTCCAGTAACTTTGGTCACCAAATGATCCGTTGCAAGGCAAGGACCGTCTGTGCTGTCGTAAGTCTGCAGGGTCCTCTTAAGCTGCAAGATCCAGGCCAGTCCTCCAGGTCCCGAAGCAGTCTACCTGGTGACGAAGGGGGAGCCCCATTTTTTTAAATTTTGGGCTCACCTTCAAAGACGGAGCTCAGCGCAGGCCAGGGGTTGATTGAGGACCCTGTTCCACTTGATTCTTGGGGATCTCCTGCGCGATAATTGGGGGGCCCGTCGCCAGCCTCTTGGTGGAGGTACTCAGCATCCGGTGTTCGAACGGGAGGTTCTGGGTGCGCGTAAGGCCGCTGTCCCTGGTCGCCAGCCGCCATCTCCCTCCGGATGCCCAGCGGCTGTTTCCGCTGCAAACGGGACATGGCCGCTTGTGACAGCTTGGTGCGGAAAGCTTCGTCCTCCGACAGCTTTTCTCGGATCAGTTCCTGCTGGCGCAAATTTCGGCCTCAATTAAGTCGAGGACTACTTGTCCCATAAGCCACACCTTCCCACTGAAATCTGCTGCTTCAGGTCCCAGCCTCTGCACACTCCCAGGGCGCCAGGTTGGGGAAGAGGGAAGCCCAGCCTGACTTCAGCGGCAAGGCCCTCACCTTGGCGGCCTGGACCTCCTTGCGCGTCCCAGAGAGGGTGATGAGGCGGGTGAGCGACAGGGCGCCCTCCCCGTCGCGGTTGCACTCGATCTTGGCCCCCGTGGCCCGGCATATGGCCCGCACGCTCTCGCCACCCTTCCCTGGGGGAGAAAGAGCAAAGGAGGAAGGAAAGAAACTGTGGGGCTCTCCGAGATTGGCTGTTTCTTTGCAGACATTTCACAACCTAACTAGGGAACGCCACCCGGGCCAGAAGGGAGCAGGGTTTGTAAGGACGAGGACTTACGGCGTCCTTGCAGACGTTTCACGGCCAAACTAGGCCACGTCATCAGTGCTACGCCCTCCCTTTCCAAATCCCAGTGTGGCCTCAGGGTCTCCAGCGCGGGCTGGCGAAAGAGCCCCGTCTGTATTGCTGCTGCTGGTGCCGCACCCCCCCCTCCCTCCCCACAAGGAAAGCTTTCAGGGGCTCTGCGGAGAACAAGGTACCGATGATGCGCCCGACGGCCCGATTCGGCACGGAGATCTTCTCCGCCACAGGCAGGCTCTCCTCCATGATCTGGTGGATGGCGGCTTTGGCCCTGCACACCTGGATGGGGGAGCCCGTGATCCGGATCAGCCGCTCCGCGCCGGAATCCTCCAGGTCGATGTTGATGCGGGCGTGGGTGTCCTTCCGCAGCTGGGAAGGGAGGAGGAGAGGAAAGAAACCTTGGAGGCTCGTCCAAAAGGGCCCCCGGGAGGGAGGGAGGGGGGTCTCCAGCCCACCAACCCCTCTTCTTCCACTTGCCTGGTTCACCCTGGCCCCCTGCCGCCCCAGGAGGAACTTCACAGCTTCCTGGGGCACCTTCAACACAAATTCGATCTCCTCCTCTCCCACGAAGGGGATCCGCTCTTCTGGGGGAACCAAGGAAGAAATCAAAGCTGGAAGACCTGAGGCTTCTCCACTGTTTGAGGAGGAACTCGAACCTCCTAAAGAGCGATAGAAGCCCCCCCAAAAGAAAAAATTCCCCCTGAATCACACACACACACACACACACACACACACACACACACACACACACACACACGCTCACCTTGGTCCTCCCAGTACTGGCGGTACAAGACGTAGAGGATGGCAGCGCTGGCTGGGATGCCCAGGCCCAGGGCGATCTTCTGCAGCCAGGTCAGGCCTCCGCCCCAGGAGCCTCGCTGTTCAGCCATGGCTCTGCAAAAACTGCCTGTGTCCTAAGGGGGGGGGGGGAGTCCTGAGCTTCTGGGGAGGCAGAAAAACAACACAATCGGGCTGCTTGCCCAGAGCTTGGCTTCCCAGCCACCCAAAGGGGTCGGAGAGGGGGGCACCCCTCCTGGCCTCCCCCAGGGAGGGAGAGAGGGACGGAGCAAGAAAGCCAGCAGCTCCGACTTCCTTCCCCTCCTGCAGATCTCCAGGGAATCCACCCACTCAGGCCTGGATCCTTCCTTCCTCCTCTCCCCAGCTTGGAAACAAAACGGAGCATCTCTTTATTGCTATACTGCAATTCTGGATGTTTTTTCCCCCCAGATTCTGTTGAAAATCTGCAAATCCCAGAAGCCCCCCCCCGCAAAGCGGCGGAGGGCGGGCTTCTGCCCCCCTCCCACCCCACAAATAATCATCTAAAAACCCTTCGCAATCAGGACGTTGTTCTCCTTTCTGCGGAGTGCGTGCGTGTGTGCGTTTGTGTATGTGTGTTGGTGCTATTTCAGCCCTCCCGTTTCGCTCTTGCCTCCTTCAACTGCCTTTGGGAGCCGATAGACTGCCCCTGTCCCCGGAAGCTCCATTTCCCCAGGGCAACGAGAAAGGGAAGATTGAAAGCTTTCCCCTGGCCTGGTTGGGGGGGGGGTCTTCGCCGCTTTTGTCTCTCTCTCTCTCCGTCTCCTGCAATTACCCCTCCCCTTCCGGGGGTCCTAAGTGGGGGCTGGGGGGTCTCCCCCACTTAATTTCGGTCTATGCAGCCTGGAATTTAATTCACCTGTTACCTCTCCACCCCCTCCCCTCTTATTCGCGTGCTAATAATTCAAATCCGGCTTGCAGGGTTCTCTTATCCCCAAAATGCTTTCTTGCAAGCGCGCATCCCGGGCTCCATCCAAGTTCCCCCTGCGGTCCTCGCCGCTCTACGCCCCGCCCACGGCGCCAGCCCCCACCTGCCCAACCGCCTCCGCTCGCCGTCCCCGCGCTCTGCGGGACCCGCTATTTATAACCTCCCGCCCCGCCCTCTCGCCACGCGCGCGCTTTCGAGCCAATCGGCGGAGAGAGCTACCTGCCGACGGGAGGGGGGGAAACGCGGAACGGAAGGGGCCAACCAATCGGGAAGCAGCGGAACGACGAAAATGGAACGTCGGGGCGAGGAGGCCGGCGTTGGTCCTAATTAGCCAATCGGCGAAAGAAGGGGCAAGGGGGGAACCAATCAGCAATGAGCGTGGGCGGGAGAGGGAGATTTAATTGTCGCTCCCTCCCGTCGCGAGAGGCACGTGGTCTGTACGAGATTAAAGTATCCCAGAATGCCCTGCGCTCCCAAGACTTCATTTATTACCCATAATGCCCTTAGCAAACCCTTGATTGACAGTTGAGAAGGGATGCTTTTAATTGATATGCAAGTTTTAAGAGTTTACACACAAAAACTAATCCTTTATCCTAAATTGACCATTTAATCAACAAATTTCCATTTTGGGGGGGCCAAAATATCTGCTCCTTGGATCAGCTCAGTTGGCAGCTTGACCACCCTTGCTATATTAAAAAAAACCCAAATAATCCTGTGTGCATGGGTTGAGAGGAGCACTAACCACAGTTTGCAGAATAAATCATCATATTTGGGATTCTTGCCTTGCATTAAGCCTTTATGAATGTCCCTGGCTGGATTTGCAGGCAGGCCAATCATACAAAGCCTAAATGTTGAGTTTGGAGGGAAATTGTGGCCACACCCACCCCTCCATTTATCGATCTGAAAAGTTGGTAACTGAAGTGGATGATGGGTAAGGGAATCCTAAAACAAATGTTCCAAAGAAGGATTCCTTTCCTTGCTTGCGGAAAAGTTTGAACCCAATCTCTTTGATTTTATTTATCATAATACCAGCCCAAGTCATCCGGCTTCATTAAATCTTCCATTCCATTGTGCGGGTCTTATAAAAATTCAACCAAAATTATCAGCATAGGTTTTCAATTATCTATGTGCAATCAATCTCTGAAACAATCTTTTAAGGTACAAACGCCTTCTCCCATCCACTGGTAACACAGAGGATATACACGACTATATTTTGATGGGTAGTTTCTACTTCCTTTGAATTTCAATACCCAGGGCAAAACATTTAAAGCCCGATTTTCATTGGAATTGCTCAATTGGCAATTTCCAAAGGGTTCTGGAGACTGCAGACTCATAATCGGCCGCGGGGAAAAAGACAATTTATTGTTGAAGACATCTGGGTGTTTATAAACCTCTGCAAGTCATTTTAAATGAAACAAGCCTAATGGATCCTCCTCGGGGTCTAAAAGACGGCTGCCAAAAGAGAAGAAGAGACGAGAAAGACGAGAAGGCGTAGAGAATGTAATTGCGTGTATTCAGAATGACACATAAGATTACAAACATGGAGCGCAATCCATAAATAAGATTTAAAACAAGGACTGCAAGTTATGCTAGTTTTTAACAGAGGCTGATATTTGCAAGCTGCTGTTTAATCATGTACACAGCCAAACCCTTTGAGAAAATAGAAACTATAACCCATCTGAGTTTAAAAGCCTCCCCCCCCCTGAGTTTGATCCATGGAAAGTCCACGGTGGAAAAATTGAAAATGCAGACGCAAAGCACTTTAGCAGTAGTTGTCACTATGCAATCACATTTAGAGTGCAGCGTAGCTTGGTGAAAATACGCTTCCAGGGTGCGATGCTTCGGCTTCTAACTGGAATAAAACCGGTGTAACCGTAGCACAGCTTAAAACGAACATTTGCTATTGTTAAAGGATTCTGAGCATCGTCCAACTAGCTGCGAGATACAATTCAATATCATTCTATCGTTTCCTTTCTTGCCACTGATGCATCTCCAAGTCTTTTAAGGTGACCTTCTGTTATTGGAGGGATGTTAACGCAGAATGAGATTAAGCCAATTATTTCCCTTGCCACAATTAAAAAAAAAAGCCAATGATGTTAATGCTATTTTTCTACATTTTTCTCCCCCGACGCTCATGAAGCTGAGAGCTCAGCTCCTTCAAGGCTGAACTGAGAGGCGTAACCAGCTTGGATGTTTGTGGCAATAAAAAAAAATTGCAGTTGCGTAGCACACATGCAACAAGAAGAGTTAAAAAGACAGGATAAGATGTCATGCCCGGAATATATTTCTTGCAAAACCTGGAAAATATTTTGCCCTTCAAAGCTGGAGGGGAAACCAGCTCAGCAAGGGTCACCAGGAAGCCAAATGAGAACCTCATTATATTTAGAGGGACTTCCTTAAATTTCACTTCCAGATCAGAATAAACTCATCCGTTGCTTTCTTTCCCCAGAAAAAAAACCACACATCTTTATTTTCCTGGCTCTTAAGGCTCTCCTACCACCATCAGACCTTGAGCACTTCTGGAAATGGCCAAACAAACCAACCTCGTATGTACGGTTGGACAGCCTGGTGACCCGGAGGGAGGAAAAACGCATGTGCGAAGCGTCCAGACGGAGACCTACGTCTCTCTCCTGGAATTTGGAGTCCTCGGTATGCGGCTTGATGTCTCCAAAGTCAGTTCTTTTGGAAAAAAGGACAGCGATGGAAAAAAGATTTTTTTTTTTTTTGGCAGTGTGATGGGATCCCCTCCTAGCTACGGATCTGGTCTATAGCAAGAGGATCATTATGGCGAGGAAGGTGGCTCCTGAAAGTGTCAGAGAGAGCTCCAGGATTACGTCACGACTAAGAGCGACCTCAAAAGCCATAATTTCCTCCTTGTAGCCTTTTTCTCTAGCTGTGCATTTGAAGACACCTTCGTCGATCGGCGTGTCCTGGCCAAAGCGAAGTGTGCAAGATTGGTCCTCCATGGAACAGGGGTAAACTTTCTTGTCCTTGACCCAACTGTAGCTGGCATGGTGGGACCTTAGCGGGCAGGGCAGGTAGATGTAAGCCGTACGGTCCACGCTGACTTTCTTGATGGCGTCTGGGGCTAATTTTTCTACAGGTCCGGCATTTGGGGAGAGAGAAAGAGTAAGGCAGAGAGAAAGAGAGAGACACTGAAGGCAATGAAAAGAAGTGGTTTTTCCACTCCCTGGTGAGAGTAGTCAAAGTTGAAACGCTTGCAAGGATGGGCTGTGGGACAGAACAAGACCCAGCTCAGCCCTTCTCCATTGCACTGCCGGAGATCTTAAGGGCAAGGATGCAGAACAGAAGAGCCATCAACCATCTGTGGCTTAGGAAGGTTTGAGTACCTTCTGGGTCAGGTAAAGGGATATAAAACACAAATTTAATCAAGCCAACTTCTTCTCCATTTCCTACCCTTTGAGGTCAGCATTGCCATGTGGACAGTGCGCTCCAGACCCCCTTCAGAGAGTTGGACATTGTATTTACAGGGTGCTATTCTTCTAGACCTACCCAACCTCCTAAGGCCTGTTTTAGAGGTCCTCCCTTTGGTTGCATCCATGGCTCATGTGGGATTGATCATGACAAGCCAGGGAGACCCTCTTTGTAAGGTCACATCCACCTTTCCACCAACACTTCATGTTCCTACAAGGGAACAGAGTTACCTTCAGCAGCTTTGCATGCCTGAGTGGTGCTGGACGAATCCAGGTTCTGAATCAACCTGTTGAAGGACAAGGTGGGAACATCTCAAGAACTTTACTGCATCAAGCCAAAGCACCCTCTAGTTCAGTCCCAGGTTTCTCTCTAGTCAATGATCCCATACTCAATGTTAACTAAATTCTTAAGGCACACAAGACTGCTTTGTGTGTCAGAAGCTCATGCACACAGCATTCTCCCCCCCCCCACCGAGGCCTCAGTTTTGTTCCTCTTGGCTTTTGACCGACCTGTTGGTGTGGTTTTCCTGGGAGATGGCAGAACAACTCTTTCCAGCTGCATCCCACCCACAGTAAGGGTCCTGGGCCAAGATGCACTTCCAACAATTTCCATTATACTGGCTGCAGTCTTGCAAGGGTAGACGTGTGACTTCAAACTCAGTGCTCACGTAGAGATGGCCCTACCAGAGACAAAATGGGTTCTAGTTTGCGGGGAAGAAAGGAACTCCGTGAAGAAGGCTGTGGAAATCTTCTCTAGTGCTGAGAAATGAGATATGAGTTCCCTTCATATGTCCATGGCTGGACTTCTCTGTGGTGGATAGATTTCCTTCAGCAAGGGATGAAGATAACCAAGATGATTCCTCAGCCATGGGAGTGAAAAACATATTAGGAAGGAAGTCTCTATTCTGCTCACTATCTAGGACCACCATCAGCTCTGGGAAATGTACAGTTAACTCCATGGATCCCCTGACGTTCCTAGCTATGTAACTTCACCTTATTTCAGGAGGTAGAAGTCAAATACCAACTCTCTCCTTCGTTGGCCACACAACCAAGTAAGTTGGTAGATATTACCTACCATGGTGCCTGCTGAATTTTTAGTATTTGCCCCCAAATGTTGCAGACTACCAACAGGTCTATTCTTCGTCTTACCGTGGTGGCATCCAGGATCATCTGGGTGACAGGTGCTTCAATCTTGAAGGGGCTTAACTCAGCGATGATCACCATCTGTTCTTTGCTTTGGAGGACTTTGTGGATCTTCCCTTTGGCTGTCACACAAAAAACAGAACTCTGGTTAGGTGGAGGGAGACCACAATGGTTGTTGCCTAAGCAATAATGTAGATGCAGGATGTCTTGCTAGAAAAGCCTTGGGTCCATCCATCCATGGGGTGAGGATGGCTTGCATCTAAGGATAGGGAAGGAGCAGACTTAATTCAAGAGCAGATGCACTAATGAATCCAGAACCTCAATAGATTCCTTCAAAGTCTAGCCCCATTCCTATCCCTGGCTGGAGTTGAAGACTCTAAAAAGAGTGCAGAGAAGAACGACGAAGATTGGACTGGAAGCTAAAACATATGAAGAACAGTTGCTGGAATTGGGCATATCTAGTTTAATGAAGAGAAAGATTAGGGATGACATGATAGCAGTGTTCCAATATCTCAGGGGCTGCCCCAAAAAAGAGGGAATCAAGCTATTCTCCAAAGCACCTGAAAGCAGGACAAGAAGCAACAGATGGAAACTAATCAAGGAGAGAAGCAACCTAGAACTAAGGAGAAATTTCCTGACAGTTAGAACAATTAACCAGTGGAATGACCTGCCTCCAGAAGCCGTGGGTGCTCTAACACTGGAAGTTTTAAAAAAGAGATCGGACAGTCATTTGCCTGAAATAGTATAGGGTTTCCTGCCTGAGCAGGGGTTGGACTAGAAGACCTCCAAGGTCCCTTCCAACTTCCATGCACAGCACACTCACAAGTTCCAAGAAAGAGGACATCACGGGGGACATTGTTGGCATCCCGTACTTTATCCATCACCACCTGAGTGTACGTATCGTTCATCTGAAGGACATACAGCGGTTGTTCCTCATCTGGATAAACAACGGCTTCTAACTCTGGGTGGTCCTTAATGAAGGCCAGCATTTTGGCCAAGGAAGAGCTGGAATCCGGTGGAACACACTGAGGTTGAGGAAGAAAAGAGGCATGAGAAACTAGGGTAGAGAAGAACACTTCAAATTTTAACCCAAATTCTGTCTGATAATGCAGAAAAGTCATTTCCTTCAGTTATTTTCCCAGCCAATTAATTTCAAAGGGCATTTTAGAACACCCTCCCAATCTTAACTTGCAAACTTGCAAGTCCCAAATATTTTACATTATCGTTGAATATAGCAATGGCAGAAAACAACAAAATTAAGTGGCAATTAGACACCTAGAATCCTCTTTGAAAACAACAACTAAATCACTCAAATCAGAGTCTCCAATGAACTTTACCGTGCCAGGTCTGGGATGAGGAACGGCGCCTGGAGCATCCTTGAAGTTGGAATTTTCAAAATAGGAGCGGATTCGATTCATGGAGTATGAACAAACCGCAGAGGTGCCCCTTGGTAGAAATAAAAAATTCAAACTATCAGGTGGCGAAGTCATAACCTGAAGACTATCTGTATCAGTCTGGGCATTTCAAGACCATGGACAGCACCCAGGTGACCAAGTTGCTCCCACAGGGAACGGATTTAAAGGCTACGCTGAAATTCTTTCTTTTCATTCAATTTAAAGTCTTCCCTTCTAAGGGTCAGGATTAGATCTCCTATTCGCCTTCCCCCAAGTGAATTCCAGCATAAACACCATCCCAAGTTCAGAAGACCTGCTTGATATGGTGCATCCAGAACAGCAAGATTCCAGATGCAACTTCTCGTTGAACTGTCAGGTGTATCTCATCACTCACCATGGGCTGGAGAAGACCCCGTACAACGTCTCGGCCTGGCCCTCCCGTCTGAAAACAAAGGCGTCCTCCAGGCGGTGGAAACTCAGGGGTTCGTGGGGGCGCCCACACACCAGCCTCGCTTTGAGGAAGGTGCTCCAGAAGTCACCGGAGGCTGGCTTCTCTCCTTGATCCATCTGGAGCCCCCAAGAGATAAAGACACACCTTGAATCTAATTTCTTGACATTTTCGTTTCTTTCCATTCCATAAAGACAACGTTCCTCCCCACAATCTGGAAACAAATTCAACCTTAGAAGCTCAGATTGGTTTTTCCTTAGATGCTCTGCTCTGTCACCCTACAGGTGAGATGGGACCCCCTCCCACCTCTTTCCTGGCCTTCCAGAAAAGCACCAAGACCAGCACTGCCAGCTGGCATGGAGGGTGGGTCTAAGAGTGCCATGCAATCCTGGAGGAGGGGGCATAGGGTGTCTTGAGGGTGCTTCCTCCGCCATTTTTTAAACCCTTAAATCTTTGTACTTCTTAACTTTTAAAACTCTGCTTTCAATATGGTTTTATTAATTAATTCAGCGTAGGTGCTGCCCGTCTGACTATCGAGAGACTCTGGGCAATCTATACATTCAACAAATGAATAAACAGAATAAAAAAAAACGGAGTTTAAAAGTCAAGCAGGACAACGGTTTAAGAAGTTTTTAAAAGTTTCGATTCGGTTTTGATTTTTGAAAATGCCCAGAGTCATTAAGGTAAGATAGGCGATGCAGAGATTTGATCGATTGATTAATCTATCCATCATAATTTTATTCTACATGTTGCTTTACCAAGCCCTTACGCTTCCCCCCCCCCGCCTCCTAGATAGAAAGGAAACACCTCATTTTTCCAACCTTGCACACGCGGCCGACCCAAACTTTGTACAGCTCCTCATCCAGGCCAGCTGACCGGTTGACCTCATTGTAGAAGAAAAAAATTTCGTCTTTCCTTCGGTCTTTGTGCTGGAGGAGGGCTGCTCCTGCAAATTCAGCATCTGGAACAGAAAATTCAGGGTGAGAAAAAAAGAAAGAAAAAAAAGAAGCAGCCCTAAACGATCGCCACCCAGAGATCAGTTGCTGTGATCCGCTGACAGCCTGCAAGCTTTGCTATGGAAGCTTCTTGCTGTCTTTTTCAAGAGTTTCCAGCTTTTATTCAGGTCCCTAAGTGAGCCCAAAATTTCTGCTGCTTAGTGAAACATTGGTCAAGGGGGTTTTGCCCCCATTTTACCGTCTTGCTTGCTACATTTGTTCAGTGGATCCCTGCGATTCATTTAGTAAAACAATTGTTAAATCAATCTGGCTTCTTTTCCTTGTCAGAAGGTCACACCAAAGCTGACCACATGACCTTGGGATACCGCAACTGTCATAACTGTGAGTCAGTTGCCAAGCATCTGGATTTCAATCCCCTGACCACAGGGACGCTGCAACCGTCATTAGTGTGAAAAACAGTCACTAGTCCCTTTTTTCAGTGTCGTAACTTTGAATGGTCACTAAATGTTGAGGACTGGCTGTGTTCCATTTTCAGGAAAGTGGCAAAAAGTAACAAGGACCATCTCTTACTGCTGATCCAACTGTCCCTCGTCTTGATCCCTTTCTTCCGTCCGTAACTCCTCTGGAAGGAACTTTTATTCCCAGATAAGGCTGAGTAAAGGCTGTCTTCTGAAATGTGGAGAAAAGACAGAGCTGAAATCTATTCTTTTCTACAGAAATGTTGAAATCTTCATGAGCGATGCTGATTTGATTTCTTTCGTCTAACTTCCTAGCTATCAGGAGGAAAAAATAAATATCTTGAGATCTGGAAAGATATTAAAATTTTGGCATCTTCCAGAGCCCTTACCGATGGCGATGGTGACGGCTTTTTGTGACGGTGAGGCTGAGATGACATTTTCTCCTACCATGGTGAAAATTTGTCCCTGGCTGCTTCTCTGCAGTGTTGTGTTGACCTGAAAGAAAAAGAGAACCAGAGGCCAGCCTGCCCATAAAAGCTGTTCAAAACGGAGAATAATATCCTACTGATTACTATGGGTCCTCCTGTTTCCCAAAGCTCCTTCTGTATTGGATGCCAAGCCCCTTACCAGAATCCAGCATTTGGGAGAACCTGCATTTGTTCCACAGACCAGAGTTTTATTCTCTATTCTTTCGATCATCTGGATGAAATTATCACAGTTGCCCTACGAATGACAGAACAGGAAAAATAAACCCCATCCAACTGAACCCAATCCAACCCAACTCAACCCAACCCAACCCAACTCAACACAACTCAACCCAACACAACCAACTCAACACAACACAATCCAACACAACTCAACTCAATTCAATCTAACACAACCCACCCCACCTCAACCCAACTCAACCCAACACAACCCAACTCAACTCAACCCAGCCCAACTCAACTCAACTCAACCCAACAGAACCCACCCAACCCAACCCAATCCCAACCAAACTCAATCTAACTCCTCTCAACCCAACCCAACCCAAGCTCAACCCAACCCAGCCCAGCCAATCCAAACCAACCCTCGCTAGCCCTGCTAGAAGACCTCTGGGGTGCTCTGTGCCTGGAAGTGGTGGGAAGTAACTGGGGGAGATAAAGTCCTGCCAAGTTCCCAGTTTAAGGGGGCCCAGGCAGTTGATTCTTGCTTTTGGAACATGCTAAGATCAGGCCAAACTATCCCCCCCCCCGCTTTCAAACCATCTCACCTTCTCTGCTCTCTTACAATCCCTCTCGGCCTTCTCTTCAACACGCACTGACACCTGGAATCCATGGAAAGACACATTATGAATTTTTTTTTATCACGGTCATTACACAAATCACCGGCTCATTCAGCCAATCCAGCTTCCCCTTCCCCCCCTCCCCCATTGGCTTGACCAGCTGGGGAGGTTGCAAAGCCTAATCACGTGATCGCAAGACCCCACAACCATCGTAAATGTGAACCAGTTGCCAAGCACCTGAATTGTGACCACATGACCACAAAAGTGGTGCATTGCTCTCCAGTCACTTTTTTTCCCAATAGCCTCATAACTTGGGTCCATTGTTAAACAAACAGTTGTCAATCGAGGACTGTCTCTAGAGGGTTTGGAAGGGGATGGGATGGTTTACCTCGGTGGGTGTGATGTCAGGACCCTCAAAGGTCAGAACCCAGACTGTCCCTCGCCCTCCGACAATCAGCTGGGAGGACCCAGCCTCGTGGAACATGGCCAACAGCTGTTCCTTCTGATTGAAAGTTCGCGTCGTGACATCTGGAAAAGGAAAAAAAAAAAAGACTAAAATCAACACTCTTATTAAAAACGACCTTGCTGATTTGGAATCTGTTCACGCCAAAGGAACAGGAAACAACCTCAAAAGCCCAAGAAGGTATAAAAACCCACCACTCCCAGCTCCCTGTGGTCAGCTTGCCCAGAGCCATGCTTCTGTCTGGCTCTGCTCTACAATAAACTACAATCTTCTTTCTAAAGCAGTCTCCATTTTGTTTATGCTGGGCTTGGACCGGACCCTGATGAAGATTTTTCTTTCAACACAACTTTCCATGCCTTGCCGAAACCAGGACGTTCCCCGTCACGTCAGGGTCTGCAACTGTTTTATTTTGGCTGGCCTGGATGCCGATGACCTATTTATCCTGGTTCGGTGGGAAGGAGAACATCCAGAACCTGCAATCTGAATCCATTATGCAAAGAGATGCGCTCGCTGAGACGCTGCCCGGTTGGGCCCTGAGAAATTGCAACAACAACAGCAGCAACGCTCAGCCACAACAAGGCACCACTCCTTGTTGCTGTTCGTGCCCTTTGCATTAATACCCTCGTCTGTCCTCAGCGCAGGGGAGGGGGAGGAGAGAGGAGAAGGCCTGCAAGGATGAGTCACAGGGAGGGAAAAACCAGCCCCCCCCCAGCAATGAATCCAGAGCACCGTCTGTGTTTTTCTTCAACCCCCCCCTTTCCAACTCTCTCTGCCTCCCCCTTGCTCTGTATCTGGGTTTTATCTGCATTGCAGAGGGGGCCCAAATGGGTTTGACCAGCAGGAGCAAAAATCTTTTCTCCTTTCTTGCAAAACATTGCTGGGCTGCTTTGCAAAAGGGCCAATCTGTGGCATTCCGCAGTCCTTGCATTGGAGAGGGGGGTGGGGTGGGGTGGAAGACAAAATGAATTGGTTCTTTCCCCCCCAAGACCAGATGCCCCCCCTCCCTTAGAGCTGAATCCTGCTCCTGAGTGGAAAAGAGCTTCCCCCTCCTCATTTTGCAAGGGAGAGTTTCGGAATCGTTGCAAAGGGCAAGAATTGATTGACTGATTTGCTCTCCAAAACTGGCGACAAATAAAAGGCGCTTTGCTGATTGCCCATGTTCCACGGACACCATGTTCCACATACCGTGCACGGATTACAAGTGGATCCAGGACCTTAGACTCTTGGCCCTCCTGTTAAAAATATATATATTTCTCCCCCCCCCCCCCCGAGTCCTTTTCACAGGAGGATATTGGCCCAGTTTGGGGCTTGTCGGGGTTTTCACTGACTAAATAGAGCTTCCAGTTTGAGAGGCAGTCTATCTGTCAATCGTAGACCTGGGTAGGGAGGACTTTACCCTTTGTGGGCTTCTCAGAAGGATCCAGTGGATCCCTACGGGGAAGGGCGAGACTAGCTGGGTTGTGGTCCGATCTGATCCGATGGTCGAGGAATTGAATATCAGAAGGAAAATGCTAACATTTTGGTCTCTTTCCTCCTGTTGTTGCTGTTAATTCAATTGTCGGGAGTCAGACAAGAGCAAGAAGCAGCTTTTGTAAACCACTCCGAACCATTTTGCTCGAACTGGCCTTGAAAATTATTCCTAAAAAACGAATCGGGATGTTAAACCTTCATGGACAGGTGCAGTGTATCTGAACCCATAGTGCCCAGAACTCCAGAGAAAGCAATCGGGCCATTTAATACCTTTCTTCTCCTCCCCTGCTTTTGGGGTCACTTGCTCACCCCTTTAGGGACTCCCGGCCAACTTTTATTTGAATTTGCCAATCAGCTTAGGCTGGAGAACACACACACACACACACACACACACTCACGTACGGCTTTAAAACAGGAAGATTTTGGCCATTTAGCAGCCATTCTGCAGTTCGCCCAAAGTGTCTCTGGAGCTCAATTTTGAGGGCTCGGGCGCCTTGCCACGCTGTGCATCAAAAAAGATCAGCCAGAGCCAAAATGTTTATGCTCAGCAATTAACGGAGGAGAGCCAGCAGTTTAAACTCTCCTGCAGAAAACCTCTCTTAAAGAAGCTGCACCCAATTTTTGAATTCCCCCCCCCTTCAATTGAGCTAATAAGATAATAAAAAATGTTCCTGTAAGTTCTTTAAAATGCTATCTACGGTCTACGTGTTCGAAGGAACACAACGTGAATATCCCTCTCCTTAGACAATGTTTTTTGTTTTGTTTTTAAACTTACAGAACCTCTTTTCCTATCTTAATAGCTTCTTGGAAGCCTCGTTGGCGCTTCTTTGCAAACCACATCCTGCCTCTAGTCCTCAAGAATCTCTCTAAATGCTATCAATGCCTTTCTAGACTCCTCCACTTCCAGTTCCCTCTTGGCAAGAGAACGGTGGGTTTCAAAGTTCGTTTTTGTTGAAAGAAAGGGCAGCATTTGGTCCAGCAGCTCCAGTCCCCCACACAGGGTTCCCTCCCCTAGCCACAACCGTCCTGCGAGGTAGGCCAGTCCCAAAGTAAGCCAAGGAGCTTTCGTGGCTGAATGTCGGGGGACCCTAATTTTCCAATTAGATCCATGAAGTTTCAAGAATACAGAATAAGTGGCCATTCGTCTCTTTTCTAAAACATTCATGACTCAGCCAATCAAATGCACCATCCCTTGCTAAGGAAAGGAACCAGAATTTTAAATGGCTTTTTGAGGCTTGCTGAGCATTTTGCAAGAGGAAGAGAGGATTTTATGCAGAGGTTAGGGGGGGGGAACCCTTCATTTTGCAACAGGATCCGGGTGACTGGGTTGCTTGTGTTTTTTTCTTGCTCTCTTTCTTTCCTGCTTTAATTCAGGATCCTGCCTTAATCCAATAGGTTTCAAAAGCTTGTCATTTAGATTTTCAATGTACGCACCCTCAGCAATCTGAAAACAGGTGCAGAGCAATAATAAAATAAAACATTTGCAGATCCCAGGTCTGGCTGACTGGGCAAGCCACCTGCATAATAAAACAGGTCACCGATTGGAATCCAAACAAAAATAATAATAATGGAGAAGAAAGCTCAGCTTTTTGAATAATAATAATAATAACAACAACAACAACAGGAAAACAGGGAAAAAAAGCTTACCTTTGGAAATCAGAAGGAAAAAACTCATTTTGGCAATGGGAATCATAATAACAGGAGAAAAAAAGCTTACTTTTTGCAATCCTCACCCTAGAAATTATAGATTTATTATCCCCTTTTGGAATCAATATAATCGTAATAATAGGAAAAAAAGCTCTCCTTTGGAATTAATAAAAAGAAAAAAAAAACTCCCCTTTTTGGCATCAAAATAAATGGGAATTACAGTGATAAAAATTATAGAAAAACATCCTTTGGCATCAAAATGATGATGATGATGATGATGATGATGATGGTAATAATAATAATAATAATAGTAAAATAAAGCACAGCTTTAGGAATCACAGTGATAAAAATTATAGGGAAAAGCTATAATTACAGGAAAGATCAGCTCACCTCTGGGGATTGCAGTCATAAAAAGAGCAGGGCTTCAAAATAATAATCATAATAGAAAATAAAGCTCACCTTTTGGAATCAGCCTCAGCCGGGGAATAATTTGAGAGGCTCCCAGGTAAAAGAGTGCAAGAAGGCAGAAATGGGGAAAGCACCCCATTTTATTGGGTTGGGGGGGGGAGAGATTGGCTGATATTCTGCAACAAGAGGGATTTCAGAAAGGCTGCAGCAAACGTCTTAAAAGGCAGGAGGACCTTATCCTGCCTGCAGCCAGTGCCCGCTTTGCGCTTCCCTCCCTTCTCTGTTTTCTAATTTATAGTCCAATTAAATTTAAAAAAAGAGAGAAAGAAATTAAAAAAAAGAAAGGAGGATCCGCCAAGAACCGGCTCCCTCAAGCGGCCGGAGGGGAAGCGGAGAGCTGTGGAAAACCGCCCCAGTGATGCTGCTGTTGTTGCTGGAAAAGATTTTGCAGGCAGCAGGGGAAAGGATGGCGATGGAGAAGAGGGACCGAAAAAATCCTTGCAGAAGAAATTTTAAAAAGGGGCGCAGGGGGGTGTCATTAGCCCACAGCCCCTGCGGGGGGAATCACAAGCAGAGAGGGCAGCTTTGGAAAAGTTGGATATTATTATTATTATTATTGATCATCACATAGTCAGCCAGATGTTCAGACTGGATTTGGCATTTTGTCTACTATCGAGTCCTTACCCAGGACCTGGGATAGGCAGATGTGGATGTTTGATGGTATTACAGATATCGTATTATTATTATTATTATTATTATTATTATTATTACTACTACTACTACCACCAAACTGGCCTACAAGAAAGACCAAATGAAGAACAGAATAGAGGCATGGGAAGACAAAGCACTACATGGCCAATACATTAAAAAAATAGCTGGGAAAGCAGATATTAACAAGACCTGACAATGGCTAAGAGCAGGAAAATTGAAGAAAGATTATTATTATTATTTTGGGATTTGAAATATTGAAATATTTGAAATATTGCTAGATAGTCCTTCCTTCCCTCTTTCCTTTCCTTCCTCCCTCCCTCCTTCTCCCAATTTCCTTCCCCCCTGCCCCTCCTCCTGCAGAACACTTATGGGAGACCCCCGTCTGAAATTCACCCCTTGGGCTTCACCCTCTCCTGGCTAGTCCGCAGCCCTCCGGCAGCCAAAATAAATCGATCCCTCAATCAATAACTTTCCCTCTTGCTGTGTCATGCTTGTTTTCAAGCGAAAGCATCTCGCCTTTTTCTGGAGGGGGGAGGGGAGGGAAGAGAGAGTTGGAATACCGGAAGAAGCCCGGTGCTGATGTGAGAGTCCATCACACACACACACACAGACACACAACCCTTTGAGCATCATCAGGAATAATAATAATAATCAAAAAAAGACTAGAATTTTCAGGTGCAAGAAAGAATGGGGTGTATTTATTAACAAATGGGCTGGGCTGACGAAGTCTCTGTGTCTTGGATAAATGTGAATTCATATCTTTTTTTTCTGTAATTACAGAATTGTTTCTCTGTTTGTCAAAAAGTTTGATTACTATTTATGTTTTAACAAAAATGGCAAAGGAGATGTTGCTCAATCTGTTGCTCGGATATTATTATTAATTTTTTTTTGTGTCCTAGCTGTAATTCCAGGTGAGAAAGACGGCATATTGGGGTGAACCGAAGAAATGGCTGTGATTCTCCAACAGTCCCCTTCCAATTGCCTGCTTGGACTTCTGGATGAAGAAGAATGGAAGGAGGACTTGCACCAGGAAAGAGCTCAAGTGTTCATCTCAGCTTTTGGGGGGAGAAGTTCTTCGTGTTTTTTTGGGAGAAGTTCTTCGCTGGCCCACGATGGCCTTGTAACCTCGGGAGGGATGGGTCTCGGCGTGAATCACCTGGTGGGTGACGTTCCCTCTGCCTCTACTGTAGAGGAAGATGAAGGAGAAGCAAAGCAGGACGGAGCAGAGAAAGGGGACAATCCCGATGACCAAGATGCCCAGCCAGATGCTGGCGTGGATGAAAAAGAGGGAGGATATCACCGTTCTATTGCGCAGACCGAAGTCCTTCCAGACCAGGGACTGGTTGAACAGAGGAACAAGGACCTTCAAAGAAGCTACCATAGAATCATTGCCGGCTGTGTTGCTCGCAACACAACGGTACAATCCACTGTCTTCAAGGAGGGCGAACTGAATCTTAAGAGTCCCATCAGGAAGGACGGTTGACCGGCCTTTGTGGGTTGAGTCTAGGGTGACGTTTTGAGGGTTCAACCAAGAAACGATGGGTGGTGGGTCTCCATCACTGCTGCAAGTCAAGCTGGCCTGCTCTCCTTCATGAACAACCACTTTCTGGAGGGCCTTGTCCTCAATTGTAGACTTCCGACAGGTGAAGTGATGTGGCAGAGCCCTGGAGAAGTCATGGAAGACTTTCTCTCCTTCTTCTGAGCTGACAGCACAGATGGGCATTTGAGCCTCAAAGTTCAACCTCTGCCGCCTCTTCAAGATCCAAAGGAGGCGGCAGTCACAGGTCAAGGGGTTTTGGTCCAGCCGAAGGACTTCCAGGTTCCCCACCGAATGGAAGACCCTTTCCTCAAGGGTCTGCAGGTGGTTGGCCGAGATGTTGAGGAGACGGAAATGGACGAGGCCTTCAAAAGCGTCGGCCTGGATGGTGATCAGTCGGCCCCCCGTAAGGTGGAACTCTTGGAGACGGGAGAGATCCAGCAACTTCCTTCCACGGATCATGGAGATAGGATTGTAAGAGAGGTCGAGGAAACGGAGGTGGGCCAGGGACTTGATGGCCCTATAAGGAACATCATGCAGGTTACTTCTGACGATGGACAAGGAAGTCAGGTTGAGGCCAGAGAGACTTTGAGGCTCCAGGGTTTTCAAAAAAGGCCACTGGTTGATCTCCAGAACTTTCAAGCGATGGAGCTTCCGAAAGGAATAGTTGTGGAGGACCCTGAGGTTGAGAACATTCAGATGGAGCTCCACCAGATGTTGAAGGTGGGAGAGGGCCTCTGTGGGCAGGCTGGTAAAGTTGCATTTTTGCAGCGTGAAGCTCCGCAGATGTTGGAGGCCTCGGAAAGCCTGACCTGAAATCAAGACCAGAGGATTGTCCCTTATGTCTAGATGTCCAAGGCTGAAGAGATCTTTGAAGGAGTGATCCAGCAAGATGAGGATCTTGTTTTCCCGCAGGTCAAGAACGGAGAGGTTGGGCAGCCCCGTGAAGACCCCATCTGGGATCATCTTCAACTTGTTGCCTGCTAGTCGGAGGGTCATGATCTTCTGAAGGCCGTTGAAGGCCCCCTGTTCAATGTTGGAGATGGTGTTATAGCTGAGGTCCACCTCTTTGAGGGCTTGGAGACGGGAGAACATGCCCTGGTGGAGGGTACGGAGGCTGTTCTGGCTTAAGTCCAAGAATTCTGAATCCGGGGGGATTTTGACGGGCACAGTGGTCAGATTCCGGCTGTTGCAGAAGACAACCTTCTCCTGAACCAAACATTTGCACCTGAAGGAGCAACTCCATCCAGGTCCCACCAAGAAGACCATCCCCAGGAAGACCAGGAACCAAGAGAGTGGCAGATCCGGTGAAGAAGGCCTGCTCAACATCTCGAGAAGTTCCTGAAACAACAGAGCTAAACAACACAAAGACTTTCATGGTTAGAAGGCAGTCAACAAACATGAAAAAGACCCCATTGAAGCTGGATTTTGAACATCTGCAAGGATCCTTTGCTGCACAGCTCCGGACCCCAGCCGCTGCGATGCAATTTTATTTAAGTAACTCCTTGGCAAAATTCCCACCGGTGCATTAAAACAAGAGGCGTCCGTAGCAAAAGCAGAGATGGAGGCCAAGAACACGGAGGCTAGGGGGCAGCCTAGGGGGCAGGAGATGGAGAAAGATGGGTTAGGAGAAGATAGGAGAGGAGATCAAGATTGGATCTAGGGGGGCTTGGCGATTCTCAGCATGCCCCATGTCTCTATGGGCTTAAAGTTTGATCCCATAGAAGAGAGAGTAAGCCAGGATGAACAGATTAACCGTCGGAAGGGACCTTGGAGGTCTTCTAGTCCAACCCCCTGCTCAAGCAGGAAAACCTATACTATGTCAGACAAGTGGCTGTCCAGTCTCTTCTTTAAAGCCTCCCGTGTTGGAGCACCCACAACTTCTGGTGGCAAGCCGTTCCACTGGTTAATTGTTCTCACTGTTAGGAAGTTTCTCCTTAGCTCTAAGGCTGCTTCTCTCTTGAATGACCTTCCGCCCATTGCTTCTTGCCCTGAATAGAATACAGAATAACCAGAGTTGGAAGGGACCTTGGAGGTCATCTAGTCCAACCCCCTGCTCAAGCAGGAGACCCTGTCCCATTTCAGACATATTTGGGGGAGATCCCCGTTTTTAGAGAAGTAGGGGAAAAGGGTACTTTAGGGGGGAAAAAATTAATGAAGCATAGATGGGTGAAAAACAAACACCTGAAGGGGGTTTTTTTTTGGGGGGGAGGAGAATTTGCAGCTGTTCCTTCCTCTTCCTAGTCCTTCTCGATCCTCGCCCTTTACGGAGAACGAGATGTGATGCAAAAATTGGCACATTGCACATTTTCAGCAGGGCGATAGCTCTCGCAGAGTCCCTGGCTCGGAATTTGCATTTTAATGGGAACATTTAATTAACCCAATGCAGTCAAAGTGGGGCAAGAAGAGGCATTAGGAAAAATAAAAAAATAAAAAACATGAAGCTTCAACGGGAGATTGTTTATTTTGGGGATTTGCAGGGAGGGGGAAAAAAACCCTCCAGAAATTTCCCCTTTATATGAAAAACAAAAAAAGCAATGCATCTGGGTACGGTTCCCCCCTTCCTCACTTTTCCTCTGAAAAATGCACCTAGTTTTATCCTGGAAGGAGAATCCTTGCGCTCCAGGTCAGCGCAAGCTTGTAGACCTCACTGAGGAGCCCAGATTTAACTAGCCGCTCGGTTTAACTCACAAAAACACCAAACTGAATTCTGTGGGCACTCTGCTTGTTATGGTTGGATTAAACGCTAACCCTCCTGGGTCATTTTGCCAGATATGTCACTTACCTTGCTGGTTTAATGGCTGGACAGCTCCAAATTTCAAAGCTTCGTAAAGTCCGGCATAAAAAAAGTGGGTCACTTATTTGGATGGCCAATAAGTCCCACGACAAGGGTCCTCCCTCTGGATGTGGGGACTGACAACCCTCAGATTATCTCAGGCAGAGAAAAAGCTAGATGGGAACAAGGCTGGGGGGGTCGTGTGTCTTCCCCAAAACTCCTATATAAACCTGTATTTTTTTTAAAAAAAATATTTTGTAAGTGAGAGAGATTGAGATACAGATAGATGATAGATGATAGATGATAGATAGATAGATAGATAGATAGATAGATAGATAGATAGATAGTGAGTCTCTCTCCCTAGCAGATTTGCTATTCTGACTTTTAAAAAGCAGCTTATTTTTATTTCAGATCAAGCAGAGATCTGAACACGACGACAACCGTGGGCTGAAATGATTCCTCTGGATAGTTTCTTTAAAAAGAAAGAGGAAAAAAACACACAAAGGTGGCTGTTTGTGTGTTACATTAGCACCTGCAGAAGGAAACGGGGGGGGAGGAGGCCCCTAAAGTCTCCTTTATCTTTCAGCCTTTGAAAGCTGAAACCACGCAGAGTTGCAACAGGGAACCTCCATCCTACCGATCCCAGCCAAGCCGAGCGCAACTCCATTCCTCTTTGGATCAATCCAGCTTTGAAGCTTTCCTTCAACATCCTGACAGCTTTCCCACCCATCCCCATCACCCATTTTCTGGATTTGAACCTGGGACTTTTGCACGCCACAAATCCTGATGGGGCTACACTAAGGGAGGACACGCCAAGCTGCCCTAACATCAACCCTGCTAAATTCTCTCCGGATAAAATGAGCAATTTGGCAGTGCTTTCGTACGCCCCTCTCCCCCCCCATGAAAAAAACATCCACTTTGCAGCAGCTTCAACCTGGGTTAGTTTGATCCCAACACAATCTCTCACAAATGAACAAACCGCTTGCCTGGGGGGGGGGGGGCTGCCTCACCGTTCTTGACTCCGTCTCCTGTCGCTCCGTCTTCTTTGTGGTTCTCATCCCCGCCTTGGGAACATTCCCTTCCCGACTTTCTGTAATTTTTCTTCTTCTGGTTTTTTTTCTTTTCTTCCTTCCCACTGCTCGGCACACACAGCAGCCAAGCAGGACAACACACACACACACACACTCACATTCTCACAAAGCTAAAAGCAGTCCCCGGTTTTTCATTCCCGCCACCGAACGTCTATTGATCAGCTTGACATTTCAAAGATTAAAGCCCGCTGTTTCCAAACTGGGGTAGGGGTGGGTGGGCTTCCCACGCTGGGAAGCCCACCACTCAAGCCCCGTTTTGTGCAGGAAGTCCTCGGCTTACGACCCCCAAATCTGTCGTGAAGCGAGACGGTTACTAGGTGGGGTTTGCCCCATTTTGGGAGGACTTTCCTTGCCACAATTATTAAGTCAAAAGGGGATCACGTGAACACGGGACACCGTGACCGTTGTAAATACGAGTCAGGTGCCGAGCGACTGAATTTTGATGGAATGACACACAATGGTCATTAAGTGTGAAAAATGGTTATACGTCCCTTTTTTCAGTGGCCATTAAGTTGAGGACTACCTGTATAGGGAACTAGGCAGTAACCCTGCTACTTATCCATGGCACATATATTGGTGCTTGGGAAAACACTTTACCTGTGAATCATGGTTTAGGATGGAAAACCAACATCCAGTGCTGGACTCCACCTCCTGGCCCTCAACAGCTACTCTGCCCCTGTATAGGGACACTCTAAAATGCCCTGCCGATGTGACAGCTTGCTACGCGACATGAAACCTCTGGAAATCATTTATGCAAATATTAAGACACCTGCGTATAAACCACCCTAACACCAAATAAACATTGTTAGGTCTGTTTTGTTAAATCGAATCAAAGTCTAACTCCCACTTTTGATGTCTTCCCACTTTGCTTAATTCAGTATTCTGGATGGATCTGGAGTCTTCGAGGTGTGTTGGGGTGTGTGTGTGTGAGATTCTTTATTTCCCCAATGACCCACACATTTATTAATCTGCCTGTCCCTTACAGCCAATTTCTGAAATTTAATTTCTAGCGACGTCATGACGGCCACCGAATTCTGACGGTCTCAGCAACTTATTCCAAAGCTCACAAACGGACATCAAAATAATTAAAAAAGAGGGCTGGCCAGAAACACAGATCACAAAATTGGAACTCCCCCTTAAAATGCTCAGTGGTTACTTTTCTGCTTGAAAAACCCCACCAAAATAGTGCAACAGCCACAGCCATAAAATAAAATAAGGCGAGCCAGCGTGAGAAATAAAAACCCAACCAGCAATATCCACCGTGGTTTAATTAAATTAAAAAGTAGCCTGAACAGCTTCCATCATATGCTTTCTAAAGGCCGGTTTCTCTAAACTTAGCTTAAAAAATTAAACTTAAAAAATAAAACTTTTTCAACCGATATTTACACCGCCTCCCTTCCCTCCTGTGCTTTAAATATTTCAAACTATTTTTTTTAAACCCAAGAAAAAGATAAAAGAGAATGGAAAAAGGATTCGGGTTAGGTCCACGTATATCCGACACAAGTTGGTGGTTTTTTTCTGTGCGAATGGTGTCATGTGAACAGCTCTGGACGGGAAAACGAAGAGCGTCTTAAATTTCTTCCTGCAAGCCGAACCGTTTGCAAGGTAGGACATTCAAGGGGAAAGGTTTTAAATATCAGGAGGCCAACGTGGATTGTCTTGCAGTTCGTCCAAGACTGTTGTGCTATTTACTCCAGAACCGAGCCCAGAATTTATGCCGCTAAGTGAGACATTTGTTAAGTGAGTTTTGTCCCGTTTGCCACAGTTGGGAAGTGAATCGCAGCACAGATGTTAAGTGGATCAGCCTTTTCCCACAGACTTTGCTCGGCAGATGGTCGCAAAAGGGGATCATATGAACCCCCCCAGGGACGCCGCGACCGTCATAAATCTGAGTCAGTTGACAAGAGTCCCAATTTTGATCACGTGACGGTGGGGAATGCTGCGACGGCCTTCAGTGTGAAAAAAGGGCCCTAAGTCCATTTTTTTCAGTGCCGTTGTGACTGAGTCACTAAGCAAACGGTTGTAAGTCGGGGGCTACATGTAAGCAGAAAATATGTTCCCTACAGAAGCTCCTGAAAAATCATCTCTGCGTTTAAAACGATCCTGGGGACATCGCTACCACCGCTGTCTCCGAAAGAAACTGCGCTGGCTTCGGGGAAATTTGGGGGAAAAGTGCTAAAAAGCCAACTCATTTAGTTCCGAGATCGCCTATCCGAAGTGGGTCTAAGTGGCCGAGATGTATCCTGACAAGCGCCCTTTTTCGCATGAGTGCCGACGTTGAGGCCAGTGGACGAAGTGAGAACGCAGAGAAAGGGAAGGAAAAACAAACCGGGAGATTCCTTGGTTATCAAAATACAGACTTGGCAGAAAAATAAAATCTATCTTAAGTGGGCCGCCTCTGTCCCTCTCTGTAGCCATACATATGGCGGAGTCTCTGGCTGTTGAACTGCACAATGAGGTATTCTGGAGGAGTCACGGAAGCTGGCGGCGATGTCCGACGCCGCCTTCCGGGGACACCGTATCAGGGTGGATTTGTCGCTTTCGCACAACGCTCCCTTACCGCTTAGTGCCTCGGCGGCCGCTAAAACATAAACTGGAGCACTTTGTTGACTGGTCCAACTCCTGCTTCCCTTGATCCGATTCTGTGTTTTGCACCTGGCTTCCAGCAACTGGGAGGCGACGCCTGGTCTGTCCTCGGCTCGTGGGCAAGGGGGGGGAGTTACTCCCCTGTGGGTCCCTGGATCAGTGGGTCAGAGTCTGAGCTGAAGAGCTCTTTGTACAGGGGTGGGAAAACCGCATGGACGACCAGGGGGTACATCTGTCGAAAGGAACGGAGCTTCTCCACGTGCTGGGAACAGAGGCTGCGCAACTTTCCTTTGGGTGGCAACTGGAAAGAGAAAGCAGGAGAGAATCTCACCTGCCCTGGCTCACCTGGAAGGTGCCCCACTGTAGGAGACGGCCACTGTTTGAAGCTCACCTTCGCCAGGATGCCTTCCCGGTGACTTTTCTGCAGCATCTGCTTGAACGCCACTTCAAGGTTGTTTTGCAAATAAGCCACTTTGCTTCTCTCCTGCAACCATGGGCGATCTGCACAACGCAAAGAGCAGTTGGCCGGGGCCTCGCTCCGTTTGGAAAAGCAAAGCTGTGAAGCAGGTTGCCCCCCCTCCCCGCTTTGGGATCTACAGAAGGGCCTGTGGGTGCAACTCTTTGGTTCATTGATTAATTAAATTAAATATGCCACCCATCTTCTCGATAAAGCTTCTCTGGACGGCTTAGATCCTAAAAAAGGCAGAGAAGCCCTTGAAATATTTTAAAGCTGTGCAAATTAAAACCTTAGAACCATGCAAAAAAAAAACAGGATCGAGGCTTCCAGAAGGCCCCGATTCTGCCACGGCTTTCCTGGAGCAGCTGCTTGATTTTAAGCGAGGTTTGACTTTTTAATTATTCTTTCAAACTTTCTCAGGCCTCCAATTATTTGTTGGCGTGGCAACCGAGTCTTTTAATTCGTTTGTTTTTCAGAGACGGGGATCCTCAAACGGGGCCACTTTAACTGCTGGCTGGGGACTTCTGGGAGTTGAAGTCCACAAGTCTTAAAGGGGCCAAGTCCGAGGACCCCCCTGGCTTAAAGGGACAGTTTGATTTGCAGTTTTGATGTTATAGGATCAGCTGGTAAACTCAACCATCCATTTGCAGTTCCTGTGTACAGTCTTTTTTTTTTTTTTTTTCAGACGTTGGAGAGGCAACTATGCTGGGGGGGGGGGAAGGCAGAAAAACCCACATTTTGTTCTCTCTTTGAACAAAGAAGCCACAACTTCCTCAAACCAACCGCAACGAATAGTGGTCAAAAGAGGAGAGGGCCAGATTTTGGCTCCCCAGCCAGAAACCCCCGTTCTTACTTGCGTTGATCAGCACCAGAGCTGTGAAGAGGGCGATTTCGTTCTCGGAGAAGTGGAGCGAACACAGGCTGTGCGCAAAGTCGAAGATGGAGTTGATAAGTTCGCTGCACCCTGAGGGAAACAAGAGCCCTCATTCAAATCCCACTCTAAAGAGGAGGAGGAGGAGGAAGTATATAACAATTTAATGTTCCTCTTTGGAGAAGTCAGATGAAGCTTGGAAACCAACTCCTGGAGTTGCAATCACTTCACGGTGCCAGTTGACGTTCCTCAAACCCGCTCAAGTGGCAGACCTCCACCCTGCCCCCGAAACCTCTTGCCAGACCCCCCTTCTACGCCCTACTTTAGACCCCAACCTGGATCTATAGGGGACTCCACCATTCTCGATCCAGCTAGTAAGATGCTCTCGTACCCAGAGACTTGAAAACTTCCGAGCTGGCGTATTTGCCCTCAAAGAAGACCGTCCGGTTCTCAGAATTGAAGGCTCGGCACATCCTCACCAGAACGACCTCCATGGCACCTGAATTGGGAGAGAAGGACATCAGGCCCGGCCAGTCCCTCCCTTTTGGTGAAAAAAGGTTTTGGCTGACGTCCTCCGCTCAGACCGAAACGGGGTTCTGGGCCCCCTTTGGCTGCTATCCTGGCCTCTCCCCGTCTTTGGGACGGGAGAATCTTTAGGAATTTTCCCACGCTTCTAACCCAGAAGCTGGATTAGTACATAACAAGATGGGGGAAAAAAATGAAAACATTAAGAGCAAAGAGCCTTGGGTGTGGCATCACACCCCTTACCTGCTTTGAGAAGCACAATCTGATCATTCTGGCAGAGGTCCATGAATCCACCCATTCTCTTGGCAAACTCCACCACGTATTGGATGGCTTCCGTGATGCGGCATGCACAACTTTCCCACATTTCCTCCATTGTCTAAGGGATGGGGGAGAAAGCGAGAGAGAGCGAAGGTGATGTAGAGGTTTGGGTGCATCTTGAAAAACAGAGAGGAGTAAAAATTCAGAGGGGTTAAGGAACTTGTTCTGATGAGGTTCCTTAGTTGGGGTCATGAAACGTCTGTGTGAAAACCTTCAAACTCAAAGAGCACCAAGGAGCCCACAGTCCTTCTCCTCCTCCTTTCCAACAAATCCCACTCCTTCTACCACTGATGATGTTACCTAGTTGGGTCATGAAACATCTGCAAGGAAACCAGCCAGCTGAGAGAGCCCCAAAGACGTCACAGGGATAAAGATTATCCAGAACATCTCTACATGATTTGTGTAGGGATCCTAGATATGCTTCTTAAAACACTTCCTTTAATTTGTTCCTTTGTTCTGGGGCCATAATGTCCTTTTAACAGAGTGGTCCCTTCTGCCAGAAGTTGAAGTCTCAAAGATCTCATGAAGGTTGAGTATGATGGTGACCTTCTACCAGGAGATGACTTCTTCCAAACTTGGAAGCCTAACATTCAGTTGACCTAACGTTCATAGTGGAGAAGGCCATGGGTCTCTTGTAAAGCCTTCACAGCTTGCCCGCCAAAACAGAGGGCACGGTTCTTTAAGCTAAGGGTCTTCTTTGCTTGAGGATGGCGGACCCCCATCTTACCTTCTTCTGGTAGCTCCCAATTTCTTCCCGGGTGAAGGTCTCCCACCTCAGCAGCTGGAGATCTTCCAAGCGGAGTTGACAGGTCTCGCGGTAGGACTTGAGAACGTTCTGGGTCAAGTGCTCTGCAGGAGGAAGACAACAAGATGACCACATGTCTGCTTCCACAGCCCCACTGAAGCTGCCCTGGGTCTGGTCTCAAGCTGCCTTGACTTCTATGGTTTTCCCTAAACCTGATTTTGAGAGGTGGGCTCAAAACCCCAGTTGTGTCTTGAGATCCAGCCTTTCCCAGGTGGAAGAAAGGGTCTTGACAGATCCCTGGAGCAGAAATCTTCTGAAGACCTTCATTCACTCACCAATCTCCATCAGCGAAGCGTGTGGACACTCCAGGAAGCTGGTGAAGCTCGGGTTGGGGTGGAAGTCAAGGGTCTCACTGGCGGCTGTCCATTCCGCTCTGCTGACATTGGGGGACAGGTGGTCTGGTGACGCCTGCGTCTCCAAAGCGTAATAGATGCTCGTCCTGGGTTCCACCTTGATGACCCCAGCACCGTACCCCTTCTTGAAGGGGTCGGGCCGGTCTTCACCCAGAAGGCACTGAGCCTTGGGGAGTCCGTTAGAGTAGGCCAAGCTCGCCGTCTCATCCGGAGACTGGCTAAGGCGGGTCTGTCCATTGAGGAGAGCAGGAGAGCAGGTGCTGCCTTCTCGGAGATCTGGAGAAGGGTCCAGTTTGAGTTGTCCATTGGCTATACCCAAGGAGAAGGTGGAGCCCTCTCCACCTTGATGCTGCTGCTGCAGCTGTTTCTGGACCTCGGCGTGGAGACTGTCGCGTTGCTTCTTGGACATTCGGCCAAATTTGACAGCTGCGAAGAGACGACAAATGAGGGGATGGCTCTCTAGAGACGACAACGATGCAAGACACTTAAGACATGAGCAATCTGAGTTTATTCAGTAGTACTTGAAGCTCCTCAACACTTCCAACCTGGTTCTTCTCCTCCTTGTCCCATTTTGCGGTGCGCCATCACCAAAGTGAGGCAAGGAACAGTGTCTCTAACTTCATTGGGACACAAGCTGCGCGATTCCCTGACGGGAGCCCTCCCTGAGGTGCACCTCCACATGGGTCTTACCGTCACGGGACATGCCGAGGCTGAGACATTTCTGCAGGCGACAGTGTTGGCAGCGGTTGCGGTTGGTGCGGTCGATTGGACAGTTTTGTTGCCGAGTACAAGAATAGGTCACGTTCACCTGCTGGCTGCGTCGAAAGAAGCCCTGGGGAGGAAGCCAAGAAGATGAACGAAGAAAATGGACCCTTGGTAGCTTCACTGGTGGCCTCCAAGACTTTGTGAAGCCCAACAGTTTAGCGGTCCATCAGCAAAGAGAGCCAAAATTTATGGGCATCTGCTTCCAGGAAAGGGAGACCCCCTCCTGACCCCCACCCAGGAAAGTCTTCTGCAAGGAAGAGAGAACAATTATGGCCAATGGGACTGAAGCCAACACCCAAGATCCCAGCGATTGAGGAGACTGTTCCCCACCTTGCATCCTTCACAAGTGATGACCCCGTAGTGGATCCCGGAAGACTTGTCTCCGCAGATCTTGCAGGGGATCACTTCAATCTGGGCTGTGTGGGGAAAAGAAGACAAGAAGAGACTGAACTCTTGAAAGAAGCACGTGTGATGGGAGAACCAGCAAGCAGACAAGTCATATTCTAGAACAGGGGTGTCAAACTCGCCACGTTGTTGACATGTCACGACGTATCGTGACTTTTTTTGCCATTGCCGGCAATGGGGTGGAGGCAGTTTCGCTATGATGCATCCGACCCGTGGGCTGGAAGTTTGACACCCGTGTTCTAGAAAAAAACAAATAAGAGACCCCCAGATGGTCCTTTTTCTTAACTGTTGGACAAAGAAGAGAGGGTCAACCTCTTCTCCAAATCGCCTGAAGGCAGGACAAGAAGCAACCGATGGAAACTCATCAAGGCGAGAAGCAACCTGGAACTAAGGAGGTCAAACTTCCTAACAGTGAGGACAATTAACCAGTGGAACTGCTTGCCTCCAGACGTGGGTGCTCCATCACTAGAGGCTTTTAAGACGAGATTGGACAGCCATTTGTCTGGAATGCTATAGGATCTCCTGCTTGAGCAGGGGGCTGGACTACAAGACCCCCGAGGTCCCTTCCGACTCCGATATTCTGTTAAAATCAACTGCTAACATTAAACACCATTTCTTCAGCTCTCAGCCAAAAGGCCCTGCAGTGCTCCTCAGAGTCCACCAGAAGGCATCCTTGCAGCTGGCACCATTCCCAAGACCTGGAAACCCTTGTGGGGGGGGGGAGGAGTGTCAAACAGTCCGTTTAACTGACATCCTTTTCTTCAGCAAAAGAAATGAATTATTACTGATTGTTTTTTAAATAGATGAACCAGACAACCTGCGGTTTGTTAAGCACTAAAGACTGTTATTTAAAAAAAAAAAATCAATAAAACACATTTAAAAAAAAAATAGAAACAGCATCATTAGGTGGAATCGGACTTCCTCGTTCAGTGTGGTTGTCAAAAAATCGGAAAAGGTGATCCCGCGATAAATGTGCGACCGTCATAAACACGAGTCGGTTGCCACGCGTTTCGATCCCGGGGCCGTGAGGTTCCAAAGGTCAAAAGCGGTCCCCTCGTTTCCCTGCCGTTGTAACTCTGAGCGGTCGCTAAATGAACTGTTGCAAGCCGGGGACCAGCGCGCAATCTTCTTTCCCCATCGTCTAACCCGCCACTATCTCCCTCCGATCTCCCCGGCGTGACAAAATAACAAGCGGAAAGACCAAAAGAAGAGAAGGCGGCGCAAAACCGCAACACGAGCAGCTATTTTCTTCCCTTGAGTTCAAACGCCGATACTCGTAAGCAGAGCCTGAGGGAGCCGAGTTGAGTCAGCTTTTCAGTTACTCAGACGATGCTCCTTGACGGAGCTGCCAGGAAGAAGTACTCTCACTTTTAGCCAAAAAAAAAAAAAAGATATATATGATCCTGCCAGTAAATTCGACTTTTCGACCTGAGGTCAACGGGGTGCTGTAAACAGAGATGAAGACGCCACACACACACACACACACACACACACACACACACGGGGGGGGGGGAAATGAAGAGAAAGAATCGGGATGTTTTTTCATCCACCACTCCGGTTATGGATTTGAGTGTCGTCAACATGACGGCTATTATGAGGAGTGATGCTGGTCCTTTGCCATTGATGTGGTTTTTTATTGGAGAGGAGGCCTGCGTTTCAAAAAGGAGGGAGGGGGGGATTCTGGGCCCCCAGGGGCCAAGAAAAGGGTTCCCCCTGAGGCAGCAACTCTGGGAAGCCACTGAGAGGGCCCATCTCAGTCCTTCTCCTTGCACGACGCGGTGTCAGGATTCATGCCCCAAGTGGTTTTAAATTCTGTGCTGTGCTGTCCTTGGGATTTGGTGGCTTTCTTGCAGACGTTTCATGACCCAACTAGGTAATATCATCAGCGCTAGAAGGGGAAGGGGGCTGGAGGAGAAGGACAATTTTCACCTTGGGCATCTTCTGGTTCTTGCGGCCCTTATTTTGGAGTCAAGTCCCTAGTCCCTGTGAAGGCAAGGCGCTAGCTGGAGGTCAACGACACGCAGACAGACTGTCCCACAGGGGTGTGTGTGTCTGCTCCTTGTTGCCAAATACCCTCTACACTGGCTCTCATCCAAGGGGCCAGTCCAAGGTCAAGCCAGGCCAGGAAGAGCTGACCTCCCACTCCCCATTTTTGTCATTGGGTCTTTCAACCTTCTCCCTTTCGAACACAAAACGGAGAGCACCTGGCTGGCCTCTCCTGTGCACCTGTCTGCAAGCACAAAAGCCCCCCAAACCACACCGCTTGGCAAAAACCCTGGCGCTCGAGACGAATGCCTCTGACGGAGCGGATTCGTCTCCCCCCCTCCCCGACCCCTTCCCCTCTGGCAGCGGAGGGGTGCCCACAACGTGGGGGGAGGGAGGAAGATCCGTTAACACTTTCCCCACATGAATCAAAGTGAAAAGCTGCGCAAGGAGGCACACATCGTCTCCCCACCCCCGTGGATGAGTTACTCAGCTCTGTCGGGTGCTGACAAAGGAAAAGCTCGGGGTAGCTTGATTACCACTTAGGAAACCTCCGGGGTCTTCCCTTGCAAAGGAAAAGTGGAGAACGCAAAAGATTGAATGAAAAAGGGAGGCAGGTTTTGAAGCAAGAGCCGATCCGGAAAGGAAGCTGAAGGATGGTTGAGTTGGCAATCGAAGCAGGGCCTGCCCAAGGACTGGCAGAAGCAATGTGGGGGAGGGGCAGAGACCCCCAACTTTCACGCTGAGGATGAGGGAGGGGGAGAGGCAGAGAAAGGGGTGGGGGAGGAGGGCTGTAATGATGGTGCTTCATGGCGAGAACGGTGGGGAGACGTCAGGCAGATCCTGACAGCCCTTTCCCAGGGAGGCAATTTTGGGTCCTTCTGTCACACGGTTGATGCAAGGAAGGGAGAGAAAGAAGGGAGGGAGGAACCGGAGGAGGGAGGAAAGAAGGATGAAGAGAAGGAGAAAAGAAAGGAAGATGAGAAGGAGGAAGACAGAAGAGAAGAAGGGAGGGAAGGAAGGAAGGGAGGGAGGGAAAGAGAAGAAGGGAAGGAAGAGGGAAGAGAAGGAGGAAGGAAAGAAGGAAGAACAGAAGGAGGAAGAGAAGAAGGCAGAGGAAGTGGAAGAGGAAGGGGGGAGGGAGGGAGGGAAGGGAAAAGGAGAAAGGGAGGAAGATAGATATAGATAGATAGATAGATGGAAAGGGAGGGAGGAAAGGAAGGGAAGGGAAGGATGGAAGGAAGGAAGGAAGGAAGGAAGGAAGGAAGGAAGGAAGGAAGGAAGGAAAGAAGGAAGGAAGGAACGAAGGAAGGAAAGGATCTCTATCCTGTGGAGAACCCCATAGCCATCTCCGTTCTCCACCGGCCTTTCAAAGGGAGTTGATTGTCACAGTTGCTCCGATTTGTCCTGGGTCATTAAGTGCAAGAATGAAACCAGCCCTATAAATAACACCGCCTCTTCTTGGCAAAGCCACCCCACCCACTGGATGAGCTTAATTAATGCCTCCCACGTCTCCCGGCTGTGTAATTTGGCAGCCGGTGAGGGGTCCTGATATATATATATATACATATACATATACGTAGGTCTTTGGTTGTTCGGGTTTTCTCCCGCGTAAAATTGGAAGAGTCTTGGCGACGTTTCGACGAAGTCCCATTCGTCATCTTCAAAGCACGAAGCTGAAAACACCAGCCTGAAGATGACGAATGGGACTTCGTCGAAACGTCGCCAAGACACTTCCAATTTTATGCGGGAGAAAACCCGAACAACCAAAGACCTACATACAAATACCCGCGAAAACATATACATATACATATACACATACACACACACACACACACACATATATGAATGAGCTGAGTTGCTCCAGACCAGATGCCATCAACCAGAACTCAAGTTCATTCTGTCACCACAATAAGTCTTGTAGCCCAACCAAGAAGCTGGTTTTGTCACCAACAACTCCCGGGTTGAGTCACCACCATCCAGCTGAAATTGCTGAGATCCATACATAACCATCATCCTCACCCCTTTCTCCTCCCCCCCCCAGCTTTCAAATTCTTGCCTGCTTCCCTCCACATCCAATGAGCCGCAATACACACACACACACATACACACACGCAATCCACAGCCCCTTCTTCGCCTGATCGTCAAATTGCAACCAGCAGAACTGTGCCACGGGTATTTGTCTGGAATTGGCAGATTCTCCCATCAAGTTAAACTTTTGTGTGCTTGTGTGTGTGTGATTGTGTGTGTAATAACAAACCTGAGAGCAGTGAGGAATTGACTCACCCCAACCCACAGAGATCAGCCACCCAGGTGGCCCTCAAGAGATTCTCTGCAAGGATCAAAAATTGCACGCCACAAATTTTAGCGAGACTAAACTTGGCTGTGTCTTGGCGTTGTTGCAGTCCACAAAGGGGCTGCATCGTCAGCAATGGGGGTTGGACCCCTCCCCAAAAAGAAGCAAAAAAAAAAAAAAAGGCTCCAGCGATAGAATGCAAAAATATTAATTTTATTCGGCCAGGCGGCCCAGTCTCTCTTGGGGAATGAACAAACTTTTATATTTTAACTCACAACTTCCTCCTGACAAGTAGGCTAAGCCGAGGGGAGCAGCAACTATCCCCAAGACTTGAACTCAGGACAGCCCCATTTTTACTGCAGCCCTCCAGATATAGCCTACCTCTCCAATTATGATCAGCCTCTGAGCCTTCAAAAAGCAGAGATATCTAATTTTGATAGTCCACAGATCAATGATCTTAGCATTACCCAATCTGTCAAGATCTTGGGATAATATAAATCGGTGAGTTCCCGGAGCAGCAAATACTCCTAACATGGGCAGAAAAACAAAACTTTTAACAGAGAGGATCTAGTAGATTAAGATTAAAATAGAGCTCAGAAGTTTGGTTCCACTCTTTCGAGACAGCCTGGATCTTTTCTGAACTGCTCCTTTAGAAAAATGCTAATGTACTTTGCAAAATACGAGAATGCTTTCTTTTTTAAAAAACAGGAAAAAAATCCAGGGGAAAGGTGA